TCTGTGCTGTGCTGAGTGGGGCTTACAAGGTATCGAAAAGGACCTCCTCACCCTGTTTCTTTACTGTACCATAATTAGTCCAAGTGCGCGCGTAGGCCAAAAGAAAAGAGACCTACCTGCCTGCCTGTCCCCTGGTGTGCCGTGAGCCGAACGGCTAAATATAGGATGTACGTTACTCAGTCACTTGTGGGAGAAGAAGAAGGAAAAAGAAAGGTGACGAAGCCCGGCATTCTAATTAATTCCCAGTGCTAGCCGCGGAAAACAAAACCCGTTACCCTGGTCCGGCTGCGAGAGACGAGAGAGAGAGAAAGAAAGGGCCTGCGCCCCGGTTGTCGATCGCTACCAGTCCTCTTCACTCTTCCCCTCGACGCCTGACCGCTCTTTCTTGATGTCCAGGAACATGCGAGCAAGTACTATGATATGATCCTTTTCTCCTTTTCCCCCTCCTTCTTTGGTCTTCGCTGGGCTGGGCTTGGCCGGGCTGGGCTGAGTGTGGTGTGGTGCTTGTTTTTAAATTGGTTTCGGATAGCGGGTGATATTAGTCTAAGTAGTGATCTGGATAAGATCAGCTGGCCAGTCGGGGGAGAGAGGGAAGAGATAACGAACGACTCTTCCTTTCTCACTGTACTGTGTATGGGTGTGTCTGTGGTGTGTGTGCGTGTCCTGTCTTTGTCTACATAGATGACCTTGCTACCAGCCTATCACCTCGATCATCACCCACCACCACCATCATCACAAGGGTAGGAGGTCACAAGAGAGGCGCGTGACAACCCCCTCTCTTTTGTGTGTTCATGCAGCCTGCTTCCCCAAGGTTTGCTGCCAGGGTCCAGAGCCCTGAAATAGGTACTCGTCCTGCTCTACCCTGAAGGTGATGTTTTGATTCCAAAGTAGTAGTGACACGCCATTAATAGCAGCATGTTCAATTTCCTTTCCAGCCCCAATGTGTCAGGTCAGCCTCGCCGCCTCCTTCTTTCTTTTTCTTTCGCTCGAGTCAACACAGAAATTCCTCACCACCCAAATCTGACCGCTCGAGATCTAGGTCGAGAGAACGGGAGGTGGGACAAGGGCTATGTTTTACCCCTCACAATGTCACCGTTGCGTGCGATATGCAGGCTGACTCGTCATACCACACATATGATGTCGTCCCGCATTCCGAAAGGGTGTGCAGCCAACCTTTTTATCGTCTCCAACTTTTTCTCTCTGTCTCTCTCTCTCTCTCTCTCTCTCTCTTTTGCCCAACATTCTTGGAGACACAAACACGCGCGCGACCCCTGCATGGGATAGACAGGGTTTGGAAGAGGGGAAAAAGAGAGTTCGAGGCCTTCGCAAGATCGTCCGTGCATAGTACAGCAGGTAAGAAGATCAGGTAGGATGGAGGCAGGTAGGTATCGATCGGATCAAAAGACAGATGTCACACACCACACTATCCGACCGAGGTCACCCGGCTGGCTCTCTACCCCACACAAAACGAGACTCAGGTCTCGGGTGGATTCTGAGGAGGAGGGGCTGTAGGTATGCACATGCACATACGTCTGCAGATGTTCTTTCCCCTTCAAGCACATTCGACCCTCTCCGAGCAGCAGCCTGTCTCCACTTCATCCGCGCCCTGGAGAAACGCCCTCCTCTACTTCCTTTTCAGAGGAACTCATTTTTTTCTTTTTTTTTTTCCCCTCGCGTGGGATCGGATATCGTCCCATCGTCCACAAACCACCCCCCCCCCCCAAAGAAAGGACGACCATACACCAACTATAGACTGCCGCCACTACCCTTGCTCCTACTACGCTTGTCTCGCCAATGATTTTAATAACGTAAACCTTATTTTCGGCCGGGTACAGAAGGGTAACAAGGAGCAGGGTGAGGTCAGTTCGTCGTTCTCTATCCACGTCAAAGGTGCTGTAGATGGACAGGGGTGGAGAGGCGCTGTTTCTCCTTTTGGCTGGAGCTATTTTGTCTTTATCTACAGACAGTGTTGCTGTGGCGCAGGCAGTGTCTGCAAGACCTGTCTATGCAATCTTGGCTTGACAAAGTGTTAATGGTTTCAATAACCAAGTTCGTCCCTCGAGGGTTTTTGCTGGGGAGACTTCTCGCGGTGGTGACGCCCAGTTGTGAAGATGGAGAGTTGTTGGCCGCTTTTGCTCGAGTGAACATCCTGAGCTGGAGCTGTTTGTACTGGTGTCAAGTGACAATTCTCTCTGATGCCTCAGAACCTCGAGCGGTATCACTTCACACAGGCCTGTTCAGGCTGTCGAGACTTCATGAGGCGTTTCGTGATGGCTGTAGTTATGAAAGAGGAGTCGTCATCTTGGAGGCGGCTGGAGGCAGGCTGAAAGATGTCTCCATGATCACCACAAAGACAGCAGCCGGGGAGTGTTTTCGGTTCGTGTCGAGGCGGACCTTGACTGTTAGAAACACATTCCGCAGGACAGCAATCTCAAGAGTTTGGGACGACCGGGAGTCAGGAGACCTTGCAGACAATGCCTCATTTCGTGTGGACCAAGCTGAATCACGATGGCTTGTAACCCAGAAGCTAGCATGAATCCTTCTTTCTCAATGACGCCCGTCCCTCATATCCTGCTGCGTTGCTGAATCAGACCTGACTGCTGTGGCGTTTGCCCCATTCCGAGTGAGAAAAGGCAGGTTGTACTGGGATTCACATGCAGTGACGCAGCCGGATGACCAGGCCCAAGATAAACTTCAAGTTTTACTCTCTGGGTCTTGAGATATATTTTCCAATTCGGTCTGATCTATCACACTTATGGTATATGTATCATATGAAGTTGGAAATGACTCTATGCCTGCTTCTGTGACTCAGTACTTAGTCTGATGTTGAGGTCCATAGTGTTGTGCCAATTTATTAACCCCCTTCACCTTCTTGGAGCTTTAATGCTTCTAGCTTGATAGAACTAGTCCTAGTCTTCTGGAAGGCTCATTGTGTCAAGCCATAGGAGGCAGGCAATGGCAATGCTCAGCTCTGTCTGAGGCTGTTTCGATGCTCCCTTCTATGGTCACTCCAGTGAGGAGTTTTGCTTTCTCGTCACAATGTATCATCAATCATCACGTCAGCCATGAGATATCACTATTTATCTAAGAGCAAACCTTATGAACCAGTAGTTGACAGTTTGTATGTGTTCGGTTTTTCACACTATTCATACTTCATTAGAACTGCTCTTGAATAAACATTCAGGTATGCATTATGATCAACCAAACTATATCTGTCTTTAGAAAGTAGTACATGGCTAACATCAGCAAGCAGGTGCCTCGGGATGCTCAATAGGTGGGCTACTGCCAGCTAAGTTGTGCGAGGCCTAGTGACTCACTGGGCCTGTGCGTGCCTGGCATTCAACTGCCCCCACGCTTTCTGTAGATAGCCTCAACACATCAGGCCGGCCGGCTAGCTAGCTAGCTTTGTTTTCTTTCTTCCTTTTTGAGTGCGCTCCTCCATAGAGGCAGTCTTGTATGAGTCTCTTTGGAGAAAGAGCCGCCCAAGAAAAGCTTACAAAGGCTATAGAGGATAACAGTGCATTCAATCTTGATCTGGGCAATGGCCTCTTGATAGAAGCTGACAGAAACATAACATGTGTGAAAATCAGCACCTTTGAAAAGCAACCATCTACGTAGAGGGTACTGGGACGAGCAGGTGATGTCAGAACAGCTGATAGCCAGCCTCACAAATTATCTCAATTACTCATCATCGATGTCATCAATGATGTTAAAGAAGCTAGAAGCAAGTATTTGTTGAAGTCACCCAGGGATCCTCACACAAGAGCACTGAGAATCGATCACGATGTGTGGAATCCTAAGGCAGCATTCCGTCTGATGTCTCTGCCTGTCCATATGCTGCCGGAACATTCTTTTCACAGATTTTTCGCATAACTTTTGCACACTGACCAACTAGAGTGCCCGGAAACTCCTAGAAGATAGTACTGTACTCCAATCATGGTGTCTGTTCTCATCAGTACCTCCATCCTCTATGGAAAACAGTATCACACCGAAGTAGCCTTGACAAATTTGCCATTGTTCAGGAATTATTGGCTTTTGGTTGCTCTTCCCCCGGCATCTATTGTCCTGATAGCCATTGTTGAGCTCAACTCTTCGCGTACAAAGTTTCTTGACTTCTGCCACTCCCAGCCACCAACAGCCGGCCCTACACCGACCTCTGAAATCCAGCGACGTTTCTAGAAATTACGTTCTGGCAAATCGATCTGACTTCCCAGAATATTTAGAAAACTTCAATCCTTCCTCTCTGTTCGTCGTACCTACCTCACATTCTTCTTCCTATCCTCCATCTCATCCTCCTTGTATGCGGCCATCAGATCGTCCTCATCCTCTCTTTCTCAACCGAACTCGACTTGAACCCTCAAAGGGAAAGCAAAGGTATGTTTTGGCTTCTAATGAGCATTGCTTCCATCTGCCTGCCTGACTCAACATCTGTTCCTACCTTTCTCACCAAACCACCGTCACTATCCGGACACCGTCACTGCTCAAGCCTCGTCACTGCTTCTCGTCCTTCCTTACTTCTGCCGAGATGTCAGGCTTCTTCTTGCCCCTGTCGGCCTCTTACACAACCCTCAAGTGAATTACTACTTCATCTACCTTGGGCTCCCTTCGATCCTGCATCTGGACTTGGACCCACGTAGTTTTCACCCTAGCAATTCGCGCTTGGAGCCTTGGAAAGACCAGTTTCCAGAGCGACCATTCCGCTAGGTGTTTAATTCAACTTCCCGCACAACCGTCTTGGTGCCAGGAAAGTCCGCCTGCAGAAAAGCAACCCTTCCTTTCCCATATTTGCCCAAGTGCCCATGCCCCTCAAAAGCATATACATTCCAAGGAGGTCTCAAGACACTTCCATCCTTCTACATCTCAGTCACTCTTTCCCGACTCTTCTATTTCCCATCATCTTGCTTCCAGTATCGCCTCGACGACAAAGGCCTCAAGCAATTTGCTTTTGCCACGCACGACCAAAGTATCTCACCTGCTAATCGAAACGGAAGCAGCAAAGGATGTCTCTGCGAACCACCGTCGTGGGCTTCAACCCCCGCCGTCGGGACCAACAGGCGCAGATGTGGATGGGCCTTTTTGAGGCCAAACACCCACTCACCGAGGAACAATCCGAGTTCCTGCTGAAGTTGAAGTCGGCCCATGCTTCCAATCCCGGATCTGCTCCGACTTCAGAGGAGCTCCGTGAAGGCTATCTAACCCCTCCTGTCGGTCATGACCATGCAAAGTACAAGAAGATCTGTCAAGCCTTCACGGACCAGACCGTTTCCCATCGCCTGCGACTCCGAGACAGCAAAGGGAACAGTACCTTCAATGATTCCTGTGGCAAAGAGGATGTCAAAATGGCCACTATTTCCTATCCAGACCAGCAGTACATCATCATGGCTGTAAGTTTGTCCCAATGACCACAACCTTCCATCTTCAGGGGCCCGATCAATCGTTCTTCTATCGATGCTAACGGAAGAGCAAAGGCTCCCATGCAACCGGGCCCGAGGTTCCCAGTCCGGCCGTTGATCAATTCCCGCCTCAAAATGAAGGGCAAGGGAAGAATGGCCCGCCGCCTGAACTACCGAGCTAAGCCCACTCTCATGGACATGTTGGGCCTGAACAAGCTTGTCGCCGAGCAGATCTTCGAGTACCTACCCTACACCAGCCGTGCGGCTCTCTTCCAGACTTGTACCGAGGCAGCCTGGATTGTCGGCGACTACCAGGTCATGTATGATTTTACGCAGGGCAACCTGTTCAACTCCGAGTACAACGACCAAGAGCTCGAGCAGCTGCAGTCCAAGGGCGAGATCGGTGCCGATGCTGAGTCCCGTGGTGCGCTGGTAAGAAGAATCCGCTTCTTTCTTTTTGTGTTTTGCATTGGCTGAAAGACTAACGATGTTTTAATTTTCTTAGCATCTGATGGTCACCCGAACCCACCGAGACTGGCATGTCAACAAGAATATCGCATTCCGCCCCAAGGCCGACTATTGGCGCATGGGAACTTCGCTCTGCCGTCTCTTCCGGTCTTTCAGCCTGCATACTCACAATACCTACTTCCTCACGCTGGCTAACCTGGAGCATGTGGATGATCGAGTGGCAGCTGGCCTGGTCAAGCTGCTGCCCAAGCTGAAGAAGCTGGAGATTGTCAACTGCGAGATGTTCCGTCTACACCATGTCGCTCGCTTCCTCGACCTGATTGCCGACCTCCAGAAGGAGCGTGGAACCTATATTCACATTGACATCGCCCCTCTGTTCGAGCGTGGCTGCATGTGGATGAACGACAATTCCCAGACTTGGAACGTAAAGGGCCCCGAGACGTCCCGTAAGGGCACATTCGGCGTCACTTGGACGGACTCGGGTGTCAAAATCCCTACTGCCATTGTTGGCCTTCTTTTTTATCGTCTTCTTCCCGCCATCTATGGTAAGCAGTGTTTCGTATGAATTTGCTACATCCACATGGCCTCTTTTGCTAATACATTATCTTCTGCTACAGGTGCTGGTCAGGATCATATGATCATTGATACTGCCTCTCTGCTGCGTCAGTATCTAGAGGCTCTGCCTCTGCCAGCCTTCTGCATCCCTTATACGATGGCAGCATACGATTTGAAGCTGGCCATGGACGCTGAGATCGCCGTTGAGGGAGCCCCGATCATAGCGGAGGCTGCCCGACAGATGGAGGCTGTCCAACTGCAAGCTGAGATGGCTGGTTTCATCCAGGATGACGATGATGACGAAGAAGAAGACGACGAGCCAATCATGCTGCCAGAGTTCAAAAGGGAGGACTGGTCCCAGGAGCTGCTCACGAGGGTGACTCACAATGAGATCATCATCAGCTTTACTCTTGCCAAGGCCATGTACGGCGAAGACCTCTGGCTGGAGACTTTTGACCGCGGCTACCGGTCGACCAGCTTCCAGTGCAGTATCAACAACTACGGCATCTGGGCAGAAGTCCACGAGTGTGCGCAATGCAAGAAGCCCACGCAGAGAATGTTTTTCAGCGCGGGATTCATATGCGAGGCCTGCCGCCTGGGCCTCTGGGTCGACCTCGAGACGGACCACATGAAGTACCATAAGCGCAAGGCTGTGGACGCGCTGGGCTTCACTTGGACTGAGGCGCATGGCTACAGCGGCGTGGCGGAGTCCAATCTCCCCAAGGAGAAGGACTTTGTCGCGATCGACGCCGAGGGCAGGACCGCCCCTCTCATCCATACCAAGCTTGACTTCGTGAAGCGCGTGGTCGACCTACCCAAGGGCCCGATGCACGAGTTCTGCGACGTCGTCGACAAGATGTCGCACACGGAGACCAAGCTCGGCCCTATCGGCCATGTCGGCTACGTCCAGGCCGACCACCCCGACAGCGGCTACCAGTCGGTCGCCAGCACTGTCAGGGACTCGCTGCGGTACATGCATTACCGAGAGTCCCTGACGTGCGAGAAACTGCGCGACAACAATGCCTATTTCACTGGCTGGAACCTGGACAAGGCAAACAAGGCCATGGGTGCTACCAAAACTGCAGATGGCAGGCTCATCTTCTGGTGAGGTACGGGCCGGTGTTTTCCCCCGTAGCCTATTGCATGAAAATATGCCAACAGGATAGCGATGACATTGACCATCGCTTCGGCGGCACAATGGTAGATTTGGTTCTGACAGAAGGTTCAGAGTGGAGGCTTAATTTAAAGTCGGCTTTGAGAAGGAAGATTGTGGATGATTTATCTTGATGCTCCCAGGTTCGATACTTTGAAGGCAGAGACACGTTCAGCTTGTCACTCGGATGGTAATCAATGGAGGGATAGATTGGGATCACGGACAGGATACTGGAGCCATCCATGCTCATAATGATGCATTGGGGTGCGATATCTCTGTTTGCATAAGAGACAGATCGTATAGACTTTTACGTCTTTAATCATTGCGTGCTCGTTCACACTGACTCTTTCGGTTTCTATGATGCGATACGTTGAACATCCTGCTACGGGGAGGGGTTTTCATTCCCTTTTTTCTTCTTCTTCTGACCTTGCTTGGAGCGGCGACAAGATCGGAATGCGAGGCCTCAAGATGTCTTTGTGTTTTCCCCTACTTTGGCAAATAATAAGCTGGATGCTTCCCTTGAGTGAAGCTTGTTGGTAAGTAGATCCGTGGACTATGAATCTACGACGCGTCCTCCAAGATGAAGTCGAGACTTGCCCATTCCCCCAAACCACAAGCCCATTCATTATCTTTCCTTAAGATACTCTCTGGGGATGTAAGATCTGATATTGTCAACTGAGTTAAACAAAAAAGTGTCATAGATATTAGTTTCATCCATAAAATTTCCCCGCTGCATTGGATCTCTGAGCACATATTACTGCCTTATCTGTTTGGTTCAGTGCTGAAGTAAGTAAAGACGAGAGCCAAAGCGGTTACAATCTTCTTTCTAGCTGTATTCACACTTGTACATGCCAGAATATATGAAAGACTGAAAAGAGACGAGATGATTTATTGAGACTGCATCTAAAACTGGCCCCCCCAAAAATGTAGACTGTTAGATGTCCGTGGTGAACGATTTGTAGACACACGAGTTGACAATTGAGGTACAGTGCAGACAGTACAGAGTAGGCACTCAGCACTGTCAAGAGTGGGTCCCAAAACCGGAAGGTACCGCGCGAGCTTTCGACCTCGACATGATTTTCCAAAGCCGCGCCGAATTGAAGCAGCCAGTAGCACCTGCAACCTCAATCCGACAAATCCTCTACCCCCCTTCTTCCTCCTTGAAGGACGCTTCAGCGCAATGCCCCGACAAGCGGCGCGCCTCGTCCTCGGACGCAGCGTCAAGGCAAAAACCATCCGACAACGACCCTTCTCAACCACCCCACGCCGCAGCGACGATGACGCGAAGAACAACAGCAGCAGCAGCAGCAACAGCAACGCACGAAACCAGCGATCCGTCGCAGCCGCCTCTGCCCTCGGTGCCATGAGCAACAGCCGCTCTGGGGCGCCTTCGTCCTCGTCATCATCATCATCTCCTTCGCAGCAGGGTAGCCGCAAACCAATTGAGATCCGCCGCACTATGGGAATGCGTCCCCCGACCCTCTCGCGCCCGCCTGGGCTGGGTCAAGGAAGGAATATCATCGATCTCAAGAGCCTCCCGCGACGCACAGACGGCGCACCTCGATTTGTTCGCCCACCACCACATCTAGGCAGCGGCAGTAGCGGCGGTGACAGGCCTGCACCGGGCTCGTCAGGCTTTGTGCCTCGCTTTGCAGGCCGGACTGGTGGTGGCGGCGGCGGCGGCTTCCAAGGAGCTCCTCGTGGGAACAGATTCGGTCCTGGAGCGCGCACCGGTGGCTCTCTTGGGTCTTTCCGGCCACAGCGCCCAGGCGGCGGACGCTTTGGGGGCCAACAGCCTCGGACCGGAGGTGGTGGGGCCCGACGAGGACCACCACGGCGGAAGAGAGATGATAAGAAGCCGCGCGAGCAGGACGCCACCGAGGCCGGCATGGAACAGATGGATGAGGAGGTCCAGAAGTACGTGGCGACCTTGGATGCCGGAGGCGTCGAGAGGCCGTACAAGCCGTCGACGACGCTCGAGTCGCTGATCGGCTGGGGCCCAGCGGTGGCTACCAACACGGCGATTGGACAGGCGGAGATTGCGGTGCGCAATATGCGGATCATGGGCGGAGGCAGAGGCTTCCAGGAGGCCGAGTCTACCTTTGAGCTGAAAGACGTGAACAGGTGGCTGTCGGCAGGCCAGCCCATCTTCTACTCGAACATGGAGCAGAAGAAGGGGGTGACGATGATGCTCTCCCCTGGCAAGGCGGATAAGATTGTGGAGAAGAAGCATGCCGCGATCATCGAGAAGGGCAAGGAGAAATATGGTGAGGACTGGGCGGCGTTCGTCAAGGCCTACAATAAGCGCGGCACCGCGGACGAGATTGAGAAGAAGTCAAGGGAGCAGGCCGAGCGCGTCCTCATCAAGCACGTCAACGACCGCAACCTTGTGTCGACCAAGAACAAGACGACGAGGGAGGCCATCATCAAGTACGCCGTCAAGGGCGATCATCCTGTGATCAAGCAGGCTGAAGACACCTGGGGCAAGCTGGCTATGTATGCCGCCCATGAGCGGTCATACAGACCAGTAGATGCCGCCAGGCTTGAGGCCAAGGTGCGGACATTGGTGAAAGCATAAGAGTTGTTTAGGGGTCGTTGAGAGGATTGCGGCGCGCCAAAAAAAGACTGGCGGTTGGTCATTTTAGATACGCGATCGCCGTGGTTGTACAAATTCAAATTCAGAGAATTTCAAAACATGTGATATTGTGATGCACATGTAGTAGCATGTTCTATGCCATACCCGCACAGTGGTCACCAGATTACAGCCTCTTCTGTCTGTTTGCCAGCTCGACCTGCAGCTGCTTCTCCTTCTTCTCAATCGCCTCGAGCTTCTTATCCTGCTTGGCCTTGACCATCTTGTCCAGGTTCTTGACATCGTCCTTGGTCAGGTGCTTGGCCTTCTGCCACGTGGCATGCTTGCTCTTCCTCGTGGCCAGGACGTCGCGCACCGCGTCCTTCCAGGCATTACACTCGCCCTTGAGCCTCTTGGCCTGCTCCTCGGGGTTCTCGGGCTCGACGCGCAGCACTAGCTCTAGGTCGTTGTCCGGGTCGCGCTGCGGCTGCTGGTTGAACTCGGCGCTGTTCTGCACGGCGCTCATGATGGGCTTGATGTACGCCGCGTCGCTGACCATGATGGACACGCTGCGCCCGCCGCGGTGCACCACCGACGCCAGCTCGTGCAGCGGGTACGTGTGCGTCGACTCGCGGTCCGGCCGCACCCGCAGCTGGCCCAGCACGTCCGGGTTGAACCGCCCGCCGCTGGCCTTGAACTCCTGCAGCTTCTTCTCGAACCGCTCGTCCACGCGCGCGTACTCGGCGTCCACGTCCTGCAGGTCGAACGCCGACTCGTGCTCAAAGTCGGACGGAGGCTGGAACTTGTCGCGGGCCTTGCGCCGGGATTCCGACGGGAGCTGGTCCTCGGCCCATGCGTCGTCCTTGGCCTCGGCTGCGGCCGCCTTCTTGACCTTCTCGCGGTGCTTTTTGGCGCCTAGGAGGGTGGTCTGGGAGAAAGTTCGGCGGTGGACGAGAGTGGGTGGGGAGGAGGTCGTGGTCAGGGCTGGGCTGCATGCGACGAGGGCGCTGCTGCTGGGAGCTGTGGCTCTGAACGCGATTGTGCTTCTGTTTCGGGATGGCAATTAGCTTGGAAAGTTTGGCCATTGGAGGATACTACACGGTGCTTTACCTCGATGATATAGTGGCGCCATCATAGGTGCATGCGCGCAGCGCAATTTGAGCTCTCTGCAGTCCTCTCATGGTGGTGGTGAGTGGTGTTTGCTCTCTCTCTCAAACATGCAACAAATGACCGCCTTTGGAAAGTTCAGGGCAGGTATGGGACCTAGTATCGGCGCCGACTCGGCCAAGTCTTGTGGCGCCCTTTTTGTGGCGTTTCTGTGGCGCCGGTTCCTGAGTCTCGACGAATTAATGGCCATCCAATTTTTCTTTAAAATTTTTATTTCTTTGGTCTACATTTAGATATTACTGTATGACTTGTCCAAAAGACACCCAGGTCCTCTATGAAAGAATACAAACGAGATTGTCAAGAGCAGAGGGTGTAAGGCATCCTTCTGGGCTCTGGCCGATTCCGAGGGCCAAATCTTTCCTGGGAGCTCCGAGCACTTGAGTATGGTCCCATAATAGTGGTTTCCTGACGTCCAAATATTTGTTGACCGCATGCTATTTGAAATTGAATGGTAATGGGTACTCTGTGTGAAGACCAAGTAGTGAAATTTTAGTTATGATCTAGTTAGTATTAGAATTGAGCACTAAAATCACACGAATCAACATAAATTATATCAACTCCTTGGAAATCATTGCTGTTATGATTTCTTTATATAGAAAAAGAAACCCTTTCCCAAAACTCACCAACTCTCAGATAGCATCTGTGGCATTCTATGAGTGCAACTTGTTCAAGTATTGGGGCCCATGGCTTCCTTGACGAGTATTGGTCCCTCAGATTGCCTTTCAAGTTGCACTGAATGATATTCCAAGTGTTTAGCTCTAGGACCATCCGTTTTGGCTTGAGAAAAAATTTCTTCCTTCTTAAATATGCAAATACTAAGAAACCTCGTATATGCGATGAAGGAGTACTCATACAGATTTTGGCAAGACTGATGCCAATTCAGTGCTTTCCAATTGCTATCGACATTGCCATGTGCTCAGGTCCTTGAGTTGTTACTATACCAAGTACCGATGCATGTGGTGGCGCTTTGAATGCGCATCAAGAGATTGTCTTAACATTACTCAAAACATGGAGATACTCATCGTTGGCAACCCTCTGTTCAAGTCTTGTGTGAAATGGCATCGGAGCCAGTATAACCAGGGACGTACGCGTCTGGTCAGCCGATATTTTCGGCAGTAAACACAAACTCCACAAGAAAGAAACCCTGATAAAACAAAGATAACCTCGCTTATGATGGGTTTGTAATCATTGACAGAGCGTGTTGGGCAATCTCAAATCCTGCAGCAGATATGTACCTGGCTTGTGCCACTCCATGCATGAGATTCATGGTGGCACACGTGATAGCCGGTATGGCGAGATTGCGTGCTCGTATGGCGAGCAATGGCGGCAACCAAGTCCATATAGACCGGCCGTCTCCGCAGCATGAGACGTAAATTGAATCACTGTCAAAAAGAAATATATTCATGATAGAAGATATATCTTGATTCACTATTTCGGAAACAGAAAATGGGTGGCGAAAGGCTCATCAAGTCCGTGGCCATTATCGGAGCCGGTGCCTCAGGTATTTGGCCCCTCAAGTGACTTTCATTGACGCAGCTTTGTAAGCTTTTGGCTGAGACTCTGGTACTGCTATAAAAGGAACAATCGCAGCTGCCGCCCTCAAGGCAGAAAACTATTTCGATCGGATCCAAGTGTTTGAGAGACGGGATTCTGCTGGAGGAACATGGTCAGATTTATTCCTCTTCATTGACATGGACCGGCCATGTTCTTGCACTACTATTACATCAGGCTGACACCTGGATAGGATATTCGATCCAAGCCCTGGACCGGAACTGCCTATTGAGCCAGGCAAACTACCTCCAGAGATCGACCCACCACTGAGTATTCCGAATAATCTCCCGAGGATCACCGCTCCAAGTGAGCAGGAGCGTTATTCACAGACACCCGTCTACAACTCCTTGACGTGAGCCACTACTACCTATCTCATACGACATACAAGGGCGCCCAATAATAGTACGACACTGACAGTGTATGACTGTTAAAAGGACAAATGTTCCTGATGTAGCAATGTGTTTTTCCGACGAGAGGTTCGCGTACGGCCCGTTCCCACCTCATCATGTGCCCCGGCAATATCTGGAGAACTACGTGGCCCGCCACAGGCTCGATGAGCACCTGGTCCTCAACACCACTGTCGAAGACGTGTCTAGGATGCCACCGTCTTCTGGAACGGGCGGGCCCGAGCGATGGGAGCTGACTCTCCGCAAACACGATGTACTGCGACACGTCGACATATGGTGGACTGAGATATTCGATGCAGTGATCATCTCCAATGGACACTACTCGGTTCCATATGTAAGGAATATCGGCCTTTCTCACTCTTCAATTTGCTTGCCTCCTGATATCTGATTTTGATTGAACGTATTTTTCCCTTCCCGTCTGACCATCTTATTATCTCAGATTCCCCACGTAGAAGGCCTCGAAGCCTACACGCAGAAATATCCCGACCGTGTAGTCCACTCCAAGTACTACCGCTCGCCCTCCATCTACAAGAACCAGCGTGTCCTAACTATTGGCAACTCGGCTTCGGGCTGGGACATCATGAACGAGCTCACCACCACAGCAGCTTTGCCCGTGCACAGCTCACGCCGCCACAAGTCGCCCTTCGAAGGCGACAAGCCCGGCCCTGGCATCGAGTGGAGGCCCGTCATCCGCCGGTACCAAGCCGACGGCACGATCGAGTTCGAGGACGGGACGACGCTGGGGCCGGACGAGATCGACAGGATCGTCTACTGCACGGGCTACCGGCCGAGCTATCCGTTCTGGAACACGGCGAAAAACGGGCGGCCCATGTACGACTACGAGGTCGGGAAGCTGGTCAACACGTACTGGCACACGTTCTTCTCGGACTTTTCGACGCTGGCCATCGTGGGGATCCAGAAGGCGCTCACGTTCCGGAGCTTCGAGTACCAGGCTGTGGCGGTGGCGAGGCTGTTTGCAGGGCGGAACGCGCTGCCGCTGCCGCCTGCGGTGGAGATGCGCAGATGGGAGGCGGAGCGGCGCGACTGGGTGCTGGAGACCGGGAAAAAGTTTCATGACGTCGAGAGTATGCCTGGGCGGCTGGGCCAGGATACTCTGGTGTTTCTCGGGTTCCTGTATAGCATGGCTGGGCTGGGCACGCTGAAGGGGGATGGGAGGATACCTCCGGTTCTGAGTCAGGAAGTCCTCTATGCGCTGAGGAACATCCACAAGTATCCAACGCCTGGAGACGATCCAGATAAGGAACTGGTGGTCACTAAAGGTGATAAAGTCGGGGGTCAGACTATATCAGACTACGACTATCGTTATGAACAGAACGAACTGGATGAGTGGGTGATAGTAGTCGGTAATGGACACTGATTGGAGGGGGACCTCGGGAAGGCAGAAGACAACGTATGCAAGACTATTAGACGAAGATTTCACACATAACTTTGAGTATCCAAAGCATAACAATCACTTAAACAATGCATATTGGACCAGAAATTGGCTTTTGATCAGGAGACTCGAAGGTCTAATATTCACGCTGTTTGATATGTATCCACAGACAACAGTAAGTAATATGTGACAGAGAGAAAAAGTGAACCACCATAATGATCATCCACAGCATGAGAGCTCAACAATAAAATGAAAGCCTTGCTGAGCCACCTCTACCTTCTCTATTTAGAGGTTGACAGCGCGGAAGACCCTGGAGCGCTTCCACGAGGGGACAGCAGCATCGCTCGAGCTTCCACCGTAGAAGGAGGAGGCGCCCTGGGACGACTGCGAGCCAGAAGATCCCCAGGTGGACGAACCGCTGCTGGGGGAGCCGGAGGACTGCGAGCCAGAAGAGCCCCAGGTGGAGGAGCCGCCGCCGTGGTGGTGTCCGCCGGAGGCGGTTCCAGAGGACTGAGAACCAGACGAGCCCCAGGTGGACGATCCACTGCTGCCCGAGTAGCCTCCAGTAGCGCTGCCGGAAGCCTGAGATCCAGACGAGCCGTAGGAGCCAGAGCCGCTGCTGGAGCCGGTGGTGGGAGAGCCCGACGAAGAGGCGCCGGACGAGCCCGTGGTGCCAGAGGGAGAAGAGCCGGAAGAGGACGAGGCAGCCGAGCCAGACGAGGCGGCAGCAGCGGCGGAGGTGGTGGTGGTGGTGGTGGTGGAGGAGGAGTCGTCAGAGTCCACGACAGAGAGGGTGGAGAAGTCGAAAGAGGGGATCTCGATGGTGCCGACCTCCCATGTCATGCCACCGTCGCTGGTGGTCATGGTGGCCTCGACATCCGTGCCCAGGGCGAGGGTGTCGATGTAGTCGGCGTAGGCAGCGTTGAGGATGATGGAGACGTTGCTCCAGGTATGCGCAGGAACAGTACCGCAGTCCTCGGCGGCGCACTCGACGGCGGAACCCCAACCCTCGGCCTTGCCATCGCTGGTGGACAGCGTCGAGATGACGGTGCCTCCGACGATGACGTCCTGAGTGTAGTTGCCAGTGGCATCGTCGTACAGGTAATGGAAGGTCACGGCAGTGCCGGCAGTGCCCGTGGAGCCAGTGGCCTGGATAGGCTCCTGGGTGGTGGCGCTGGTCGAGATGAGCGTGTAGGCGTACAGGCTCCAGTCCGAGGAGTCCCAGTTCTCGGCGATGGACTGGATCAGATCGCCGTTGGAGGTGCCCATGCCGACCCAGAGCGACAGGTCGCCCGAGTTGTCACTGGGAGCACTGGGAAGCGTGAGCGTAGCCCAGGACTCGGCAATGTAGGTGTCGGAGGAGGTAGGACCAGTGCTGAAGGCAGGACCCATAGCACCCTGGACCTTGGCGACGGTGAGAGCGGCCGCCAGGGCAGAGAGGGCTTTGCGTGAGAAAGGCATCTTTTATGACGTTGTGTTTGAGGATGTATGTGCTCGTGTGAGAGGATTTGGGTGATATCTTCGGCACTGCCGGTAACGAATGTAAAAATAAGATAAAAAAAGAAGTTGGCTAGCAAGGAAAAAGAATGAGAGACCTGTTGGTGGTGAAAAAGAGAGGAGACACCTGGAAGAGATGGGCAAAGAGGTGATATCCAGACAGACAGATTCAGAGAACGAACTGTATATATACGGTCATGATCCAGCAACTTTGGCCAAGGACCCCATTCCTCTTGCGCAGCAATTCCCACACATGGAAATCATCTCGTCATCTATGATGCCATCTCCGAGGTGCCGGATCCTGTACTACCCCTGAGAGCTTCGAGACCTTCGAGACCTAGACGAGGCTCCTCCGGGCCCCCTGACCATTGCCATGTGCATAGAGGACCCCACAAGAATCCTAAAGCGTGCTGCAGTGGATTGCATGATACTGTAAACTTTAGCGCTGGTGGTCGTCAAGATGAAGCAATCCATGACTGTTTTGTCGATCTACCTCGGGCGCAGAGCCGCATACAGGTTGGTGGGTCCAGCTTCTCAAAACGAAACAATCGCTTGTTTGTCGCGGCCCCCCTAATCTCGCCTTTGAAACACACCAAGGGTCCCAGATTGGCGGAAATTTGTTCCATCGAACGCAGAAACATACCACGACTCGCCCATATTAAGGAACACGAGGATTACCGCCGTCCGAAGTGAGGCTTGAGAAGTTTTTTTTTTCCCTTCTTGTTACTAAATTTCCGGTGTGAATACGATAAATTGCTAAAGGATCCAACAGATTGGGGCAAGACCAAATCTGGTATCCAACGTAGCCAGCATGGAGAAGTCCTGTTCCCTTTGAAGAATGGATCAACTCAGAAGAAAAGAGAAGGTTGCTTCTAGGCGTACTACTTTGATCGCCGTCATTCCACAGAATCATGAGTGGATGACAGATCCATTATATTGCAAGACAAATCGTTGAGTATAAGGTTTCAACGTTCAATACATATCCACGTGAACACCCAGTCTCTTATAAGTCGCATGACAAAACCCAGGGTTAGGGCTAGGATCATGATAGATCGGCGTGGGCAGGATCACTTAGGTTCACGGTGAGTCAGTGAGCAATGTGACCCAAGGGCAAGGTGATTTAGTCTGAAGATCTGAATACAGAAGGAACGAGCTTATTAGCAATAGATGCTTCTGCTGCACAGCCCTTCAGCCGTCAGTCTAACTAGCAATTCTCTCACCAGGTTCGGGGATGAGCCCTCAAGTCCATATGCAGCAAACGACCAGGACCACGCGCTCCTCCGAGATGGTCTTGTCAGTCCACTGCTAGAGCAGAATTGAGACATCGAATTGCTGCTATCTTGTGCTTCGAGCGTTGAAAATTGGTTAGTATTAATTGTATGTTTTTATCACATATAGATATGTGATGAGGTCGAGTCTGTGACGGGCTGATCCAATGCTGCTTTGTACTGGAAAGTATATAGATAAGCTTCTACAAAGTTTTAGTGTTTCTAGGTATAGGTCCTGTGGCGCAGTGGTTAGCGCAACAGCTTTACATTGAGTCTCGCTGGAGGTCGTCGGATCGTACCCGACCAGGATCAGCCCTTATTCTTTTTTAAATCCTCAAACTGTGATTTTTTTGTTTTTTTAATCATTTTCCCAATCAGAATCTAATTTTTGTGCCATACCATTGCATTTTGTTTAGCAGTGAAAAGAGAGTGGTGTGAAGCCTTAGTGCGACCTCGGGAGGTGTGAGGGTGGGCCTCGGAGCTAACATCTAGCAATTATCAAAACATTTACCTCTCCTTTTTTGGATCGCAATAGAACAGCAATAATCAATGCATTACATATATATACACATGATATTGTATCAACGACCTGCTTGACACGTATTGCACGGGACAGTTGTTTCCAATAGGATGCAAGAGATCGACACACATCCACCTCGTTAGGGAATATCTTTCACGATTTTTTAATCACCATCCTAACAAAACAACAACCATTCGTCTGATATCACAGTTTGCAGCTGGAGCAGACTGTGAACATTGCAGGCTTTCCAGAAGAGGTTTACAGCAACAAGGCATCACACTTCACCAGCGTCAGCGCCCAGCTCTTGTTTGAGGACAGGGGACAGGGCTTCTGACTGCTTCAGCGTATAGCACATCATCAGTCGTGCCTCATCAGCCTTTGCCCTTGGCGCCTTGCTCAGCTAACACCTTGGATGCAGCTCGCTCAGCAATCAAACAAAAGATGGCCATTGGCACATTTCCAAGAACCGTCATCAGAGAGATGTCGCGCAACATGGTTGTGCATGATTTATCATGCTAAAGAACATAGGGAGTTTATCGCTACTTGATACACCTGGCCCTGCTGCACCACTCACGACCTGCTTTGTAGGGGTAATTGAAACATTTTCCGCGTTTGGGCTTGCACCGAATGAGTGCACTCAGGTTCAAGGGGGCGGACTGGGACGAAGGACGACCTGGTACCAGAGGCACAAGGTAGGTGGCAGCATGAGAGGAACTTCATTTGACATGGTCGCAATTGCCTATACTGACGAGAAATATGGTGCTGTGCTTGAAGAAGGTGGAGAACAGAAGGGAGCTAGGGAGTCCAATTTAGCCTTGTGACTTCCTGCCCCTTTCATCCTTCTAACTTATATGTTCAGAGCAGCCCATATGACTCTGGTTCAAGGAAGATAAACCCGAGGTGACCACAACCCAGAAGACATGATGACGAGGCTTATATATGATTTAGACTGAGGTGTTTCTTGACTTTTACAATGCCATCGTGGCAGGTTGAGTGATCCATGTCATAATTGGCTCAGCAGGCTGGGAAACGTAGAGAGCCTTACTGCGTTTCTTTTTCGTTCTTCTGAGATAAAAATTCCTCAAAAGCTATCATTCCTGATTGATATGAAGGGTCAAATTCTCTGCTCTCTCCTCTTCCGGAGTAGGCGAATCAATAGCAACAAGGCTCTTCTCTTGATTCGTGTGGTTCACTGTTAGATGTTGAATGAGACTCTCAGAAATGAAATAGCTTCAGTTACAATGACGTAATTATTCTCAATCACAAATATTCTGTTGCAGAAACTTGGTAGTAGATTCCGAGGTCTCAATACAGAGGAACTTCTTGGTACGCAAGTGGGTGCTCAGCCCCTTCACAATTACGATAAGAGGATCACCCTTTCAATGTAGCCAGACCACAACTATAGACACTTTGCTTCCTTTCTCTTCATCATGAGCCTCCCAGGAAGGTTTAAGACATGTTTTTGCATTTTGAACTCTGGCCCTTGTTAACCTCCACTTGCTGTCATTACATCTACACAGGCGGCGTGTTTGGGTCAAAGGGCTCTTGCCCCGTGGCTCGACGCCATTATATCTTCTCGTTCGGCCCCGCGATCAACATCTTGATGACCTTTCCTTCCAGGACCTTCTCAAATGCCTGTTCTGCCTCCTCAAACGGCACCTGACCCGAAATCAGCTTCTTCACATCGATCTTTCCGCTCGCCACCAGCTCCACGGCAAGTTTGTAGTCACCGCTGTTGTACCGGAACGACCCGTGCGCCGTCGCCTCCTTGATCGCAAACGCCATGATGGGGAAGGTGATGTCGTCCTTGCCCATGCCGCCCTGAACGTACGTGCCGCCGACCTTGAGAGTGTGAATCGAGGCCTGGATGCTCGGCTCGGCGCCGGACGCATCAATAACCACATCCGCGCCGTCGGGCAGGCCGGCGGACGCCTTGATGTTGGCGGCGTTCTCCTCGGCGCTGACGCGCTGCGACAGGTACGTGTGCGTGGCGCAGAACCCCTTGGCAAAGTCCAGCTTGGACTGGACAATGTCGACCTGCACGACGGTGCTCGCGCCGTAGGCCTTGGCGACGGCGCCGCACAGCAGACCCACGGGGCCGGCGCCCATCACCACGACGCTCTGGCCGGGCTGGACCTTGGCCTGGCGGACAATGTGCACGCCCACGGCGGTGGGCTCGAGCAGAGCGCCCTCCTGCAGCGACACGTTCTCGGGCAGCTTGTAGCAAAAGTCCTCGGGGGCGGCGTAGAAGCCCGTCAGGGTGCCGTGGACGGGCGGGGTGGCGGCGAAGACCATCTTCTTGCACAGGTTGTACTTGCCGCGCAGGCAGTGCTCGCAGTGGCGGCACGGGTAGCCTGGCTCGATGGCGACGCGGTCGCCCACCTTCAGGCTGGTGACGGCCTCGCCCACCTGGGCGACAACGCCGGCGGACTCGTGGCCCAGCACCATGGGCTCCTTGACGATGAAGGACCCGATGCCGCCATGTTGCCAGTAGTGCACGTCGGAGCCGCAGATGCCGGTCCAGGAGACGGCCACCAGCACCTCGTGCGGGGAACTGAGCTTGGGGACGGAACGCTCGGCGAAGCCCACGTCCTTGGGCTTGTTGAGGATGAAAGAGAGATTCTGTGGAAAAAAAAAAAAAAAAAAAAAAAAAAAAAAGGATTAGTTATGCTGTACATGAAGGGTTAGGGAAGCTACTATGGCTTGTCTCACAGATTTTCCCTCCATTTTCACACGATGTATCTGTGTTGACTCTAGGTTGAACTTCTAGAGCCTGTCTGTACTGGGAGACACAGCTTCTCAGTGGATCCTTGTGACGTGATGTCGACGATGTTCAAACGTGCAACAAGCAAGGAGGCAAGAGGAGAAGAAAAGAGCAGCAATGCACTGTGAGTATAGAGTACGCTGTTCAAGATTTGCAGCTCAACATATGTAAGATGTTATTATTGTTCCAGGTTTGGAGTGTTTGTTCGTTTTACGACGATGAGAGTGAGTGCCTGCCCCTCCATGAAAGGTCACTGGTCCCCCACTATAGCAGCAGGTGTCACGTCACTAGCAGCGGTTGAAGTCGCCTAGCATCCCCCGGTGGAGACCCGCCTAGGGCGGTCTATAGCAAAGTCTTTGGCGACTCTTATCCAGCGCATTTACCCGCTCCAATCATTTTCGAGCCCACTGCGTCCCCAACGCCGCGGGTAGCCTGGTGTCTCTGGGTCGAGTGTCGTCCGCCCTAGTACAGCACTTGGTCAGGATCAGGGGCACAGCAGTCCGTGGCGCTCTGCTGAGGATCACGCGGCGTCCACGTGAAATTGATCTGACCTTTTTCTCCGGAATTTACCATTTCGTATCATGGTCGATATTAGCTTAGGATATCATGTGTTTGGTGTTGGGAAGCCGTTCCAGAGGGGCTGAACGGTATGCTGATATAGACGAACGACTGCGATTTATATTGAGGCTAGAATTGAAAGAATTGTATGATTCTGGAACTGCATTGTGATAATACTAGTGCGGCCTGGGCTAATGATCTCAAATAACCGAATCCTTGAAGTCATAGTAGTCTTGCGAGGACTCGACTTGCTCAACGTATTTGGCAAACAAGTCGTTAGCTGATTTCGTTGTGTGAGCAAGGGCTGGTGAATACACTGCCTTGCTGGACGCATATTCAAGCCATCACCTTCATGAGTATAAAACAGAAGGGGCTGGGGAACAGATCTCCCTTGGCTCTGTACGATTAAACAGTCTAAGCTGCCTGATTTGGTTTGCCGTTGGGCTTCCTAGGTATGCACCAGCCAATCAGCATACAAGAATTGCTGCTGGCGAGGAGTAGCCACAATGGTGAAATCAGACACTGTTGCTGCTCTCCACGACATCTTTCTGAATGCCGTACGCATATGGTTGAAAACTATTGAAAGCAATCAATAGCAGCCTAACCTCATTATGAAAATAGAGGAGAAGAGAAATGAGCCACGAATGGGGAAGTCGCTGTAAAGGCCGCAAGGCTTGCCCAGATGATGGCTAGCATCATTGGCACTAAGCTTCGTGTCTGATAAATAGTTGAGTACCCAGAAAGTCACAGGTCAATAGATAATCATTTGCATCTTCTTATCTGCTTATACATCAGTGATTTATTACAAGAGTGTACAGGTCAAGAAAGGAAAAAAAAAAGGGGACGACTGAGCATAAAAAAATAAATAAAAAAGAATCGAAGTATCGACGGGAATTGAGCCCGACGTGGGGGTCGAACTGGAAGTACTGTTAGTAACCATGTTGCAGCGACACTATGAGAGAAGTGACAAACATACCCCACAACCTTGAGATTTCAGAATCGGAAACTCTGTAAGAGTCTCACGCTCTACCGATTGAGCTAGCCGGGCGTCGAAAAGACGCGTTGGTTGAGAATTCGCTCAGAAAAAAAGCTTTATATCGTCAAGGTAATTCAGTAGAGAGGAAGAAAATTTCTGCATGCGGCGGGTTCCCGGGACCCCACTTGCTGGCGCATACCCCAGTGAGCAGACCACTCCCCCCCCAACACGCACACGCGAGGAAACTCCAAAGCGAAATTACAAGTTTGACTCGTAGTCGATATTCTAGCTGGTGAAACAGGACGATATCGTGGTTGCGAGCCGTGACTTTGGCAGGTTCGAGCCTATACAAAACGACCCTGAGCCCAATATAAGAAATCAGGCCATGGAGTCCTCGATGTTCACGGCGGGCGCTAGCACATGAACAGGCACCAAAAATGGGTGTATAATGAAACTGAATTGAGAGATGACATGAACGAGGGTGACAGTCTATGAGTCTTCGGACGCAGACTTATCAGGGCTAAACTTGACACTTTGACCTGACCGATGTGTCCGGCTCTGCACACCAATGTCTCTCTGTCTCTCTCTCTCTCTCTCTCCAGCTCCAGTGCCCTACTCTCGGCGTTTTGAAGGGCTGACTTATTAAATATCCTCAAACACCCCAGGGACGTAAAAAAACATCACTGCTGTGTTTCCCCTAAATGACCAAATAACCCAGCGTGGCATCCACTCCAGCGTGGTTCCCGATGGCCAACCTCTCCTCAGCTCTCATGCTCGCTTACCTGTGACCTCAACCGCCGTCTTTTGGGCGGGAGCTCAGGTTGCGGTGGCAGAAAAAGAGAGAAGCACATCGGCCAATGGGAAAAACCAAACACTTCCGTATGTGCCCGCAGTATAAGGCCATTTGGGAGGAAAACTATCATCCCGGCACAAGCGCTCCTCTCTCGGGGCCTCCCGCCGCCTTTGGTGTAGCGAGGCAGGAAAGCCCCCCCCCATTGAGAGAGGCAGCCAGGGCGCAGGGTCGTCAACCTGGGGCGGAGGATCTTCCAAAACCTGACTGCAACCAGCTTCCAGGTCACGCCGTAGGGGCATGAGGTCTTCCAGCGGGGCATTAAGTCTTGGGTCCATCAACGTTTGACTTTTTGCATTTCAGCGTGATTTGTTGAACACACGAGATCCGCTTCCAGAGGGACGTGTGAGGGTTCTTCAACGGGCAACCTGTCAGAGCTCGGCGGAGCTCGACGTCAGGTTGCGTGCCGCTTCTAGTTCTCGCGCGTCTGTATCCCCAGAAGTAGGATAGAGTCAAACGGAGGGGGGTATGGGGGTTGTCGACGTCGAAATTTTGAGTGTTTTTCTTGGATACACATGTCCCACTTCCAGGCGTGCGCACGAGGTCTTCCAGCGGGAATCAGACGGAGCAGGGCGCTCGAACGGCCAATTGCGACCGCTTCCAGGTCGTGCGGGTTTCTTCCAGTGGGTATTTCGGACGGACGGCGTCTCGACGGCCGACTGAGCTTTTTACTTGGTCGTGCGGCCCAAGCAGTATGAGAAAGGGAACTCAGTCGGCGGAGACGGGAGACGCGCTCAACGCATTGCCAAGGCTTGAGAGGGACCTGAAGGCGATGCGGAGCGCGTGGGGGTTCTCGAAGCTCGACGCCGCAGGGTCCGCAACGGGGGATGCGGAGAGGGTCAGTGGCGGAACTGAGAACATATTAGGAAAGGTCTGGTAGTTCCTCGATGCTTCGTGTGCGTGTCTTGTCGTGTCGTCGTTATGCCAAAGCATGATCAAACAGGCTTGGGTTGGACACATGTGGCGTGCATCGAGGGGCGCGAACTCCAGGGAGGTGTGGGAGCTGCAGGGGAGGGCAGAAGAGATCTCAATGCTCGAAGCAGAGGAGATCCGCGATATTTATGATCTCGTCTTCATGTTCTTGATCTATCACTGTCAGTGCGTGTCAGCCGGGGTGTTTGGTCCCGCTCCACCTGACTTGTCTCAACACCATGTTCCACGTTTCAGACATGCAGGAGTCGACAGTGCGTATGGCACGACTGCCAAACCATTGTGCTTTGTGCAGTAATCAGTATCTTCAGGGCTTGTCGGCCTTAAAATAGGGATTGTGGCTTGTGCTTGTCGCCTGACAAAGCAGCTGCGAGACCTTCCGAGTTGCCAGGCGAGGATGGCTGGCTGCAGCTTGCCCCCCAACGGCTCACGAGGAATGGATACTGTGATTGATGCGACATTGGTGAGTTGGTAGGCCCGGCATCTCAGAGCAAGCACATGAATTGATCCCAGAAAACTGGCAGGTTGGGAAGTTGGAGGGAAGGATAAAAGACAATACCCAATGATGGCCAAAATTGAGGGGGTGAGCCGCGCGCTTGGAGTGCAGGCGCGTGGGAGCAGACGCTTTCCCAAAACTCAAATCCGCTACATTTTCGCCCTCTCAAAGATTACTAAATCGCTATGCAGTTTCGACAGAAATGTCTGAGGAAAATAAGAGGGGAAAAAATAATGCAGCTATGTCTCGAGCACACAAATACACACAGCACTATATGTCAGCGGCAATGCCCTTTTTATACGCCGCCAATGCTCTTTCGCGACAACCCTTGTGTTCGACAATGGCCTTTGGGTAGCCTCCCTTCTTGGCGATCGCCGCCGCCCCTCGCCCATATGGGTCGTGGATGGCTTTGCCCTTCACTTCTCTCAGCTCTGGGATCCACTTGCGAATATACTCACCATCCGCGTCGAACTTCTCGCTCTGCAGCAGCGGGTTGAACACCCGAAAGTACGGCTGAGGGTCCACACCGACCGACGCAGAGAAGCCCCAGCCACCGTTGTTGGAGGCAAAGTCACCATCGATGAGGTTCTCCATGAAAAACCGCTCGCCCATGCGCCAGTCGAGGAGGAGGTCCTTGCAGAGAAAGGAGGCCACGATCATCCTGCAGCGGTTGTGCATCCAGCCCATGTGTTGTACTTGCCTCACTTTCCAAGGTTTCCGAGTTAGTATCCTGGCGGAGTGTATGGTCTTTGAAGCATCTGGAAGGTAAGAGAGGGGGATCATTGCTAGAGAGGGAAACCAGCTTACTGGCGGCATCAACAATAGGAAAGCCTGTCTGGCCCCGAGCCCAGGCGGTAAAATGCTCCTTCTCGTAGGACCACTCGATATTGGAATACTCGGGCTTGAAGGGTTTGTTCATGCTGGGATCATGTCGTCAGCTTGGTCTCGAATATCTCATAGGCGACGTGCCTCCTCAGACGGCTGCAACAGACCTGGACTTACCAGACATATGGCCAGTTCACTAACACATGCTTGTAGAAATCTCGCCATGCTACCTCGCTGATCCACGTCTGAATCCCCTGATTGCCACCATCCAACTTCTTGATCGAGTTGTTGTCCCTCGCCGCCCTAATACACGCCCTCGCGCTGATGGTACCGCTGGCAAGGTGTACAGAGAGCGACGAGGTGCTGTTGGCCGCCGGAAAGTTACGGTTTGCACCGTACGAGTTGATTCTCTCTTGGCAGAATTTCCCAAGTCGTTTGAATGCCTCGTGCTCTCCGGCTGGCCAAAGCGCTTCGTACCTCTTCCCATCCTCAGCCGAGAGCCGCTTGTCCAGCGGTGCCTCTAGTATACTGCTGCCAAACAGCTTTTCGAATTTTTGACGCGCCGTGGCAGGATTTCTCGCTGGCGCGTCAAACTCCTCGAGCAAGTCCAGGTTCGTATGGATATGAGCAACCCAAGAACGGAACCAAGGTGAATACACGGCGTATTGTCTTCCCGCACCGGTTATCAACTTGCCCGGCGGGACCACGCACGTGTCATGAACAACCTCAAACGCCATGCCTCTCTCTGCTAGCAGCCTCACGATGCTTGCCTCACGTCGCAGTTCGTCGACCTCATACTCCATGTTGGTGAAGAGATGTTTCGCGCCCCACTCCTCCATTAGACTCGCGATCCTGACCGGGACATACTTACGCCGCCCCACCGTCTCGATGTGCAACGGGATGTCCAGCTTGGCCAGATCCGCCCTCAGCACCTCGAGCGTCCGCATCATGAAGTCGATGCGAATACGTGCAGTGAAGTGCGCCTCCCAGTCTTGTGGGCTGACCACAAACAGACCGATGAGCGGCACGCCGGCTTCCTTGGCCTTGGTTGAGGCCATAGACAGCGCCGTGTTGTCTGCCGTCCGCAGGTCCATCTTGAACCAGTGGACGACGGCATCGCCGACCTGGACTTTCCTGCGAGCTGCGGCTGTCTCCTGCTGGGCAGCCTGCAGCTGTTCGATGGGGCGCGGCAGCTTGTTCTCGTTGTACGCCAGGGCGCGGGAGTTGCTCATCTCGTGGGGATAGTACTTGCGCAGCACGATGCCATGCTCCTCAGCGTCCTTGTAGAAGGGGTGAGGATCAGTGAGGGAGGAGGAAGAAGAAGAAGAGGAGGACGTCTTGGCCTTCTTGATTACTGCGCCGTTGACGGGCGGTGGTGCCTTGCGCTTGGAAGACATATTGGCAATCTGGGAAGAGAGGAACGCCGCGCCAACCCTCACCGAGCAAGGTGCTGCTGATGAGTACGAGAAGCAGCGTGAGAGACTCACACACAAGACGTTCATAAGTATATTGAGCCTGGACGCGGGAGGAGGAAAGAAAAGGATGAAGAGAGTGAGACACACCTACATAGTATAAACAAAAAGACTTACCTTCCTCAGCCGCTCCATCAAACCTAATTCCCTTCAGCTATGGAAAAGAGATGTCTCCCGATCTTGGTCCCTTGCGTCATGGAACTCGAGATCGATTTATTGTACTATGCATCCCTGACGGACGGCCCGCTAGCGCAGCACCCCCAGGGGCATCTTCAGGGCATCCCTGCCAAACGAAACATTCCACTGGGGTGCTGTATTGATCAACGACACCAACGGCCTTGTTACTGTGTGAATGCCCTCATTCACCTAATTACACAACATTCATTAAGCAGACCGCACCATCCGAATTCGAACGACCCATGCGTATTTCCACAGCCAGATGAAGGAGAATTTTCATGTCTTTTCTATTGTCAATTCACACTCGCTACCTGGCGTGGTCACATTCGACCCCACCACCAACGCCCGCGTTCCAACGTTGGCATGCCTTCGACAAATCCAGTTGTCAGATAACATGCACTCCTCTCCCCTCTGTCATCTCACGCTACAAACTAAATGAAACACGAAGAACTGCAAAGGAGTGAAAAAAAATGTCCAAGGCCTGTGTAAGCTACAGGTATAGGCGGACTAACGGCACTTTATTGTCTTGTGCATGCATTTCATCACTTGCAGAATCACTTCAGTTGGAAGAACAAACAGGGAATGATGCCAGGTATACAGAAATCCATGGTCATAATTCATTGTATTAAATGAAGTCTCAAAAGTGGCAGCTTCCCAATGAGTCTTGAAAGAAAGCAATCAAAAAGAGGGCCAGCTACGGGCGAAACCGTATGCCATTCAGCCATCCTCCACCAAACTGCCTTCTCACACTGCCTTGCCTTTCCTTTCCCTCAGTTGTGACGGGGGCCGGTAGAGGTAAATCCTAACGGATGCGTCGAAGCTCCTTTCTGCGTCGACGCTCCTGTTTGCGTCGGCGCAAATCGCCGATGGAAAGGAGTCGCGGACGAGACGGGGAGGGCTGGCGAGCATGCTTGTGACCAGCAGCGGCGGCGGCGACATCAAGACCAGCAGAACGATCAGAAGAATGAAGGGCGGCGGCGGCGGCATCAACACCAGAAGAAGTAGCAGCAGGCGTAACTGCACGACGCTCATTGGCGCTCACAAGCTGGCCCATGCGGAAGCCCTCGACGTAGGCACGCGCCTGGATCGGGTCACTCATGTCGACGACGCCCGAGCCGACGACTAGTTGTGAAGCCGCCGCGACCTCGTCTTTCTGCTTTTTCTTCTCCTCCATGTCCTTGCCATCCTCTGTCTCCTCTTCCTCCTCCTCCTTGTCCTTGTCCTTGGCCATGCTCTTGCTCTTATGTTTCTTCTTCTTCTTCTTCTTCTCCTTCGTCGTAACGTCCTTGCTGCGGTGCGGAACGCCGTTTCCAGCAGCAACGGCGATGGGATCGCCAACGGGCCAAGTCCGCACAGCCTGCAGGGCCCGATCGACAACGTATTCCTTGGCGCTCTCGGCATCGGTAAAGACACAGTCGATGTTAGCCGAGACGTCCTCCTTGTCCGGGGCAACGAGGGCGTTGGCAAGGGTCTTGGTCGCCCCGATGGTGCAGCGGACGCGGCCGCCCGCCTCGTGGAGGTCGAAGGTCGGGTGGTGCATGCCGCGGCGCAGGCACTCGTACTTGAGCTGGTCCATGGCCGGGGCGTCGCGTGGCGGGGTCTCGGGCTGGCCGAGCATCTCGTCGATAACGTCACGGAGGGTTCTTTCCTCCTTGTTGTTGTTGTTGTTGTTGTTGTTGTTGTTGTTGTTGTAGTTGATTGACGTTGTGGCGGGAGTAGTAGCAGCAGCAGCAGCAGCAGGACGAGATAGGGAGGTGCGATGGGTGGGTTGTACCAAGACGTCGTTGGGGGTCTTGTTGGTCTGGGGCGGCTCGAGGGTCACACCGAGGTGGCGAAGTACGTTGGCTGCGAAGCGCTCCTGGGGGGTGGCGGTAGCGGTGAGGTGTTCGGCGCTGTTGTCGTTGCGGCGCGTCGGCACAGATGCTGGTGTGATAGTTGGGCCGTCTTGACCAGTCAGTAGAGTTCATTGGGTTGATCTTTGTTGATGGTGGTGGTGATGATGTAGAGTGCTTACCACAGCAGAGTGTGGTGTTGATGCGTTGAAGGAGGGCTCAGGAGAGGAAGGGAGGGAGGAGTCGGAGAAGGTGGGATTGAGAGAGGTATCAAGAGAGGCAGTGGAAGAGGAATTCGGGCAGGAATGGAAACACCTTACCGTCTCCAGCAGGAATCTCTCCCTCCTCCAGCTCAGAGGACATTTCCTGAGTGACAGTATCATCTACCATTTCTTTTTTGATATCGCTCATTTCTCTCATCTCAGCAGTGTTCATCTGTGTTGACGACAGGGAAGTAATTAGGGAGGATGGATGGAATAGAAGAGGTTGATAGTGCATAGGGAAGAGGTTGCGAGATGTTGAAAGGGAGATGGATGCTTCTTTGTAAAAAGGGGCAAGAAATAGAGACATGGCAGATTAAGGCGCAGGAGATGGATGGTGTGTTTGTTCACAACATGTCGAGAATCACAGCCATCTAACCTTTGCATGTTGCTGCCATGAAATATTTCAGTGTTGTGGGTTATTCAACTTTTACCCTGTCCAGCCCCATCTCTCTCTTCCCCTTCACCCTTCCCTCCCTTTTCACCTCATACTGAGCAATACCATGACCAAGAGATCTCCAAGAGCCAACAAAATTCTGTCTTGGCCAGAAACTGCTGCTGTCTGTGCTGTGCTGTCCCCCTCAGTTCATCAGCCCCTCCACCTCCTCTCCCTTCTCCCACCTGACAATATTCTTCACCTGGGCCTCATACCACGCAGTAAAGATATCCTTCTCTGCATAGCCCGTGTGAGGCGTCAGAAGCACCTGGCTCCTCCCTTCCACCCCCCACTTGGTCGTCCGCCAGCGGCTGTCCAGGGGCAGAGGCTCAATCTCAAACACATCCACGCCCGCCGCCCTGATGCGCCCTTGCTCCAGCACCTCCAGCAGCGCCTCCTCCACCACAATCGGGCCCCTGCTCGTGTTGACAAAGATGGCATCCTTCTTCATCCGGCCCAGGTCCTCCGCAGTGACCAGGCCCCGCGACCGCTCCGACAGCACGACGTGCACGCTCAGCACATCGGCCGACGCAAACAGCTCCTCGCGGCCGACGACCTCAAACGCCCCCGCCTCGAGCCCCGCCGCCCGCGCCTGCTCGTCCGCCCGCGCCTGCGTGAGGTTCGTGCTCCACGCCACCACGCGCATCCCAAACGCCCCGCGCAGGATCCGCGCCACCGCCGCCCCGAGCCGGCCCAGCCCCAGCACCCCGAGCGTCCGCCCCGCCAGCGGCACCGCCACGCCCGACTGCCACCCGCCCGCCTTGACGGACGCGTCGTCGACCAGCAGGTTGCGGGCCAGCGCCAGGATCATTGCCACGCAGTGGTGCGTCGTGCTGTCGCCTGACGAGGACGCGCCCGCCACCGGCACGCCTGCCTCGCGGAGGGCGTCGAGGTCGAGGCCCTTGTTGCGCAGGCCTGTGGTGAGGAGGAGCTTGAGGTTGGGCAGCTTGGCGACGAGCTCGCGGGGGATTGGGGTGCGCTCCCTCATTGTGCCTGGGTTGATTTGATGGTCAGTGGGATGGACAGGTAGTACAGCGAGTGAGAAAGAAAAGGGAAGGGCAAGTGTTCTTGTACAGATGATGGGGAACGGCTCGAGCCGGGCGACGAGCTTGTCTTTCTCATCCTGAGGCGTGTTTGGGTGGTTGTAGGGGAGAAGCGTGTCGCGGAAGATGGTCACTTGGAATTTGTTGGGGTCGAGTTTCTGAAAGATGGGCTCTGCGAAGCCTTGGTAGTCGTCAAGGACAGCAACTTTGACGGCATTGGCCATATTGACTGTGGCTTTGAAGGAATGAGGTCGTTTTCGAATGAGTAACAATAGTCAGGTTCAAGAGCTTGTAGGATACCTCGTCTCTTCTTTCTTCCTCTCTCATGTGTCTGTTTGCCTCAACTCATCATGAGAGAGTCAGGGGCGTCGTTTTTGGAAGACATACCGGCATCAAATCGGCCATGTCGTCAATCCTGCCCCGCATTGAGTGGACATTGAAATCGCCCCCTCCTCGAGCGGAATCTTGCCCCGGATCTGCAAATACCCGGAACCGCCCCCAACCCCACAAGCCGTGGTGTGGTGGGGTAGCGAGAGTTGAGTGTGGCCGAGCTACAAAACACGCCTCAGGTACAGTATTCTGCTGAGTTCTCTCCGTTGATGATATTTGTTGTAGTCTGTATGTATCCTATGTCTGCTGTGAGGGGACGCAGGAATGGACCAGGGTATCAAATTTCGTGCGACAAAAGATATGTTGGGATCTCTGCACAACGACAAACCAGAACAGAAACATAAAAGGCCAACATATTCAAATATCCGGGTGGACTCAGCAAGCACATGCCGGCATCAAACATGAAGCGCTGCTGCAGATAGACATGTTGAGCCGAATGATAAAAGAAGAACAGCATGCACCTGTAAAAAAAAAAACAGCTGACAACCCTCTGTACCAAGAGAAGATGAGAAAAAGAACGCCTCCTTGCCCCCCGAGAAATGAGAGCAAAAGTCCAACCGCCCCCAAGATATCATCAAAGCCGCGGCCCCATGGCCTTTCTCACAACAAAAACCTCTTATATCCCATGTGCGCTCCACACGCCGCCTATGTTAGGTCCGCTCTCCATCACTGTCTGGCCCCAATCTGCCCAGTTGAAATCTTCACTCATATCTATGTCGATATCCTCTGGATGTATCCCCTCGCCCGGGCCGCTGGCAAGAGGAAACCCAAACGCGGGAGCCGAGCCCTGGGCACCACCACCGCCCGATGTCGTTGTGCTCATCGGCCCGCTGTTGCTCCCTGTAGTAGACGGCGTGGTCCTAAACGATCCCGAGTTGGGCGGCGTGTCGTTCCACATCCACGGCGGGAGGTTGCCCTCGACCCTGAGCGCGTCGAGGAGGGGCGTGGCCTGCATGCCAGAACCCGTCGCTGTGGTCGCAGGCCTATTGGGACGTTGCGCAGTGTTGTTGTTGTTGTTGTTGTTGTTGTTGTTGTTGTTGTTATTGTTGTTGTTGCTGTTGTTGCTGTTGTTGTTAACATTGTTGGCGAGGCTGCCGAGGGTGGCGTCCTGCCGTGGAATGTCGCCGCCGCCGCTGATGAAGGGGAACCCGCTGATGCTCGTTGCCGCGCGTGCGAGATCCTGATATCCGGGCGCGAAGGCAATCGGCCACATGTTTTGGGGTAAAAACTGTGGGCTGTTTACGATATCTTCCACCTGGCTCATGACATGCTGGTCCTGCAGGTCTGGTTGTTGCGCAGGTCCGCTTACGTCCATGTTGTTATTAGTATTAGCATTGTTGTTGTTGACATTGTTTGCCAGTGGGTTGTCAGTTGTCGGCGCAGTGCTACTCCCTTGGCCACCGAATTGCGCTGGAGTAAAAGGCCTGGGTTGTTGTTCCAGCATCTCTGGCGGCAGGGGCGGCGCGTTTACCAGTTTCCGCCAGCGCTCGAGCGCGATGGCGCTCTTGACAGACCCAGGCATGGCGGCAAAGCTGAGCGGGACCGGTGCTTTGCTCCGCTCCTGGATCTCAAGCTGTTGTGCCGCGTCTGGATCGGCCTTGAGCCTCGCAATCTCCGTCTCGCGATGCTTCTTGGCCTTGAGATAGATCTTCTTCAGTGGTAGCCACATCGCCTGATGCCCAGCGATGCGTCCCAGATCGTCCGGCGAAGGGTTGGCGAAGACAGAGTTGAGAGCTGTCCAGGCGCGCTCTATCCCGGCGGCCCAAGGGCGGCGAGCAATTTCCATCAGGACATAGGCGACTGCGTGCCACTGCGTATATGTCTGGAAGAGCCACTTCCACTGTCTCGACCTCGGGTCCGAGTTAAGCTGGTGATTGTACTCGAAAATCTCGGTAGCGGCGGTGAAGATGCGTTCTCGTATTTCGTCGGAGAGCACCTGGCCGTCAGCACCGGGTAAGAGCACTGGTTGGTAGATGACGAGGGTCATCTTGGCCACGATGACGCGCGCAATGTTGGCGGCTGTCCACAGCTGGGCGTTGCACGACGTGGACGCGTCTTTAAAGTACCTCGCCTCCACGTTCTCATATATGGCTCTCACCATGCTTTCGCGCTCCTCCAGGGAGATGGCAATGTCCCGGGGACATTGCACAGGAGAAGACGAGGACACAACATAGAGGCGTCGGGCGGCGGCGCAGACTTCGTAGCGTATGAGAGAAAAGGTCATATCCGTCACGCCCTGTCGAGGCTTCGGCATCTCTGTTGTCTCGTCTGTGAGATCGGTGTCGTTGATGTTGAGCGGGAGTTCGGTGTCGAACGTCTTGTCCGCAATGGTAAGCTCAGTTCCTTGGTCCTCTGCTGATCGTAGGTCTAGAATGCAGAGAGCCCAGAAAAGCCTTCGTCGCATCTCAATCTCGAGGGGGGTCAACCCGGGAAGATATGTCCCGTCACGATGGAGACCCATAGACTGTCCGATTCGAATAGCAAGACCTGTCAGGGTCCAACAGAACCTGGTATCATCGTGGCGCCTGACGAGAACAAGGAACACTATGAAGGCCTGAAGGACCACCAGTTCTGAGGTGGTGATGAAATTGGCCTTGGCGAGGGCCTGCTCCAGGGCGAATCTGTATTTGCTTATGAGCTCATCACGCTCAACCCCGAAATTTGTTTGCACCTGCAGCTTGTCAGTCAGGTCTCACAACAGAGCTTACTGTTTTTTTTTTCTGGAGTGTGTTGATATGCTCACATCAGCCGCGTCTATCGAGGTGATAGCAGCAAAGTAAATTGCAAACATGAGACACTCGTTGGCCGGGCCCAATTTATCGAGATTCTTCCTCGTCTCCTTGACAAGCTTGTCAACGGTTGGAATGTGTATCACCTTGACGATAGGATCCACATTTTCCTGGTACAGTTGCCACATGTAGGGGATCTGTGATGGGAGAGGATGGAGGGCCCTTAGGTCGACGTCGGCTGATCTGTATCCGAAGACGAATGCGTGGTGATCACCGCTGCTGCGGGTTGTGGCTGGAGCTACAAGGCTCTCATCGTCAGAAACATCGGACTCCCCGTCCGTCAGCCGCTGCGTCTCGTTCCGTATCTCGTCGAGCTGTTGTCCTTGATTAGTTCTCGCGTGTCAAAAGCCTAGTAGAAGGATGGCGCTCAGCCAGCGCAAATGTCTTGCCTGCCTGCACTTACCTCGTCTGTGATCTTGGACCAGAAGACACTGCTGACGTATCTGGTCTTGCCATGGTCGTTTATGACCAACCTGCCAAATTTCTTGTTCATACTATCCTGCCGCTGAGGCACGTTGGCCGAAGAACTGGAATTGAAGTTGAATGGCGACGGCCTGCCATCACTCTGCCCCATTGGTGACCCTTGGCTGTGCGAGCTACCAGCAGCAATACTGTCGGCCCTCTCGATCCGGTGTCCCGAGCTGGGGGTATAATACTCCCCTCCGTTGTTAGCCGCAGCATCGGGCGAATTTCCGGTGCTCGAGTTGTTTTTTGCCGTCTCTATTTCGATCTGGCCGCTCAATTCCTCGACAATGCCCTCCAATTTTCGCAATCGCTTCATCAGCTCGATCTCGCGCTCGCTGGAAGGCTGCTTGGGTGGCGCATTGGGGTCTTTAGGACGTGGCCGGCGAGGCGCGCGACCAGGTGCCGGGAAAATACACGGGATCTGCGCTCTTCGACAATTCGAGCATGGCATGTGCTTGTCGCACCTGACCTTCCTCCTCCGACAGGTTACGCAGCTTCGAGGATTCAGGCGCTCGGAGGGGGTGTCTGTGGGTGTATACACGGACGCACCAGGGTAGGCAGGGTGAGTATGCGGTCGCGGTGAGTGCCCATGGTGACTGGTTGCAGCATGAGTGTGCAAGGAGTCATTTGGGAGGTTGTCGGCGGGAGACTCGACCGGACTCCCCGGGTTTGGCGAATTCGACAAAGAGGTCGGTTGACCCGAGCCTTCCATATCAAATGTTTGATGCGAGGTTCGACAAAAAGACGGACACGGTCTGGAGGTGGCAATAAGCTGCTATGCGCTGGGCGAAGAAGGGGTGTTTCCTGGAAGCTTTTTCTGTCTGGGTTCCGGTTCTGAATTCCCAATTCAGGGCCACACCAGGTCGAAGGATTGTGGCGCAGAGAATCTCCAAGCTGATTCTTGATGGTGTTTTCTGAGCTCTGTGTGGTACTCGCGCGCCCACAAGTCCGTCAACCCCTCGCTCTGCTGCCGTGCGCACTGGGGCCGCAGCGTTGATCTCGTCGAAAGCCGGTGTTGTTGGAAGGGCGTGAGAGACAATCGGATTTAAGAAACTCAGACTAATGACCAGCGAGCTCCTTGGGGGGGAAAAAGAGGAATGGTCGCTCTGGCAATGATGTACGGTATGGGTGGGGGGGTCATCTCATCCGTGGGACTGAGAGTATGTGACGTGTGGGTGAAGAGAAAAGAATAGAGGTGCAAAAAAGCCCCCTGGGACAGGTTGAAGATGCAATTCTCTCTCTCTCGCCTTGGGCCGTCTTACTTCGGTGCAGTAACCCGCAGCGTCAGAACTGCAAGCGGCCCACTTTCGTCCACCCACCACGCGGGAGGCAAATCACTTTAATGCCGGGACCGGGACCGGGACCGGCCCTAAGGCACCACTACATCATGCTTCTTATGGCGCTGATGAGCTAATCTGACAGACAATGCCCATGGTTGCTGGCGCGTGCTGTCCAGGCGGGCAAGGCGGGGCCTGCAGCAAGCCACAAGCAGTGTGGTGGCAATCCTGGACGTCTCGGAGCGCCAACGGCGCCGTGACCGGACCCACTTCAAAGCACTCTCTTCATGGGCGCCTCGGGATCAGTGGTGATCGTGTCATCGGCAAGTAGACTAACCGTCGTTTCCCGCTTGTCCGGTCACAAGGGATGGACAGCATTATTTTGCATGAACAAGTGGCCGAGATGCAGCACTCGAGCTGTAGGATTCGATGGTCCGTCCCTGGCGAGTGGCTACCCGGTTAGTAAAGCAGCGAGGATTGCTCCAAAAGCGCTCAGCTGCGCCATGCTTTTATACCTAGGTGATGTAGCATTCGGCAGATGTTGAGATCTAGGCGGATCGCCTATCCGCTCTTCCGCACGTAGAAGGATTCAAAGAGCGGTGCCGCGCACTCTATAGATGGGATTCCTCTTTCGCGTTGGCTCATGGTGAATGAGGAGCACTCCCGGGTTTCATCGTCTATGGTGACGTTTACGACTGGTGAATTCCTGTTCATCGATGCCAACCACCTCCAAACACAACCCATACGAGCAAAGTTGGAGGGGTCCCATCCAGGGCTTTGGGCGGGTCTACCCTCATATCCGCCAGGGGATAAGGCGCTTGCCTCTAGCCGCAATTGCCGCAACTTCCGCATGGCCGTCTAGTCGGGGTCGCACATGGTTGAACTTTAGGAGTCGGCGATATTTTCTGGTCAGAGCCTGCAGAGAACCATCAAGTCGCCCTGCATCCATCGAGCGAGATCTCCTTCGCATTGTGTTTGTGTGTGTGTGTGTGGGGGGGGGGGGGTGTGTTCTTTTGCTCAAGAGCCACTGCTTACCATCGACAGGAACCACATGCGATGCCCCCCGACCATAAAGAGTATGGATGGCAGGGTAAGAATTTGCGCGCAGAGATCCGGACAGACCGATGCTATCAATGAGCCTCACGCCATGATGAGACTGGTGCTCCGCAATCGATGCCGCACTGAATCATGTTGATGATGCCTACTGCGACGCGGTGTCTTGTGGCTTGCCTTAGCCCTCGGGCAACCCCCAACGTACCCTCCTTCCCACGTAGCTCGACTGCGGTTATTTTCTGCTCCATGCCTACTCTGCATGGCGAAGACAGCATAGTACGGCTGCTTGTGCTCATCTGGCGCGTCTTCAGCAACCCTTGAACAAAACGTCAGGCCCTGGGTGGCCTAGCTGCATCCTCACGGCTGTCTTGAATCTCGTGAGAATTCAGGGACCGCCATGATTGTGCTTGAGCATGGAGGGGACCCTTCTTGCAACGTTTTCTATGCCTGTCCTCGGGAGCTTCCGTACACCTCACGAGCCACATTTCCTCCTTCCCTGATCCCAGGCTTTGGTGCCTGTCTGAGGCCTTGCACAGATGGTTCTTGGGCAACTCGCCACACTTTGTGGAGTTGATCTGTTCTGCCGGCTGATAATAATGCTCGAGCGTGGGTGCTCAAAGCAAAGGTCTCGATCTGCCAGCAAGTTGGGGCAACAAGAACCACAACAACAGGCACAGAGACGGGAATGAACGGCGATTGTAGCAGGCATGATGTGTTGGGATCTAAAAGGTGACAATTCTCGGTGGGTTTTTTTCGAATAGGTGAGAGTGGAGATGGGAGGAGTACGTACTTAGGCAACTACTACCAAGACCATCGTGCCTGCATACAACACAGCTTTACCATAATGCTGACATAATCGACCAAGAGAGCCTCCTTCTTGATTTCTACTATAGTACGAGACATGTGTTCAGGAGACTTGGCGCACATGTTTATACCTTCTCCAAAGAAAAGAAGCAGAAGCCATGATCTGTCACTAATCATTTTCATACCTTACCCAGCCCAACTATTCTGACGACAACACCGACCCACAAACGATGTGGCCCAGAAAAATTTACCGAGGCTAGACGCTCTAAGAGGCCCCCACTGAGGATGCACCTAATACTCGTACCACGGCAGCAGGGAATCTCAAGATAACCTCCTTTCCATCTGTCGAGCTCGATCATGTCCAGATCTAGAGCATTGCAGTGATCGCCAAAATGCTCCGAGATCGAGAATTTGGCAATATCCCACCCGCAATCATTCAATACAAGACGCACCAGTTGTGTCCAACCCCTGGGCGAGGCTCGCTTTCGCTTGGCCCTGTCAATATCTTCTGCAGCCTCCTTGATTGGCTGTCTTTCCGGTCCTCGCACTTCTCAGAAGGCCGATCCCTGCTTATTGATATCCACTTAGACATCTCCGATGCAAAAAGGCACTGCAAATGCCACAATGCCACTTCTTTTTTGGAGCACCGTTTGGACCCACGAGGACAACTTCGAGAAGGCTCCTTTTATGAGAAGAAAGAAGAGTCTTGACATCCACGATGCTGTGCCGACATGATATGTATGTTTCCGCCTGCCCTTGCCTCACAGCCTCAAGAGAGCCACGGCAAGGCAAGTCCTGTAATCGATTATCTAGGCAATTCTAGAAGACACTCTTTACGGTCTCGACATCTCGTGACAAGCTCTTCTCAACCATGGCGCCAGACAAACCGAGGCCACCTTGCGTGCACCAGCGACAAGCTATTCAGAATGGCGAGTTGGTGGGGATTCCAGAAGAGAATTCGAATCCATGCGAGCAATGCAAGGCAGAGAGCCACCGGGCACTCATCTACAGGCTGAAGTTGATCGCGGGCCTGTTGATGCCGTTTGCCCTTCAGGCTCTCGACGTTACCATGTGAGCTTTCTCTACGTGGGCTTTGCGAAAGAATGTTGGCTATGGTAGAATCATGATGCTAATACATGACTTCAGTGTAGCAAGCGCTCTGCCTTTCATCGCCATTGATTTCAGTAAGAAGACAAGCCTTTTGCCGAAACACATGAGAATACCAAGTCGCTGACTTTTACCCACCAGACGAGGTTGCTGAGCTCAACTGGATTGTCTCGGCCTTCAACCTGACCAGCGCGGCCTTCATCCCGTTCTGTACGACCTTGCCCCTCGATGTGTATCCCACTCTGACCTCGAGCACTAACAGAGATATTGCTCAGGGGGCCAAATGGCCGACATTTTCGGTCGACACACCTCTCTCCAGGCTGTTCTCCTTCTCATGACCCTTGGTAGTGCCCTCTGTACCGGAGCGCCCACGACATCCTTCCCCGTCCTCCTCCTCGGCCGTGGCTTCCAGGGCGTGGCCTGCGCGGGTATCAGTGTCCTGGTGCGCGTCATCATCTCCGACAAGGTCAGCCTGCAGGAGAACGCCAAAAACTGGTCCTTCTTTGCGCTCACGGGCGGATGCTCCTACGCCATCGGACCAGTCGTCGGCGGGTACCTGACCAGTGCGAGCTGGAGGTGGTGTTTTGGGATCAACCTGCCCATCTGCATCTTGGGCATTCTGATTGTGTTCTTTGTGCTGCGCAAGGAGCTGGTGGGCCCGCAGCCTTTGGCCGGTGTCGATGATGAGGTTGTGTCGACGCAGAGAACCAAACCCGCCGCACCAACGGTGATGCGTCGGCTCATGACGATTGATGTGGGCGGCCAGCTGCTCTTCTTGTTCGGGTTCGGCTTGATCATCCTGGCATTCACATGGGCAGGCGATACATACGCATGGAACTCGTACGAGGTCCTCGTCCCTCTGATCCTCGGCGGTCTCCTCGCCCTGACCTGGCTGGGGTATGAGTACCTGATGGCACCGAATCGGGCCCTCGGGAAGAGGTTCTCATCGCAGAGCCCCATGATCCCGTGGCGTTTCATCAAGAACCGCAATGTGGGCCTGCTGTTCTACATCAACTTCTCGACAGGCATGGCCATCTACAGCGTGAGCTCATCATCCCCTCCACCCCCGGCTTAGTGTCCTCCAACCCAGGATCCTCAAACTACCAGGATTGCTATTGACTTTTGTCATCAAAGGTGCTCTACTATGTCGACCTCTACTTCACCCTCATCCTCGGCTATTCATCCTCCAAGGCTGGCGTACAGCTTCTCTACTATACTCCTGGCATAGGAGTAGGCGTCTACCTCGCCATGCTCTTCTGCAACGTGTGGCCACGCGGCACCTTCCTACCCCTCTTTTTAGGGTCGACCATCGAAGCCGTCGGCATCGGTCTTCTTGCGTGGGCCATGTCGACAGGCCACGTCGCCAACATCTATGGCATGGTCGCCTTTAGCGGCGTCGGAACGGGGCTGCGGTTCATGCCTGGCACCCTGCATGCGGTCGGCTTCTTCCCCGAGTCCATTGCGAGCATCGTGTCGCTGATGGGGATCGCCATGCCGTTTGGGGGTGCGCTGGCGCTGACGATCATGACGACGGTGTACAACAACCTGGCAGCCGCTGATCCCAAGATGGCCATGGTCTGGGCGTTTGTGGCCATCTGTCCGTTCATGGGGGTGTGTATTGTGTGCGCGGCGTGTCTGGGGAACGTAGGCATTGTCAAGCCCAAGGCGGGCTCGGAAGGCGAGGAGCCAGAACATCATGTTACCGAGGGGAGCTATCTGCTTGCGCTGCTGCGGCGGAGAAAGGCAAGCAGTATGCTTAGTAGGGATGTTGCGAACGGTCAAGAGAATGGCCAGGCGGATTTGGTCCTGGACGACGAGAAGAGGTCAGACGAGGTGCCCATCTCGACTAACTAGACAGCCAGAGGCTTAAAATTTTTGGGGGTAACATTGATTAACAGTCAATAATAGAAATACACAAGTGATATATATATATATATATAATATATGAATTCATCCATATCTTCTCATTGGGAATAGAAATCAAATTGTATGGCCCAGACTGCCATCAGAGTGCTGGACAGGGGTCCTTTACACTATTCAATGCTGGACCTCGGTTGATCATGACGGGCCCGTCTTTTCCTCATGCACACATTCACTTACACTTCCTACAGCTCACTCGCCCCATCCCAACTAATGACGGCACTGGGGAATGGAACAAACAAGCACATCCGTCCTCTAATGAATTCTCCACTCTCCTTCCTTCGTGGTGGTAGTCATGTGGCCATTCATTCCATCCCAAACACATTAGTAGCTACTCATGCACTACCACCGACTGTACCGTCTCTAATCCGCCCCAAACTGTCGACGATCCCATCGTGTATTTCGCCCTCGACATTGTTCTCTCAACGAAGACTACATTCGTCCTTCTCCGTCTCATCAAAAACATTAGCATCATCATCACCACTACCACCACACTCCTCCAACCCGAGATCTGCACCCACAAGACCAGCACTCAGCATGGCCCCCAGCCAGTCCCCAGCCCAGTCCAGACACTCTTCCTCTTCCTCTTTCCCTTCCCCCTCCACCACCCACAAGAACAAACCCACCCCTTCCCCACCACGCCCAAGCGCAAGCGTCCTCCTCCTCTCCCCAACCAACGAGATCCTCCTCCTCCACCGTGTCCAGACCTCCTCCTCCTTCCCCTCCGCCCACGTCTTCCCAGGCGGCAACCTCTCCCCCTTCCACGAGCCCTCCCTGTCCACCACGCCAGACGCGCCCCTCTACCACGTCGACGGCCCCGCCTACCGCCTCGCCGCCATCCGCGAGACCTTTGAGGAGTCCGGCCTCCTCCTCGCCCGCCGGCCTGGCTCCAACGCCCTCGTCAGCCTGGGCGGCGACGGTGACGACCACGACACCGCCCGGGCCCGCAAGGCCGTGCACGCCGACGAGCTCCACTTCGCCCGCTGGGTAGAATCCGAGCTGGGCGCCGTGCCGTGCCTGGATGACCTCGTCCCCTTCACGCGCTGGATCACCCCGCCCAATGTGGCCAAGCGGTTCACCACGCAGATGTACCTGTTCCTTATGCCGTTTTCCTCCTCCTCCTCCTCCTCCTCTTCTTCTTCTTCTTCTTCTTCTTCTGCGGCAGCAGCGGCGACAGACAGCAGCACGACGGGGGATGTGAACCTGGATGATGTGGTGATGGCAACGACAACGGCGGCAACGACAACGCCCACGAGCGACGGCGGCATCGAGCACACGGCTGCTACGTTTGCGCCCGCGGCAGAGTGGCTGGCGCGCCAGGAGCGTGGGGAGATTGTCTTGTTCCCGCCGCAGCTGTTCCTGCTGACCATGGTGGCGCGGGTATTCGAGAGCGTGAGCGAGGAGGACAGGGATCCGGAGGCGACGTATGAGGCGCAGAGGAAAGCGCTGCTCGAGTTCGTCACGAGGGTGCCATCGTGCTCGCCCGAGGAGGAGGTTGTGGCGCAGCGCAGGAAAGTCCACCCCACGGCCTTGATCCCCTGGACGGACAAGGTGATGAGCCCGACTGTGTTGTTTGTGCGTACGGGGGACAAGAGGATCGTCTTGGGGCTGGACAAGCCTGGCCTGGAGCTCAAGGGGAGTGGGCGGGGTGGAGACTTTGAGAGGGTGGTGTTGGTGAATTTTGGCAAGGAGGGGCCGAGGAATGTCGAGGTTCGGGATCGAGAGGAAGTGCTGAAGGAGGAGAGGGAGGCCAAGGAGGTGGAGGCAAGAGAACAGTGTGAAAACTCAAGATTATAGATGATGTACAGAACGGTGGTGTTGTATATGTATTTGTATGTATATAGATATATATACATAGACATAGACGAGAGGCATTATTAGACTGAGGGCGGCAACCACATTTAATGCATTCATTCCCTTGGATTCCAGTCTATGCCCTCTGGCTCCCCGCTATTCAATTCAGCGCCCAAATAAAATATCCTGCAATATGCTCCACGCTTGAATCAAATACCTGGGTAATATGAAATTGCACTTGCCCCTACCCCAGGGGAAAAACACAACAGACCCTCTTCCCCCCCCCCCCCCCCAATGCAAGCAATGCTATGCTCCTAAAACCTTTTTCTTTCTTTACCACGGACGTTCACTTTCCAGAGACAGCATATGCTTCGTGACTCACACCACTTCTTCACAGCAAGTGGTGATATCTCTCCATCATGCCCAACCCGCGTCAGCTGACCAGAGTTCAGCCACGCCGTCAGGTCCTCGAGGATGATCGGGTCGTACATCAGCATCTTCTCGTGCCAGGATGGCATCGAAGGGTCAGATGTGCGAGGAGCCGATGTGACCGCTCTTGTGATGAGGTCGTAAAGTGCAGATTGCTGTTCCGATGGGCTGAGGTTGAGTGAGATCTCCGTGTCGTCGCTGATAGAGACCTTATCTCCAGCAGGCGAAAATGGCTGTTCAGGAGACGACGACACACCAATTTCACCTTCACTGTCGAGGTCAGAGTCCTGAACCTCGTGAATTGACCGGTTCACCTTTTTGCGTTTTGGGGTCGACGTACCCCGCCTGGGCTTTGGGGACGGCGGTGGCATAGACGCAGCTGCTTTCTCTGCTGCGGTTGCAGCTGCAGCGGCGTCTTTCTTTCGATGTCGACCGCGCTTCTTGGGCGTTGCAGACTCATCGCCTTGCCTTGCGTTCTTTGGCAATTCAGTTTCCTGTCCCGCTCCGGCGCCGTCAACATCCATCGTGGCAGCCTTCTTGGGCCTGCCGCGCGGCTTCTTTGCTGGCGGAACAGATGCTGCCGAATCCTCTTTAGACGAGGCCGGCTGCTTGCGCTTCGGACTGTTCAGGACAGAAGAGTTTGTCGAGAAAGCCGCTGTATGACCCAGAGGCTGGTTCTTACTTCTCCAACACTGATCCAGCAAGGAGATCATCGCATTTCTGGTCTTGACAGCCTTGAACCCAAATTTGGAGACCTCTTTGGCCAGCTTCGCGTCAGTGAACAGTTCAAACTTAGGGCGCGGCTTTTGTGGGCTGGACCCTGTCCTGCTTGAGGGGGGTTGTGCCCTGTCTTCTTGTGTCTGCTGTTGATTGCTAGGAGGAGGCATCTCGTCTTCCAGCAGGTCCGTAAGCAGAGGGAAAGACCCTATTGTGGTGGGTGGCGATTTCATTACAGCGGCAGTATTAATAGTAATCTTGCGCTGTGTCGTGGAGAAGGTTGATGTTGGCACAGATGAGCGAGACTGGGCATCTTCATCTGCAATGACGCGCCTGGTGCTGAATTCAAGAGCGGGTGTTCCCGTTGTCCCAGATTCCGCCGGAACCGGTTCCGGTGTCAATTGTTTCCACGGGTCTAAAATCGCGTCGTCTTCCGGAAACCCAGAGGAGTCGACCAAGTCGATGATCTCGACATTCACCATCTCACCAGCCTGATCCCTTGCACTCACCGACCAAAGGCCTTTCGCCGGTCTCTCGGGTTTTGAGGCGGCTTCTCCAGAGCTGCCGAAAGGGTCATCCTCATCGGTAGTGATTGAGGCTTTCAGGGCCTCGTGCAAATCTTTGAGCAGCGTCGGCGATTTTTCGCGAGCCAGTTGGCTGGATGTTCCAAAGACGAAATCCTGTGCGGCTGACCGCTTCATCGCGGCACGCGGTGATAACAGCACTGGTTTCTTCGGCTGAGCATTCTTTCTACTCTTGGTTACCTTTGCAGCTCTGCCCTTGCCCTTGCCTCCTGTGGCCTTGGTAGTATCCTCATTCGGACCATCAGCCCGGAAATATTCGAGCAGAGAGTCTTCGCCGTTATGGTCGTCAGCATAATTGTCATTCTTGACCACATATGGAGCCGTGGCCAATTCTGTGATTGTGCGGGGCTTCTTTTTGGGCGCCTTCTCCTTTACAGGCGAAGGCTTGCGACCTGGCTCCGTGGGCTCGGATGGGTGATTGATAGGGATCAGATCAATGACCTTGCTTTTCCCGAGAATATTGGCGGGCTGCTGTTGAGGTTCAGGCTGCTTCTCGTGCTCCAGTTTGTGGCCAAAAGTGTCATGTAGCTTCTTGAACACATCCGATGCCACGGTATATGTGTCTTCGTCTTCCGGCGCAGGGCCATCCGACAACATCCAAGTGTGGCCATTTTCGGTCGGTGCAAAAGTAGGATCTTGCCGCGGAGGTGTCCAGTCCAGTCTCCTCTGTACTGCAAGTTCCAGATTCATAGGCTCGGGCGTGGCGACTCGTGATGGTTTTTCTTTGCGTCTAGGATTTTCCACTGCGCCGGTGTCATCAAGCGAACGTCTGTTGACAGTCTTGGGTTCTTTTTTCTGTGCCCTAGGCTTCTTGGTATTTTCTGATGCTTTGACCGCCTCGACTACCTCCTCCTTCTCTGTCGTAGGACTCCGTTCACCTGCAACCTTGTATTTCTTCCACGGCTTCGCTTTCAAAGGCGTGCCCTGCACGCCACTGTCCTCGGGCTCTTCATTTTTTTGACTTTGTGCCTCGGCTGCGTTGGAGTTCTCGGGCTGGGCACCATCGGGGGTGACGCCATCTGAAGATAGAACGATGACCTCCTTTGCGACTCGTTTCGGCGCCGTAGATAGTTTTGCGACTTTTGCAGCTGGTTTCCGCGGGCGTTTGGCGGGCGCCTTCTTCGCAGGTAATGGTTCCTGCTCGTCAATTGGATCGAAGGAGTCGTCGCCGGCCGCTGCCTGAGCAGCAAGTAGGTCAGAGGCACGCGTGAAAGTGGTATTGGCATGGGCAGGTATCGGTGCCGCAGCACTTCCAGATTTTAACTTGTGAGTTCTCGGCTTCCTAGCGATCAACTCTTGTATGTCTGGGAGTGGCGACGAGGACAGCATCATAAGACGGTCGTGCAGCGTAGGACGCGCCGGCGAGGAGCACAACGGGCCGCTGTCTGCCATTTTAAACGGTAAGGCGAAGCTGAATGGCAGACAGCGAACGCGCCATGCGCGTCGTGTCGAATTGGACAACAGCAGTGTGGATGGCCGTCGGCTCAAATTGGGCATGCATGAGGCATGTGAGGATCCACACCCATCGCAGGCTTGGTGGCAAATCAACGCGAGTTCAGCTGACCTGCAAGATCTCGTCCTGGGGAACAGGGGGGGTGGCAGCGACTAGCTGACTCAGCATAAGAGCCCCACCAATCCGGTAGGCGGAGAGGTGGGACGCTCGGGCCACCTCACACAAAATTCGAAGTCCCACTGTCAAATTCAATCCAAACATCATCACCACCACTGACGATCGACCCCCCCGGATACTGACGACTGGACGATTTCTTGCACCTCGCAAAACTCATCCAACCAAACCGACCTCAGTCAGATCCTTTAACCAAGCCGTCAAAATGGAGAACGACCGTGGCGAGATCGTGGACCTGTAAGCGAACCCCTGCTAGATTTTGGCACTCGAAAAATGAAGGAGGAATGCGGCAGACACAAAGCATGCATGATGGAGGACCACACCGATGCTGACTCTCACCCTTTTTCCCCTTCGAATAGCTACGTCCCCCGCAAGTGCTCTGCCACCAACCGCATCATTAAGGCCAAGGATCACGCCTCCGTCCAGATCTCCGTCGCCAAGGTTGACGAGTCCGGCCGTGCCGTCCCCGGCGAGAACCACACCTACGCCCTCTGCGGTTTCGTCCGCGCCATGGGCGAGTCCGATGATGCCTTCAACCGCCTCGCCCAGCGTGATGGCCTCGTCAAGAACGTCTGGTCTGCGCAGCGATAAATGGAGAAAATCAGGCGGCGGCGGCGCGCAGAGAGGCTTGGAACGTGAACAAGGTACGGCTAGGTCGCGCCTGAACGAAAGGACGCTGCGGCGTGAACGATACGAGGCCGATGCTGACTTTGTTCCCACTCTGCAGGGCTACAGTTGTTTGTTTGGCATCTCTCGGGTTGGGTGGACATCGGAACATCGGACACCAATGGTGATGTTTCATGGAGTTTAGACGGCACGGAAATGCATCTTGCCGGTATTGAGACCTTTCAAAAATAACATCCCTTTTTTCTCGACCAACCAATCGACACGAACAAGCTTGAACCAGCATGTGACCCAACGCCTTCCTCGCCAAAGAAGCAATTGATGCGATCCTATCGCTCTGCTCGACCCATCCGCTTCTCTTTGATCTCGCGCGCCAATTTTTGTGCTGCCCGCTGCGCCGTAGCCTTTCCCCAGTGAACTACCCTCGGCTGGCAAAGTCTGCTCGGATGCACCCGCGGGAGCACTCCATATCCGGGGATTCTAAGGCTGCCTCGACAGTCTTCGTGCCGTAGATCGAAACCCAGGCCTTGAAAAAGCCGCGATGTTCAAGTCGTTCGTCGTGGTACAGATACGGGTCTGACATTCAGAATCTCTGGCGCCATGCTGTCGGACTGTGATCTCATGGAAGAATCTTCCCAATATGCTTGTGAATCATGATGTGTCTGCAACAACACCCGTGCCAAGTGCTTCGGACTCTTGGGGAGCCATTGAGATGCCATTCGTATCGCGTGAGCATCATACCTACCATCATGTGGCTTACATTCGCTACAAGACGAAACCCATCTTGTAAATGGAGCAATCTTCCACGAAAATATTTACCAGTGTGTACAGCAAGGTACGGGGTATATTTTGTTTATCTCTAGCAATCTCTATGATGGATCATCCAGCATTACAACCGGCTCGGCATCCTCGCGCCTCCGTCCAACCTGATCACGGTCCCGTTCAGCATGACATTCTCCACACAGCTTCTGACCAGTGCCGCGAACTCCTCCCCCGTGCCGCCTCGCTTAGGAAACTCCATGCTCTTCTCGAGACTCGTCCTGACCTTATCGCTCATCATGGCTGTCATGGGCGTCTCGAACGTTCCGGGGGCGATGGTGAGCACGCGGATCCCGAACCGCGACAGGTCCCGCGTCAAGGGCAGGGTCATGCTCGCGACAGCGCCCTTGGAGGCGGCGTAGGCCGTCTGGCCCATCTGGCCGTCGAAAGCGGCGGCGGAGGCGACCATGACGACAACACCGCGCTCGGGGTCACCGTGGGCCGTGGGCGAGGCCGGGCTTTGCGCAAGGAGTGGGAGGAACTGCCGGAGCACGTCGAGGGTGCCGCGCAGGTTAATGTTGAGGACGAAGTCGATGGACTGCAGCGAGAGCGGCCTGTGCTTGCCGTCGAGGATCAGGCCTGGATTGCCAACGCCGGCGGCCGGTATGATGCCGCCCAGCGGGGCGCCCGTCTTGCTCACCCACTGCGCCGTCCCCTCCACGGCCGCTGCTATGCTCTCTGTGTCTGTCACGTCGACGGGGAAGAACTTGGCCCGCGATTCGCCGCCCAGCTGCTTCACAAGCTCAGCGCCGGCGTCCTCGTTCAGGTCAAGGATGGAGATATTCCCTCCATGCTGGGCGAGCTCGAGAGCTGTTGCACGTCCGAGGCCGGATGCGCTGAGAGAAGAAGACAGAGAAGCAGTCAGCACAGTAGTACAATTTTTATCCTCCTCCTCGATAGGCTTTTCATTGGCATGTGATCGTGATGTTCTTTCTGCATTGAATAGGGACTAGAGAACGGAAGGCTTACCCGCCTGATATCACAAAGGTGCGGCCTGAAATCTTCATCGTGAACGACAGTGTCTCCTCTGCTGCTTGTATCCGAAATCACGGTGGACGCTCTGCCAACTCATCTTTCAAGAACAAGTCGCGGTTAAAGGACGAGGGACGTGTAAGCCAACCCACAAGACAGGCCCAAGCCGAGGTCCATCGCGGCAGTTCTCTCTCTCTTTCTTTCTGACCATTCCACTAAGTAGGCGATGGAGCGCCTGAGCCGCGGGTGAGGACACCCCTGTCAATAGCGTATGTGGTGCTAAATCTAGGTGATAAGTACCTGGCGGTGGGACCTGAAACGGGGCGGCCTGCTTCTGAAGCCCGTCGTCTGAGGACAGCGATTGGGCGACAAGGGGGCAAAGAGAACGGTCTTAGGGGCGTGAGTGGGGGGAGTTCCAGTAATGGACCTGGTGACGCCCACTGCATCTTTGATCATTGTCGCCAATGCATCCCACAACTTAACTCCCTGATTGATAACGCAGCACTGCATGCATGCATGCATACATTTTCGTCGTGTGACTTCTTTTTCTGTTGTGTATGTGATAGCGAAAGAAAACAAGTAGTAGAACTAGATCCCGCCCTCCTCCTTCTTCCACCTCTCACGGTTAAATCCATCCATCCCTCCCTTTCCTTCCGATCAAAAGACGTGCATCGACAGAACCGGCGAGCATTATCGAACGAGACAGGAAGAAGACATCACGAACGACGCACCCCAAGATGACAAGACCGCGGCGTTCCTCCGCCGCAAGCGAGGAGAGCAACATTGCGGCTCGAGACCAGGTACGGCCCTGGTCCCATACCGTCCCCTGTGGCACACGTTGCCAGGGAACTCTGCTGACGATGATGGCGTTGGCACACACGCGTATAGGAGTTGGGAAGCATGTATGACTACCTGGCCAAGATCATATTACTCGGACCCAGTGGGACAGGCAAATCCTGCCTGCTGCATCGATTCGTGAAGAATGAATGGAGGGTTCTTTCGTCGCAGACCATCGGCGTCGAGTTTGCGACCAAGATCATCAAGGTCGGCACCGGCGCGAGGCGGAAGAGGATAAAGCTACAGGTCAGGCCGGAACCCAATCTCCTCTTTCATATTATTGTCGTTCTTCCTTCATGTCCGTCTGAATTCTCTGTTCTAAATAGTTGACTGGTGATCACGACAAACAGCTCTGGGACACAGCCGGCACCGAACGTTTCCGATCCGTCTCGCGCTCCTACTACCGCGGGGCGGCGGGCGCCATCCTCATCTACGACATCACTTCGCACTCCTCCTTCAACAACCTGCAACCCTTCCTCAACGACGCGCGCGCTCTCGCCTCACCGAACCTCACGCTGGTGCTCGCTGGGAACAAGCTCGACCTTGCCGATTCAAATCACCTTGTGGACACGAGCATGCCTCCGCCGACGCCCTCAAGCTATGGATCCACGAGCACCATCACGCTCGCCGGAGGAGATGGAGGGCAGGCTGGTGGCTATTCGATGGGCAGCGTGAGCAGCACGACGAGTAGAAGCACCATTACGGCGAATTACGGAGGCGGCGGCGGCGGCACACACCAGCAGCGGGCGACGATCGCGCCAGATGGTAGAGAGGTCACGGCCGGGGAGGCAAGCAGATGGGCATCGAGCGTCAACGTGCCGGTCACGATGGAGGTCAGTGCGTTCAGCGGAGATGGAGTGGACGAGGTGTTTGCGCGGCTGGCGAGGATGATCCTCACCAAGATCGAGCTGGGCGAGATCGACCCGGACGACCCGATGAGCGGGATCCAGTACGGCGACGCGGGTGGGCTGTGGCACAGCAACGCCAGCGACGGAGCGAGCATCAAGAGCGCCCTCACCACAGACGAGATTGGGGCCAGCAGGAGGACCGGCCGGGCGAGGGGCAAGAGTCGGGGCCAGTGGGGTGTCGGAGTTGGGATGAGGGAGTGGGAGGACGTGTTCACGCTGAGCGCGAGGAGGAATAGGAGAGGCTGTTGCTGAAGGGTTGTTTTCTCGCGATCCCGAGGAGCAGCCTGGCCCAGCCAACCCATCCCACTGGCCGGCATGCTCGAGAGCTGGTCTCGCTGGCCGGTCTGAAGGGATTTGTCACAATTGTGACTACTACTTCTTCTTGCTTTTCGCTTCTTTAGCCCGCGACGATACAACTGGACATGAGGGCGTTCGGGATGATGCTCTTTGTTTTCTTCTTTCTTCTTCCTTCTGGTTACTACAACACAAGAGGAACTTGAGCTGGATTCACAAAAGCGTGGCGTCTACAGAATTAACGGACACGGATACTATTACACTGTTGTTTATATCTTTTGTTGGAGACCGTATGGAAGGGAGGAGGGCCCCCCCCCGGGGGGGGGTGGCAGTCAGGCAGGAAGGCTCTGGCGACACTGAAGAAGTCATATAATAATATTGAAGATGATCGACCATACATCACCATGTCACAACGTCACAACATCAGAAAAATAGAGCAACTTCTTGAACCGCGTGCCAAGAGCTCGTGTCGGCAGGATGAGGTTACATACCATTGCAGTTCACATGCCGGATCGGGTGTGCAACCGATTGAACCTGGATCTTGGTCTTGGAGAGGCGGGCTGTACAAGAGAGTCGGGGCGGAGAGGAGCCATCCGTTGGCAATCTTTTGATCTGCGTCACAAGAGGTGCTAGCTGTTGTATAAACGATATGCAGCAACATGGCCTTTTCTTTTTCGATCTTATTCGGCCAAGTAATCGAAGGCCCCAAAACCCACTCGCTCCTTGCCACCGGCTCCATGAAGGCTGATTCTCGGATGAGCAAGCTCACGCCAGGAAGAGAGGAGAGCGGGGCTGCCCCGTCTATAGGGAATTCTGCCCGACATTCCGGCTTAATTATTGAAGTCTAGGGCCCTTTTTTTGTCTCTTTTTTTTTTTTTTTCTCTCTCTCTCTCTCTCTCCATCGTCTCGCTCTCCTTCTCAAGTGGAGGAATTCAATGTTGAGCAGTGAGAGATAATTTGGTAATGAGAGAATTGTCAAAGGTTACATTTACTCATTGCAGGGTAAAAAGGGTAGGAAGAGACAAGAAGTAGAAGAATTAAAACTGATTAAAATGCAACAGCTATGTAATTGAGCATTGGTGTACCTTTCGCTCTCGGGGAATTACCTCCCGTGGAGTGTCGTCGTGTTCTTGTACCTGCAGGAAACTCAAGGGCGAAAGGGGGAGAAAGCCTAAGCATCTACGGCAGGAGAAATACTACGTAGCAAAGGAAGGAGGGGCCATGTATAGTGGCACAACGCCCTATCTCCTTCCTCGTCCTAATATGGTAAACACATGCTGCATTTTTCCTTCTCCAACCACCCAACCCAATTTTACTCCAACACACCACTCAAGAGTTCCCTCAAATAAAAAAGGGTCTATATTATCCTTTATCTCTCCCCGAAGTCCTCTGATTCTCTCTCTCCCCGTACTATCATGACAAAAAACCTTCCCTCACAGCCTGCAGCATCCTCTGCCTCCGCTGTCCCGAGGTCATCATCCTGCGCCCCACCTACAACCCCTCTTCATAATTATTATACACAAGACGAGGAACAAACTTCTATACATCGACCTCAAGATATGGCGCCTAGAAAGGTCATCCCCATTGACAAGCATTGGGAGTTCAAGCAGGCCGATAAGGAAGACGCCGGCTTCCTTCCCGTGGCCCAGTTCCCTACCAATGTTCACCTGGACCTCATGCACCACGACCTCATCCCTGACCCATTTATCGGCAAGAATGAGATTGATGTCCAGTGGATTGGTGAGAAGGTATGGATTTACCAGACAAAGTTCACGGCCCCGAGCGTCGGGACGGGAAGCAAAGCTGTGCTGGCATTTGACGGGCTGGACACCTTCGCCGCGGTGGTGCTGAACGGCACCAAGATTCTGGACTCGGACAACATGTTCATCCCTGAGCGGGTGGATGTAACCTCGACCGTGAAAGAAGGCGAGAATGAGCTGGTCATCACGTTCGACAGTGCGTACCTCAGAGGCTGGAAGGAGGTCGAGAAGCATCCTGGACACAAGTGGGGCTGCTGGAACGGAGACAACTCGAGGCTGGCCGTGAGAAAGGCACAGTATGAGTTTGGATGGGATTGGGGCCCTGTTCTCAACACCTGCGGGCCTTGGAGACCAGTCAATCTGGAGATCTATGAGTCCCGCCTGTCGGATCTTTATTTCGACACTAGCGTGGGCGAAGACCTGCGATCCGCGACGGTCGTTGCACACGCTTCGGTCGAAGGAGCGGCCGAAAAGGTCAGCTTCAAGGTGTTTCTGGATGGACATACTGCGGCGACTGAAACCATCAAAGGGAACGGAGACATAGAGGCAACTTTCCACATATCCAGTCCGTCGTTGTGGTACCCGGCTCGGTACGGCGAGCAGCCTCTGTACGCTGTCACCGCGACGCTCCTCAGTGACGCCGATGAGGAGATTGATACCGTGACCAAGAAGATTGGAATTCGACGGTCTGAACTCATACAGCGGCCGCTGGACGGCCAACCGGGAACCTCATTCTTCTTTCAGGTCAACAATATCCCAATCTACTGTGGTGGGTCAGACTGGATCCCAGCGGACAACTTCCTGCCCAGGATTAGTCGACAGCGGTACTACGACTGGGTCAAACTCGTGGCGGACGGCAACCAGGTCATGATTCGCGTCTGGGGCGGTGGTATCTATGAAGACCAGGCTTTCTATGATGCCTGCGATGAGTACGGCATACTCGTCTGGCAGGACTTCATGTTTGGCTGCGGCAACTACCCAGCCCATCCAGAGATTCTCAAGTCCATCAAGCGTGAAGCGGAGGAGAATGTCAGGCTCCTGCGTCACCATCCAAGCATTGTGATTTGGGCAGGCAACAACGAGGACTACCAATACCAGGAGTCCGCAGGCCTGACATACGATTTCGACAACAAGGATGCCGAGTCTTGGCTCAAGACGGACTTTCCTGCACGATACATATACGAGAAGGTGCTGGCCGATGTTTGCGCAGAGCTCATCCCTGGGACGTACTACCACTTTGGAAGCCCTTGGGGTGGTGGCAAGCCTACGTCGGATCCAACTGTCGGGTATGAAGTTCTTCAGTGAATCACCCGTCCGAAAAACGTTCAGCTAATATTTTCTTCAAGTGACCTTCACCAGTGGAATGTTTGGCACGGCAGCCAGGAAAAGTACCAGAACTTTGACAAGCTCGTAGGGCGCTTCGTCTCGGAATTCGGGATGGAGGCCTTCCCACACATCAAGACCATCGAGTCCTACCTGCCTCTCGGCAAAGACGACCCGGATCGCTACCCACAGAGCAGCACAGTCGACTTCCATAACAAAGCTGACGGACACGAGCGGCGCATCGCCCTCTATCTCGTCGAGAACTTCCGCTACGCCCCCGACCCTATCGAGCAGTTCATCTACTGTACCCAGCTCATGCAGGGCGAGTGCATCGCATCCGCCTACCGCCTGTGGAAGAGGCAGTGGCAGGGGCCGGGGAAGGAGTACTCGGCAGGCGCCCTCGTCTGGCAGATCAACGACTGCTGGCCTGTCACGAGCTGGTCGATCGTGGACTACTACCTGCGACCCAAGCACGCCTACTTCACCGTCAAGCGCGAGATGGCTCCGCTGAGCATTGGAATCACACGGCGGGAGCATCGTCACCCAAGGGACAAGTACACACGCGTCGACGTTGACGTGCACAGCGTCATCGAGATTTGGGGCTCCAATCTCACGCTAGACCACGTGAAGGTGGACTGCGTCCTCAAAGCCTTTGACGTCGAGACCGGCGAGGAGACATTTTCGGAGAAAGCCCAGTCCGACATCCTCCTCAAGGAGAACCGCTCCACGGAGATCCTCGCCATGGACGTTCCCGTCGTCCACAAAGACAAGGGCGGTGAAGAGGCCCGCACCGTGGTCGCAGCCTACCTCATCGCCGCCGACGGCACTGGAAAACAGCTCGCACGTTATGTCAACTGGCCTGAGCCACTCAAATACCTGCACCTGCAGAAGCCCAGCCGCCTCAAAGCCGTGCTCAACGAGGAGGGAAACGCTATCGAGGTCAGTGCCGAGGTGCCCGTCAAGGGACTGGCGCTCGAGTGTGAGGATAACGAGGTTAAGTTTGAGGACAACCTTGTAGATATTGTCCCTGGTGAGGTTGTGAGCATAGGCGTCAAAGGGGCTAAAAAGGATACGGTTTTTGCGACGCGGTACCTGGGCATGATTTGATGAGTTGGTGGGGCCAGAACGGTGGTTGGATTGGGATTGATGCGTCGTCTTCACTTGCTGATTGCGAGTTATGGAGGTGTTCGCACCATAAAATCCAGCCCAAACAATCACTAAAGAAGCATTGGTCGCTATAACAATGGTTCTTTAATTATTCACAATAAAACTCGCTGTGATCAATTCGACTAATGCCGAGTACTACTGGCGGTTCCTTCAAAGAATTCTCTAGGCATCCTCCTAGGTTAGGTTCCAACCAAGCCCATCATCATTCAACTGTAGAACCCAACGCGCAGCACCCACATCCACACGAACCCGTCACTACAGCTGGAACAAAGGAACATAGGACGGATCATAAGTATGGTGATCGGAACCCGAGAATTAGTTGACACGCCTTCGGAGCCAGACGAACGAGTCGACTTGCTGCTGCGTGTGCCCTTGGTTGGTGCAATCGGTTGACTCGTTTCGTTATTCAAGGGGAGGCGATTATTTCTCCTGAGGACCTTGCTCCACCTTGTCAGCATCATCCTCCGGGAGTTTCGGGCACTTGAGCAGGCATGATATTGCTCCGGCCACCACTACCATGATGCAAGCAGCACCCCAAACCCAGCGCAAGGCGGCCACCATCAACGAGATGACCTCGCTGTCTGGCGGAAGGTCCTTGATGACGCGCATGAGGCTCTGTGGTGTAACGATATCGTCGTGGTTCGAAGTGACACTATCGACGCTGGCAAGCCCTTTGGCGAACTTGTTGGTGAAAATGGCCAGCCCGACGGATATACCCATGCATTGTCCTCCTGTGTACAGCAGGGTCCGCATGGCGATCGCATGACCGTGCCATTGCTTCTCGGTCGAGGCCAGGATGGTGCTAATCACAGCAGGCAGGTATATGCCGCATCCAGCTGCGCCGAGCATGCTGATGACAATGAGCGGCCCGACGGGTGTTGTCTGGGACATGAAGTACATCAGTCCTAGGCCGAGGATGGCCAAGGCTGTACCCGTGATCGTGGCCCATCTGATATGACCCCATATCTTGATGGCCATCCCTGTGACCGCTGCAGCGACGGTGTACGTTAGGGTCACTGAGAGGAGCATGACACCGACCTTCATCGTCTCCAGGTGGCGCACGCCTTCCCAGAAGAGCACCAGGTTGTAGAAGACCATACTCAGCAACATCCCGCTGACTACACTCCCCAGGAAGGCAGCATTCGTCACGGGCCGGCTGAAGACCTGCCGTGGAAAGACTGGGTTCTTCGCGATATAGCGCTGGTGATAGATCAGGGCCGCCAGACTGATCACGCTGACGACAAAGCAGACGATCACCGCCGGGGATTCCCAGGGCTGCACGGTGCCGCCAATGTTGATGGGGACCAGAGTGCTTATGGAGAAGACCAGAAACAGGAGCATGCCGGCCCAGTCGCAACTCTTGAGCACGGTAAGGGGCTTGGTCTTTCGTGTTCGCCACCGGGGAAGGAGGAAGACCAGCAACAAGAACAGGATTCCGGAGAAGACGAGCTCCATCCAGAAGATTGAGCGCTGTTATAAGCCATGTCAGCTTGGTCGTAGGTTGTTGCCGCCAGTGAGAGCAGGGCGGGCTATGCTATGATTTAGGACTGACCCAAGTTAACCGCTTGAACAGCAAAGCTGCAAAAAGGGGGCCACAGATATTCCCAAGAGCACCAGAAGCCTGCGAGATGGCTGACCACGCGGCACGCTGCCTCGGCTGCATAATATCTACAATCACGATGGCGGACATTGTGAACATGCCGGCAGCACCCACCCCCTGTATCACACGAGCTCCAACCAGCTGCCGGGTGCAAGTGCTGACCGCGGCAATGATGGCACCAATCATGAAGAGAACTACGCCCGACAGATAGGTGTACCTGCGACCAAGGGCGTGGGAGAAGTGGGAGAAGATGAGCTGGAACACCGTCTGTGCTAAAAAGTATCCGGTGGCAATGCTAAAGACGAGGACCTGGCTGGCAGTGAGGTCTCTAGCGATGGCCTAGAATAGTAGAGGCATAAGTCTGTTGCATTCACACCGATGTAGAGTGGCTGCTCGCTCGTACCGGAAGTGTGACCGCCACCGAAGCCATATCAAGCTGGAGCAGAAATTGCAACAGGCACGAGCAGGTGAACAGAGACCATTTCCGCTGTGGTTTCAAGTCCGACAGATCTTCTTGCTCTTGAGTAGTTGAACTTTGACTCTCAGGTATGGTTGAAGCTTTCTCTAAGGGAGCGCTCGAGCCCCTGTTTGTCTCATGTGGCGGACTGCTTCCCCTATTCGATACGGCCTCGTCGTCCTTGGACGAATGTGAAGGCATTGTCGACCTAGATGACTCACCTCTCGTCATCGATTTCTCTAGCTGTTGTGCATTTATGGTGATCAAAAGGTTCAAAGTCTTCGATGACTTTCTGCCCTTTTCTATGGCACAGCAGTGGGTCGTAGGGACTGTTCGTCGTACGAGAAGAATAACAACACAAAGGGTGATGAGAGAGGGGGAGAGAAATGAAAATATGAGAAGGAGGAATAAATAATGAATAGACTTTTGAGAAATTACTCTGCTGTACAAACGAGTGTGTTGGCACCACAGACCATGAGGAGATGATGCGTTGTCTGCGTTCATATAGGACACTCTGAGCTTCCAGTTCGATACAATGTCAGGACTCCCAAGACATGGCCAACTCCCTGTGCATTGGTGTTAATCTAGGTTGCCAGGTGCAGGACCTTGTCATATGAGAGAGGGAACTCAACCTCCTAGTGTTGCGGACCGTTTTCGTCATGGATGTTGCTGTACTTGCCTATTTTAGGTGACCATGAGGCAGTCGCAAGACTGAAGCTGTCCACAAACTCCCTGCTTCTTTCATAATGATCTTTGAGCTAGAAGATTTTCAAAATGGACCAGACTCTTCTAGTGAAGGTACACGGCGCACATGCTCGAATCGTTACCTCGTCATTGAAACTGGTCACCTTTGAAAGCTACACTAGCCCTGGGGTTAGGCCTTCAAGTCAGGTGCGCTATAGCCTATGCGAGCCTCGCACTTGTATGCTAGCTATCATTGACATGTCCAAATCATCTTTTCTGGCACTTACACCAGCCTTGCTTGCCTAAAGCGAACAAGCAACATCAACTCTAGACTATGTTTAGGAAAGTACATACACACATGCCAACCTCTATTTTCCCTCGTGGCAGCAACCAAGCTCTCGACAAGATCGATGTTTCTGGCAAGATCTTGAGAGTTAAGATATAATAAGGCAACCTTTGGTCAGCCCTCGTTCCCTGTCCTTTTTGAAATCATCATCACTCGTTTCTATACACCTGTGCAGTTGAAACATATTCTTGTTGTTTTCGCTTTTGGCTCTTTCGGATGCTGTGTACACAGCTACGCCGGATTTGAAACATTCGGCTACGACTCTCAGAGGTTCTCTCTCTTTTTTATCAGCATCACAGGAAGGGTCAGATTTCAGTCTTTTGCCACTTGGTATAAAACATTCGGCCTATACACGAATCACATAACAGAATCTGTGTTTTTGAATCATCATGGCGCCCAAACAGCAATTTTGGGACCATATCCCCCAGTCCTTGTACGTCCACATGACCAACAATTTGCATTTTCTCAAAACAGTGGGACTTTGCACTGCGATCTGGGCGTGCGTCTGGGTAGGCATATATCTCTCTCAGCCAGAGTGGTTTCGACGCCTGCGAAACTTGCGAAGGAAGAGAATTTTTACGATCGGACTCATAGTTGGTCTTGGCTTCAAGCTCTTCACCATCCCAACCTGCGCTTTCGCAGCGTGGGTGACGCCCGCGGTGGACGATGTCGCTGGCATCCATCCTCCCATGAACATCTACCAACAGACTTGCTGGGGCGCACGCGGTACGGCCACCCTGATAGAGCTCGTTCACTTCTCTCAGCACCCAGAGCTAGTGCTCCACCATGTCCTCATCCTCGTAGGCATGTCAGTCATCTGGACGTTCAACGTGCCACATCGAGGATTCGACCTGGCTCTCGGCGCACTTCTCTCAGAAATTCCAAACAGCTGTTACATGATCTTCAAGGAACTCAACATATTTGGCAACCATCCAGTTCTAGAATGGACATTACCTCTGATCAGCGCAGCTTCCGGGTTCATGTTTCGCGTGCCAGCCGCCATTATGGCAATGGCCATGATACCCACATCCGGCATGTATGGTGGACCAGCGCTTGTCATGGTCATCGCCTACCTTTTCTACTTGGTATACGTCGGCAATCTCACTTGGCGGAGGCTTCGGAGGGCTGGGATCTGGCAGGCAGAAGGCGTTGACAGCTTCAGCTTTCGGATCAGCAGGCACATCACGATCTCATCTGCAACCTTCTTCACCTGCCTCGCAGCTCTGAGCTGCCAATTTTCAGCTCTGTTTCTGTACAGCATATACAAGAAGTGGCCAACACCCGCAACCACACCTGAGTTGGTCATGATCACCTGGCACTCTCTACCAGCCCTTCTCTTGGGGCTGTCGACCTCCTACTGGGCAGGGCTGCAAGTCAAACAAGCGCTAAAGTATCGATGGGTGGTAATAGGGGTTCGACTCGGGGCTGGGGCGTTGGCTGCCGCCGTCTGTCTGCACACAACGCTGGCACATAGGAGTGTAGTCAATCTGCCCTCCCTAGCGGAATGTATTCTAGAAAGTGCCGGTCTGACCTTCGCTTTATCTCTCCTGGCGTGGGTGAGGATGCCGAGGCTGGCGACTACGGGCCGCTGGGTCATAGCAGGGTGGCTGCTCTACATTCTTGTTCTCGCATCCCTTGGACACGTCCCAGAGAAACAAAACAGGCATTTGAAGCCGGAGGAGGTTGTGGCTAGACAACCAGCTATCTGTGGCCTCATTCTGACGTGGCAATTCTGGTGTTGCTTCACTGCAGCGTCTGTTCTTTCACTCTCTGTTGCGCACGTCTTGCAGGATCGGATGCCAAAAAATCCCCTCTGTTGGAGAAGACGTGATGTGGTTTCCATTCCCTGAGTTACCATCCATTGATTGATAAAAATTCCAGCGATACTGTGAGTACATCAATTTGTCATACATTGTAATTCCTCAACTTTTTGCGTTCAATGTGTATTGAAGATCTGGGAGTGACTGTTAATAGCTGCAGAGGGCAGCGAATTGTTAATGGCAGATTAGGACACAAGAAAACAGTCATCATCGTAATCTACAGCCCTGGAGAAAAGAGATGTCCAGTTTGTTCGAATCTGATCGATTGTCGGAACCATTTGCCAGCCTCGACCCGTCCGATTACAGCGGCAGCATCATGACTTGGGATCTGGATCATGAGGAAGGACAGGCGCATCAACTACAATATTCCTTCTCGTCAAGTGATTCCTACTTCTTTTCATCCTGCTTCCAGGTTCTCGGAAGGGATCAAGCAGTTACGCTTGGCCGATAACACATAGGCAATGTTAAGAGTCTGTCATGGCGGCGACGATGGCTCCTTCCCAACATCAGCAGAGGCAGGAGCGACCAAACGAAGCTTCACTAAATAAACTCGTCCGGTCCAAAAGTATTTACTTTCATCCTTCATGTTTACTTCTCATTAATTACGGCATTCTTCTCGACAACCTCACGCCCAACCACGCAGAGATTTGACTGCAGCACTCTTTTCTTTTTTTCTTTTTTGGTTACCGCTGCAGCCGTCGTATCCTCAATAAATATTCATTCTCTATTCATCTACTCCACATACACTCACCCTTACGACCTCTCCATTCCGTCAAGATGCTTTCTCTTGTTTCTCTGCGACTACTCCTCCTCACCGGCCTCCTGCTCGCTGGAGCCATGGCCCAGTGTCATCGAGACGGCCATCCTGGCGGTGGCCCTGGCTATGGTCCTCCCTGTGGGCCCCCAGATAACTACCCGGTGTGCGAGGAAGTCTGGAAGTACATCGCAAAGGAGCTCAAACACTACTTCATCGACGATCATGGCGAGTGCACCCAGCTGGCTGCTCAGGCTGTTCGGCTGCCCCTCCACGACTGCTTCCCTGATGGCGGCTGCGACGGGTCCATCATCCTCACCGACGAGTGTTCCCGCCCGGAGAACTGGCAAATGCTTTCCATCTGTGGTGTTCTATACAAAATGTACAAGGACTATCGTGTCGGTGCCGCTGACCTAATCAATTTTGCTGGCTGTGAGTTCATGATTTCTTTCCGTTCCATTCTATCCCCCTCTCGTTCACTGCTGCATTGGTAGCGCAAAGAGTTCCGTTACTGACACAGCCCAGCTATCGCCAACAAGGCCTGCCCCTGGGGGCCCTTCATCCCATTCTATGTCGGACGACATGACAACCCAACTCCAGCTCCTGAGTACCAAATGCCAGGCGCCTACTCCAATGCCTCGACCTTGATTGCAGAGTTTGCCGCCAGGGGTTTCTCGGTCACAGACCTTGTTGCGCTGGTGGGTGCGCATAGTGTTGGCGGCGATTTGTGGCGGAAGCCATTCGATACCACGCCTGGCGTCATGGATAGTCCAACGTACTATACCGAGGTGCTGGTCGGCAATGCGCCTTCCATCCTGTACAGTGACAAGTCTCTGGCCCTGGATCCTGCTTCGACCGACGATTGGCAATTGTATGCTCGTGATCAGTAGGCCTGGGACGTGGCTTATGTCAATGCGTGAGTCTGGCTTTCTTCTGCACTGCCCCTGCTCTTTGCTCGCGTTTGCGCGACTTTAGACATATCTTCGTATTGGCTGAAGATGGCCGATGCTGACTGTGTCGTAGCATGATCAAGATGATCCTTCTGGAGGTTGATCCGCGGACGGTGCAAGATTGCTCAGAAGTCATCTGGGATGCGTTCGAGGGAGACTGGGAGTCTCTGCAAGATACGGAATGATGTTTGAAGGGGTTGTTGGAAGAGTTGTGAGCCTAGTAGCTGGCTTGAGGATGGAGTGTCTGTCTCACAACATTGAATACACCTGGCTGGGACGAAGGGCATCGCTAGACCTCTCCCGCAGATTCCGTTAGAATTTCTAATCCTACATTTTATTTCCGAAGCAAGTTCATTGCTACAAACGAGGTTGTTGAACGTGTCCATGTGTCTCGTGTCTTAGCTCCTGTGTGCATCGCCTCACCCCAGAGCCAAAATACTAAACGCCCTTGAAAAGGGACGACTCATATTGGGATCCAGCGTCCATGTTCCTGGATTAGAATATCGAGGGCAAAAAGCAAAACAAGAACTGTTTTCGACAAAATTATGCCTCCATCCCGGATCGAACGAGAGACCTTCGCATTGACGTGGTACAAGTGCGACGCGCTACCACTACGCCATAGAGGCATGACAAATGTTAGGTTTCTTTTAATTATAATGCATCTCACAGAAGCAGCAGCTTCTGGCGGTGGTTTAGAGGCGTCATCCTGTCAAATGTCTCGTTTGAAGGAGTGCCTCTTTGTCAGGCTTGATCGGAGCCAATTTTTTCCTTCGATTTATGTTGCACTTTGGTTGTTTTGGTAGTTTGTCCTCTCCCGCGTGCTGAGCGGCTTTCTCTGGTGCTCTTCTGTAATGACGGAGAGAAAAGGTCAGTGGAAGCGTATTCGGCTTATGAAGCGTTCACTTGCTTGTGGGCTGTGAAAGGCGATGGTGGTTTCTGGTTCTGTGTGAATGTTACTGTTGCTATGGATACGAAGAAGAAAAGAGGAAGTAGGGAGAGCAAAGACGGAAAAGATGAAAAAGAAAGGGAAAAAAAATGCAAACAAAGAAGTGTTGAGGTTCGCTCATGCAACCGGCATTTAGCCAGGCCCCACTTTCATCTAAAAGCTCTAGTCTAATCCATCGAGTCAAAAGGCAACAGTCATGTTCTCATCCCGCCGTCTCCCTCTGTCCCTCTCTCAACTTCTTCTACCCAGGGCTCTCACTTTCTCCCCTCTAAGCCACAGAAGCAGGACAGACGGCCCTCCCACGAGCAGCAACACCAACGCCAGAAGCGTATTGCCCCATCCATACCCCAGACGATCATACAGGATGGGCGCAAAAATAGGACATGCAAAGCCGAGGATGTACATGTACACCCTACACGCGGCGCTGGCGGACGCGGCGTGCTCGAACTCGTCAAAGGTGTAGGCGAGAAAACCGGCCGAGTAGGCAAAGCAGCCCATGACAAAAACCGTGACGCCAGCGTCGACCAGAGCCCAGTGGGCTTCGGCCTGCACGGCTCAGCCGTACCAGATGAGCCCGACGACCGCTGTGATGACGCCTGGCGCGATGAAGGGCAGGCGGAACTCGGGTTTGCCCTTGCCCTCTCCTCCTCCATGTTGTCGTGCGGTGAGGCGCCGCCAGATCCAGTCCATGATGTGTCCGCCCGCCTGGGCCTCAATGGTGGTGCCGACCGCGATGGCGATGTAGTTCAGGCTGCTGACCGTCTCGGACTCGTGGTACCGGGCCATGAAGATGCTTGCCAAGGTCGTGATCATGACGCAGTACATGGCGAAGTTGAGACCCATGTTGAGGGCGATGAGCTGCATCACGGGCCGGCGGAGGAGGAGCCACACGGGTCGGCGCACGCTCGTGGCTAGGCGAGAGAAGAAGCTGCTGCCGCCGTTGTTGCTGTTACTGTTGTGAAGAGCCCTTCCCTGCTGTGGGTCGGCGGCAGCGCCGGCTGTGGCGGCGGCCGTGGTCTCTGCTCTGGCTAGACGGCCTAAGAGGATCGGCGTGTGGCTCTCGGGGAGCAGAAAGAAGCCGGCGAGCACGATGGCTGCTGAGAAGAGGGAGATGATGTAGAAGAGCCACGGCCAGTCGAGGTGCTGGGTCGCAACGCCGCCTATGATGGGGCCGACGGCGGGCCCGAGGTAGGGGAGGAGGCTGGCGAGGGCAAGGGAGCGGCCGCGCATGTCGGGTCGATACATGTCCGTGAGAATTGGGCCTGTCAGCTGGGGGGGAGGGGGAAGGGGGGCAGATTTTCAATAACAGCTTGCTCCAATGTGATAATCTGTTACAGTTCGGAAGGGCAACGTACACACACGCCGCAGCTGGCCCCTGCAGCAGCCATGAACCTCCCGAGGATCATCAAGACCTTGTTGCGACCTACAGGACAGAGTGTGTTCCACAAGACAAAGTACATATTGCTGATCAGCCAGACCGGCCTGCGCCCATACATCTCCGACACGGCGGCGATGAAGAAGGGCGCAAAGGCCATGCCGAGGAAGTAGATGGAGAAGGCGATCTGGGCCTGCGACGTGCTCATGCCCAGGTCGGCTGCGATCTTGTTGAGGGCGGCCGCGATCATGCTGGCCGTCATGAGCGTCACCAGCTGGCCACACGAGATGAGCAGTGTGATGGAGACCTTGCGCCATGGCTTCCAGTTGTAGGGATCGCGGGGGTCGCTGGGTCCGTCCCAGGTGGCCTAGACGAGAAAGACAGAGGCGTGTTAGCATTTCTGGTGCTCAAAGGAAGGCCGAAAGGTGATACCGGTGGCGTTGTTGGTCTGGTTGGGGCCCAGGTCATATAATTACTCCGTATGTTTCTTTGAGCTCGAGCAGCCTCTGCGACTCTGGGGTCAAGTCCGCAGTGCCTAAGGCGTCTTCTGTCTTTTCCATTGCCGAAGGTGGTACGATTTGGTCGCTGGCGGGTTATGCAAGGCCTCGTCTTGAGTTGCACCAAAGAAACAAAAAAAAAAAAAAAGACCAAGATCAAGAAAGAACACAAGAATTCATGCTCTAGTTCATTGTTTATGTACCAGATACTCACTATTGAGCTAAATCATGGGCGAGGCCTCATGGCTCTGGGATACGTATACAGCAGCCCCGCCTTCGGATCTGAAACAAAAACAACACGTCAACTTCCAGTCTCGGTGCTCGGCTTCGAACGTTCGTAATAATTCCCAGAAAAGGTAACGCGTAGTTGGGCAAACGACTCCCTCCCCCGCCCCCATCCAGGAAGCCTGTCAGCACGAAATGGGATGAAAGTTTGGATGATGATTTGTTACCCAGTCTTGACTGACCAGGGCCTTGATTATCTTGCATGATCTGATAAGTTCAAATTGGTGCTAGCGTCGGCTTTGAGGCTTGTTGTGTGCCTGGTATAGACGGCCCTCTGCGAAAATTGCCTTGGTGGTGAGAGTGTGAAGGTGGCAGGGCTAGAGATCCTTCGGGCGGCTTAAAGGCTGCTTGTTGCTCGGTTCTAATCACTATCGGAGAACCGCTGCAATGAGCGGCGAAGAATACATAATCCGGGGTTCAAAGACTTGCAGGGCACCTTTCTTACTTGTTTTGTAATATCTCCCAATCATTACTGTAGGCTTCAGCACACGTAGTCTCTCAATTCATGTTCAGATTGTGCAGTGTCAATATCATCCTGGAACATAACCCATCTCTACTGTTACATGCAATTTATAACATGTAATTGAACCATTCCCGATGCAATTTCCCGTAGTCATATCCGTGTACCGGCTTATCCCAAATCGCCACGAAACTTTCTGATCAAGTACCAATCTTAGCAGTTCACGCCGGCCTTGGTTTCAAGTGAACATAGAGCGGCTTCTTCTCCCAAAGAGAGTACGTCTCGTTGATGTCGATCCAATCGACATTGGGTTCAGCGAGCACGATATCAAAATTCCAGATGATCCTTGCCATTATCAACCTCATCTCAGCATAGGCCAGGCTAAAAAAAGAGTTTGTTGTTATTAGCATCATCATCCCTCGTGGACTGGGTTATCAATATGTCACTCAATGTTCTCCATTTAGTACTCACTTCTTTCCAACACAATTACGAGGCCCATGAGAGAACGGCTGACTTGCCTCCCTCTTGTCATTGGCAAAGCGCGCATCCCCCAGCCACCGCTCGGGGATGAACGAATCTGGGAGGGTGAAGTTCTTTGGCGATCGTGACATTGCGAATTGCCAAATATCAATCACAGTCTTGTATACCGGGAATTGTACCATTAGCGATGATCATCCAACCACAATCCTTCACAGCGCCCTTGTACCCGATTATGAAATATCCACTTACATTCTCAGGCAAATACGTGCCGCAGAAGACGTCCCCCCCTTCATGTGCCCGCCGAGGAAACGAGGTTGGGACTGGGGGAAAGAGCCGCAGGGTCTCGTCGAGGACGGCCAGCATATACTTGAGCTTCTGCACGCTCAACAGGGTGATCTCGTCTTCTGACGAGAAAGACGACCGCACTTCTGTTGCAAGCCGGGCGAGGACGTCAGGGTGACTGCCGAGGAAATACGTGGCGCCAGAAAGTGCGGTGGCCGTCGTCTCGGAGCCTGCAATAATCAGGAGAGATGCGTTGAGCCTGATTTGGTCCAAGGTCAATTTCTATTATTTCGATATTGTCAGTGATCGACTCATCTCCGTCCAGGCTTTCGTTATTCCAGGTGTTGGCAGGAATCCTCACGTCTTCTCCTTCGGCGTCCTTGGCCAGCATTGCCTGCATAAAATCGGGCCTCTCACCCTGCATGGCCATGCGCTTGGCGACTTTGGCCCGTGTGAGCTCGTCGTGCGCCAATCGCTTCGCCATGAAGTACGGCATGAGATGCTTTCGAATAAATCGCTCCACGGCGGGGAAATTCCGGCGGACCTGCAGCAGATACACTGCCTGCTTGATGCCCGCAATGATCAGCGCAACCCATGGGTGATATGTGTTATCATTCAGGCACCCAAACGGCTCGCCGAACGCCAGGTCCCCGATGATGTCAAAGGTGGCAAAGTTGTAAAAGGTGGTCATGTCCAGCGCCCTGGCGCCGCCCTCGCAGTTCTCCTTCAGCCGCTGCATGAGCAGGTCCACGTAGCCCCGGATCAGAGGCTGCTGCTCGGCCATGCTCTGGGCGGAGAAGGCATGGGAGAGGATGCGTCTCTGGCGGCCGTGCTCTTGCGTGTTGACGGGGCCGATGATGCTGTTCCCGGACAGGCTGAAGAAACTGGGGTCCTTGAGGTTCTCGAGAGCGCCGGCCTTGCGGTGGCCCAAAGCTTCTTTCCAGATTCTAGGGTCTAGAAAGGCGATGTGGTTGGGAGCTACGCGTACAACGTCGCCATATTTCTCGTGGAGCTTCTGCATGCGCTTGTGGCCTTGGCCGCTGGTGTAGAGCCCGGCGTAGGGAAGGCCACTGATTGCCCATAGCTTTGGACCAGCGACGCTGCTCAAAGGTGATAGGAAGAGGTTATAGATGACTGAGTACCCGGCATATCCCACAACCTGTAGTTGTTTGTGTTAGCAATAGGGAACCTTTTGGTTCTCACTCCTTTCTTTTTTCCCTTTTTCCTTTCTTACCAATTCTGAAGGAAGATGAAAGGAGAAGGACAGGGAACAAAGGAAAGAAAGAAAAACATCAATAATGAGAAGCGAAATTAATTACCAGGAACAACGTGGCGCATAACAATGCAACTGATGGTTGCAGGCCTAGGAGCCGACTCGTATCCAGAGTCGGAGCCATTGTGTCTCGATTAACATGATATGATACGAAACAGAACCATGGCACGGTACCTTGGGCGCGTGACACAGCTTTTATACACACACCTGGCAATAAGGACCGGACATACCCAGTAATCGACCGCGCCTCAGTTCCGACGTTGCATGGGCCACGACGTTGTACCTCGGGTTGGCCAAAGCGTCCGAATCCACAAGCGGTAGCAACAGCGTCGCATGCAGATGCTAATCCACTTCTCTTCAGTACGACTTCTGGAGGGGGTGGCGGATTGCAAATTCACACACCGACATTCGCCGTACACGACAGATGCGGGGTTGACTACTCTGCTGACATTTGTCGTGAACAGACACATGCAGCAGTGCACAATGATTCCACATGTGAACGTGGGCCTGGTTCCTATACAATGTGTAGTAACATCGGCCGCGGCATATAGCTGCGGTGGTAGTAGTATTACTCGCCAAAACAACATCGACTACCCACGATGCTACTATGTATGACATACACCAGAGTTACTTATATTTAAGCCTGAAATTTTATTCAGACGCAATCACTCATGTAGAAGCATGTGCATATTTGACTTTTCAACGAGTCAAGAACACAAGGTGGGAGAAGGACAACGAGGGGGTCATGGCTTAACTGTTGTGAGACAGCTGAGAAAATCTTGATATTCTTGAGGGTTAAACAAAAAAAATAAAATGGTTGGCCGCTGTTCCTTCGCTCATATAACCCGTTCTGTCTATAATATCCCAAAACACCAAAAGCAACCAAGTAAGCCTGCATGAAAACCTGCTGACTACTGAACCACATCAAAGAAACACACTCTTCAAGAAAGGAGAGCGACAAATAGTCCACTCCCCCCTTTCTCTAGTTACCGTTTGAGTCTGGCTCTCTTCTTCTCTCTCTCTCTCTCTAAATACCAGAATCATCCTGGACGATATTGTCCTTAGCAACATAAGCATCCCAGTTGGCACAGGTGTTGTTGATGTAGTCGTTATCCTGCAGGGCATTGATCTCAGACTCCCGCTCGACCAGCTGGAGGGCGAAACCCTCGTCGGCGTGCCATGCAATGTGACCTAAGTAATGAGAATAGGGGTGATTAGTTGTTGGGATCTCTTACAATAATCATACGACAGGATAGGGAAGTGATTTGAGGGGAGAAAGAGTGGAGAGGCCGGGGGGCGTTGGGGGCAGGGTTTGTCTTACAGTGCATGATCCAGGCGCCAGGGTTGTCAGTCTTCCAGGCAAGGGCCAACCAGCCGTCGCCGGGAAGCATAGCGACGTCACGACGAGGGGAGTTGACCGTCTGGAGAGTGTCGTTGGCGTAGGTACCATCGCCAGTACCCAGGACCCAGAAGTCGTGGCCGTGGAGGTGGATGGGGTGGGCCTGGGCAAAGTCGGTCTCGATGATCATCAGCACCCATTCGTCGGCGGTGGGCAGGGACCAGACGTGCTCGGCATTGGTCCAGGTGTCGTTGTCCTCAGCGATGGCCATGACGGTGGGGTAGTCCCATTCCGAGACGAAGGAGATGTCGTTCATGGCCCACTTGATAGTGGTTGAGAGGGACAGACCAGCCTCCTCGTCATCCTCTTCCGAAATGGAGCCAAGGTCAACGGTCAGGTAGGGGACAAGGCTAGTGATGTCTTCGTCCGCGCACGAGTCAGTGAGGTCATCGTAGACGGTGGTGGTTGGGTCGTCGGTGGAGGAGCTGTCGTAGCGGATGATTCCGAGGATGTTGTCGACGTTGTCATTGTCAGAGCAGGCCTCCTGAGGAATGGCGCGCATCCAGAAGTTGCCGGTAGTCTCAGTGGCGGTGACGATCACGTCGTAGCGCTGGCCCATGCCAATGCTCAGGTTGGTGGTGTTATAGGGCTGGATGGGGACAAAGTCGGTCTGGATCACCTCCAAGGTGTGGTTGTCGATGGTGAAGCGGAAGTGGGTGTCGGCAGCACCGTTCACAAGGCGGATGCGGTATCTGGTGCCAGCTTCAAAGGCAGTCTCGAAGCGAGAGCCAACCACGGTGCCATCGTCCTCCGTCCAGGTGTTGGTGCCGTTGATGAGGCAGTTGTCAAGCTGTTCCCCTCAGGTTAGCAAAAAGAGGGGCCACGCATAATGAATGAGCAGGGGGTTGCATTACAGTAGGAGGTCCGGTAGTAGCGGCAGTGATAGCAAGCACTTCGGCAGTCTGGTGAGACCAGTCATTCAGGAAGACGTGGCCAAGATCCACATCGTAGTCAGCCGTTGCTGGGCCGTTGATGAGAATACCGCCAAAGATACCATCCCAGGCCTGAACAGCAAAGTGCGAGTGGTACCAGCTGGTTCCGTACTGCACAGCCCGCCACTTGTAGGTCTGGGTGTCCCCAGGAGCAATGGGGCACTGGGTAACTGAAGGAACACCGTCCATGTACTATCAAAGAAAAGTGTCAGCCAAGTTGTTTTTGTGAAACAATCAAGTTACTGTTGTGTGTGTAAGATTGAGAGGGAAGAGAAACTTGCGTTGGTGTAGTTCTGGCGGATACCGTGCCAGTGGATCGAGCTTCCATTGTTGGTCATGCTGTTCGTTACGTGAACGACAATCTCATCACCCCAATCAGCAATAATAGTCGGACCAGGCACAGAGCCATTGACAGCGAGGACGATGCGCTCAATGCCGTCAGGCGAGGCGGTCGTGTTCTCGATGTTGAACCAGTACTCCCTGGTCACACCAGTGTCTGGAACCACATCGTAGTAATTTGTAGAGATATCATAGTCTCCCCAGCATGATCTGTCTGAAGCACTATTGACACATGCCTTCTTGGCAAGAGAGTGACTAGGGGCGCAGAGGGCCACCGGAAGGGCTGCAAGTGCCCAAAGATATGAGAGCATGATCAAAAGAATGTTGTCTCAAAAAAAGGAAAAAAGCTTAACCAAAAAGACAGACTTTGGTAAGGTAGAGAAGAGGGAAGGAAAAGAAAGGAATGGAAGAGAATGAATGTGTGTGTGAGAGAGAGAGAGAGAGTGAGTGAGGGAGTGAGGGAGTGATCGAAGGTGGATGGTGATGAGAGACTTTGTCGTTGTTCTACTGATCTTCCAAGAAGGTATTATATATCTGTGAGTAGGATAAGACGTTTCGTGGGATAGACTACGAGGACTCCGGCCCTTTGGCGCCGAGGATGGGGCATTCCTCGGCCGAAATTAGAACAGCTTAGGCATGGCCACTCCTCCCCCAAGGCACATGCTATTGCGCATGAGCACACAATAGTTACATCTCGGTTAGGAAGGGGGAAGCGTGTAAGCCATCGGATAACGGGAGGCTGAGCCTGGAGAGGTAGATGCTGGTGCTCACGGACCCAACGTTGGTAGCATATCCACAAGGCCGCGTGTTTTGGCAATACTAGACTGATGATGGTACGCAGATGGTGAAAATAGTATCAACAACGATCAACCAATAGCGGCAAACGGAACAATAACAAAACTGGAGTTGAACAAGTCAGTCAATGTTCGATCACGTGCCGGTTACGACAAAAAAAGGAGGTTGTGCCACGTCGTGTGTCCACTGGGATACCCATCAGTACCATGTATGATGTTTCTCTTCGTGGACCGAATCAAGAATTATAGATTGGCGGGGTTACCATAGAAGGAAAACAGACAGGCCATATCTGCCAGAGCGGATAATACTGCTGCTTTGGAGCGCCGGAGAAGGGGGCTGAGACGGAATAGGAGAGAAAAGGAAACATATTGTGGGCCCCAATTGAATCTTGATCTTAGGGTTATCCTGTGCAGTACTACGTAGTATCTTTGAATACGACGACGGGGGAAAGTGGAAACACTTCTTGAAAGCTTAAGTCCAACCGGGGTCAGGCGGTTAAGATTATTGTCTTCGTCATGCTAAGTGTGGGTCGGTCTGTGCGGTTGTTCCCAATGCGATCGCTTATTGCTTTCCCATCCTGGGTATTACATCGGATTGGTCCGTTGGGAGCCCAAAACGCTTGTGATGGATACGTTCTCGACTAGGAGGAAGCCAGGACTATCCAAGCTGATTGAGGATCCGGGCGGGGGCACTGGTCAAACAATAGGATTCCCGATCCAGACAAACAAACTAGGCCCTGGAGCACGTCTACGTACCACATACATGGAGTACGCGTCGGAATGGCTATGCTCTCGCCATGACCGAGATGTTGACGACAATGAGGCCAAAAATAGGAAAGACTGAGTTGTTACCGCCTTATACAAGACCTTTGTGGGCTCCTGTTGTAGATCACGATCAAGTGGGCATCGGCAGTCTGAACAACTCTTTCGTTCTTTCTTCGTCCCTCCTTTTCGAACAACAGCCACCAATTCATCTTCAAGACACTCCTTCACTCTGTGTATCGCGCACTATCTCTCTCTCTCTCTCTCTCTCTCTCTCTCTCTCTCTTTTTCTTCTTCTCAACATTCTTCCACTATCTCTCAAAATGTATTGGACAAGCTTCATCACCGTCTTTGCCCTGCCAGGCACCCTGGCAATGCCCTGGAGCCTTTCTCCTAGGCGTGCCTCTGCCGCCACCACGGGTGCCACACTCTACGCCTATGGCACCAACATTTCCGGTTTCCCTGTTCTTTACAATGGAAACGATGGTGCGTGATTATCTTGCTTCCAAGTCCAAAAGGGCCGACCATATGTTATAACCTATTCCGTGGCGGCTGTTGTTGTGTTGACAAAGTTTCTGCTTAGGCCATCTGTACATCTCTGCAAGCAACACAACTGTTCCCGGTCTGCAGTCTGTCACATGGGACATTCCTGCCCTCACCTCTGCCACCACCACTACCACCACTGCTACGCTGAGCAACGGTACCTCCCCTGGAGGCCTGCACCTGAACATCACCGTCAGCGGCCTGGGGTCAGTTAGTGTTCTGACCAACGCCACGACTGGCATCACGACCTACGGCAAGCAGCTTGTCTACATTGATGACTCCAGCTTTGAGGCCAAGTTCTGGGCCAGGTCCGTGCAGGTCGATGGTTCCAGTGCGTGGAGCCTGACCTGGAACGAGGAGAACTCTCTGGAAGGCGGTGCAACCCCTGTAAACATCAAGACTGATGGTCCTGCCTCTGCGTCATCTTAAGGGCTGGGATCTTTGTCAGGGTTCATTGATGAGACGGCGATGTCAGCGGAGGTTATCCGTTAGGGGTGTTCAGTCGTTAGCAAATGTTTCCTTTTTTTTTTAAGAGCCTCAGAACGCAATTTGTCTTTCAATTTGTTGGACTGGATGCAGCTGTGTATACTGGAGCGATAGATCTTTGTTTGTTTTCTTCCTTCAAATGACTTTACAAACACAATATAGCCAATTTGGGTACAAACCACTCCTTGAACACAATCAATGATTCACCAGTACTTGCTCATTGAACTTTAGCCCAGTGAAAGAAGTGCGTCTCGATGCTTTTTTCTGACTTTACTCCAGTTGATTCATGCTGTACCTTTGCTGTCCAACTCTTGGTAGATCTTTACGTAAAGTTTCATGCAAAGTTCTTGAAACTCCTATTTCTCTGTTTATGGTACGATAATCCGTTTCTCACTGACTCGGTTATTACTCGCGGCAGTTTCATATGGAAAAGTTATTTTTGTTAATTTATTTTTTTGTATTTGTTCCTTTATTCTAGACCATCGCCACCATCTTACTTGCCGGGGGCTAAAGAATGAATTTGTCTTGCGTGTTTGTCTATGACTTCTTTTTGTCCAATATTATACTTGTTTTTCTCCCCCTATGATTACGACGCTGGCCATACAAGGATAAGCTCAAAAGGATACTCAGGTTCCCCCCCCCCCCCTCCCCCACTCCAAAAGGCTTGCGTTGTCATCAATCCAGACACAGCAAAAACCCTATCACGAGTTAACCAACTGCATGGGAACTCGTCACCACGTTCCTCAGAAGTCATCTTTAAATCCTAGTCACATGCCACATAACACACAGGGGGGCGACGATGTCTAGGTTACCACGACGGCTGAAATTGGAAACCCGAGATCCCCAGGGGTCTGTTTCCCATGGGCCAACAGCGCCTCAATCAGGGGCAGGTCGCTTAGAACCCGCGCAGCTAAACAGGGGGGTTGCCAGCCTAAGCGATCGCATCTCCCTGGTCCCCACCCCTTTTTCTTCTTCATCCCAATATTTTCTTCTCTCTTTTTGTTGAGGCTCTTTATCATCCCTAATCCTCTAGTGGTTGAAAGCCATATTACGGACGAACCAACAGATCGCCAAGACGGCTGCCACCGATTTGTTTTGAGGTTATCTCGGTGCACTCGGCGAAGCTAGTCTCAGTGTGTATGGGAAGTCCATCCCCACTGATACCTACCATATCTACTCATGTTTCGCGCCCCCGAGGCACAATTGAAGAGCGTCATTACCGTGATTCGAACACAGCAGTTGCAGGTATTCATTGCTCGGCATCATGCTATTGGCCCACTACAGTGGGGTTTGGATGACTTCGGAATGGAACAAGTTCTTGCGTCTACGATGATAGTATGACGGGTACGTTGGTTCGGCTTTTGATGGGACGGCACTGTTACCATACGTAGTGTAGTATTTACCCAATAGACAACGATCCCGATCAAATCAAACGATAAGACTATTTTCTTATAGTGCTGTAGTTCAGCGGAGAATTTCACCCCTCATGCGTACCCTAAATCGAAGCTTCTCCCCTGGGGTTGCAACGAGTAGGGGGACCTCCTACGTAAGCCTGTGTGGGGCCTGGGGCAGCCTTGTAGCCGTCATTAATATGGAGTGTTGTTATTCCCCCACATTCCCGCCGCCCCTTTGCTCGGGTGTTATTTAGGAACTAAACTGGGCCTGTGATGCTACTATACTAAGTCTCGCTTACAATCCCGTATTCGCTACTGACGCGTCTACAGACCGGTCAACGACTAGAGGGTAATATGTTTGCCAGCGGCTTTTGAGAGGCAAGAAAAGAAAAGTTTGACTGCAGATCAAGCCTCGGCTTTGTTTACTCTTTTCTAGGTTCCAAAGACTCTGCCCGAGAAAAACCTATCAAGGGTGGAGAATCTCCGATGCAACCTCAACCTTGGAAGCACGTGGAGGGGACCACAACACATGGTGTGCGCGGTCTTATCGAGCCTCGAAGCGGCCTTCAGGACCGGGAAATAATGTTATTACGAACTACTCCTAGTCAGACTTTCTATCGCCTTCTCTTATAGAGACCAATCGCATTGACCATATTATTCCTCGGCGTCATAATCAGTGACAGACCCCCGTACGCTTCACAATGAGTTCATGCCGCGATCCCGAGATAGGGTCACATGTAGCTTGCCATGTATGAGTGGCGATTTGATGTTTGTTTGAAGAGAAGAGGGGAAGCTGATCTGATTCGAGGAGAGTATGCGCTTCGAAGGGAAGCCTATCACTATACACACAAACCTCTGTAGTCCGTCCTACAGAGCAGTAGTGATTTTCTATCTAAGCATTGTATATGCTATCAATTGCTGGGCCGTGTCCTACTCCGGCACGATAGCCTCAATAATGCTCTCCTCACCAGGCGCCCGGGTCCAGATCCCCGTGACCCTCATGCCGACGCTGTCGAAGAGTTCCCGAAAATTCTTCTCGGTCCTCTCCTTCCCGGCAAAGCCGCACAACATGAGCAGGTCGGACGTTGTGTGAAGCCACGTTGCGCCCTGTGCGGGAATGACATTGTCTTGGATCAACACCTTGCTGTAACCCCGCGTCATGGCTGGCTTGAGCGCAAGGAGGATCTCTCGGCACTTTTCGTCGGTCCAGTCGTGAAACTAAAAGTTATGAGGTATGATGATTAGTGATTGATTTGGAAGGCACACGAGTCACATCCCATTTCTTCTCATACTGAACAGGAGATTTATAAAGAGTTAGCAAAATTTGAAGGCTTACCACGCGGTGAAAGTAGTACGCGCGTGCTCCCTCCACTGGCTGCCGCTGGAAGAAGTCGTACGGCATCTTCTCGATCCTGGCTGGGAGCTCGTTCGTTCCGCTGAGAACCTGCTCCGTATCTTGGAGGATGAGTCTCGTGTCGGCCTGTTCAGAGGTGGCCTGGTGCATAATGAGCACTTTTGTTTGGTGCATCAGACAAGGTCAGCCAGGAGTCTTACTCAAATCTTTGCAAGGTATTTGGGGGGGGGGGGGGTGTTATTCCAGGAAGATAAGGAAGAAAATGAAAAGGAGGGTTCGCCTAGCAGCATCTTACAGTCCAGACCCATACCACCGCCCACATCAACCATCACAACACTATCCTTCTTCAGACCAGCGAGGAGCCTCTCCTGCACAGGATAGAACTCGGGCTCAGCCCAGTGCGCGCGGCGCAGGCCCGCCTGGTCCAGAACCGCGGCCTTGAACCCGCGGGCCAGTTTGGGGTCCCTCTTGATGTACTCAAAGGAATGCAGTTTTGTGTTGAAAGCCTTCTGCATTGGGCAGTCGAGACCATCCGTGGGGTCGCGGTAGCCGTGCTCGGCCAGATACTCTGGGAGGACGCGCAAGGTGGCCAGACTGTGCAGTCCACTGTACGGACATTGTTGTCAATATCAGGGCCAAGGAGAGGTTTGAGAGGAAAGGGTGCGGGGATGTATACGAACTGGATCTCGAAACCGTCCTGGACGTTCTCTGTGGCTAGGATCTGCGCGAGGTCGTTTGCAATGTATAGATCGGGACCGGCCTCTCCAATGAAACCAGTCGAGGCGAGGTGTTTGAGAAGACGGGCTTGAAAGATTGTCATCAGTAAGAAGGACCGGACTCTCTTGTTGTAAATTTTTCCCATCAAAAAGGCGTGGTATAGGCACTTACAGAGCAGAGCCTCTTCTGCTCCCGTCTCTTCCGCCAGCTCAGCCGTTCCTTTAGCCTGTTTCTCGTCCAGCTGTTGGAATAGCTTGAGGTCGAAAGCCACCTTAATGACAGTGTTTGTGGTACTCTGGTAATAATTCTGTTAGATAGGCTCTTGACAATAACGAAAACGAAAAATGGTTTCAAAACCAACATCAAGCAGACATGTCCTCAGAAGAGTCTCCCGAGGCGTTTCCAGGGCTCGAGCCAGGCTCCACGCAGCCTCGAGCAGCCTCGCCCTGGTCTTATCGTCTTCAAGATTCAACGTCTTGACGCCTTGACTGAGCTGTTCAGTCAGCGCGATTATGCGGTCCATCTGGAGAGGCATTTTGCGCTGCGATGATTGATGATGTTGATAGAGGGGCCACGAGAGGTAATCAGCCGTTTGTATATTAGGAGGATGAGTTTCCGAGCAATTTGGAGGACGGGCAAGAAGAGAAGAAATGATATGATAATGTTGACCTGTCTGGACGAGAAAAAAGAAGGGACGGCAATGACTTTGGATAGCTTTATATCTGGAGTCTCATGGCTTCGTAGGATTCTTTTGTGTGTAGATGGTGGTGCGAGCAAGCGCGAGCCCGAGCCCGCGTTTCCAACCTCGGGGCTGAAATGATGCAGGCCAACATCGCATCCAAAGGATTGCACACTGACGTCTACGCTATAGAGACCTCTTCGTTGTTTGTTATATTTACTTTCCTGACGAAGTGCTTTGCTCATCTGTCTCGATTTCGGGACTATTATGCAGTGCCGTCTCAACACTACCACTCAGCATGAAGATAGTTTTGTCAATACTAGTTGTATTCAAATAAGCAATTGATCACAACTAAGATATCTTTTAATGCTAACAGAAATGCCGTATCCAATTTGTTTGGAAAACAAGTGTTTCATGCAATCTGGAGACCTCAGACGTCATTCAGTCTCCATTAGGGAGTATAGAAGGTGAGAAGGATTGCCGCTCCCGAACGAGCTCGGGACAGCCATCCTCGGCATCGGTATAAGCGCCGCCTGGCCCGTTGCCCCGTAGGTTCCGGACCGATGCTTGTTGGCGCCTAAGCTAAAGTAAGGGGGTCAACGGCTCAATTACAGTTTGGCTCTCTCTCTCTCTCTTGTACAGCTGAGGATGCTCATCCCTCCTTTTTTTATCTTACTCATTCCTGAATTTCCTCAATGAGCTGGGGGTAGAACGAAAAGCGATCGATGCATAAAACCCCCAAATGAGAAAATCGGCTACTCAGAATTAATAAGTCACCTGAAAGGAATCATGGCCGGCCCTCCACCTCCACCCCTCCCTCCCCGGCCCACAGGCTACATTTGGCATCCCCCCGTGGGTACAACCTGGAATTATGTCCTGAGCGATCCTGTGCGCCTCGATCATACCATCGAGCAATTCGATGTGTGGATTATCGACCTGTTGTGAGTTTGTTGAAGGCCTTCCAGAGGAAAAAAAGACATAGCAAAACGACGAAGCCAAAAAGTGAGAAGGAGAAGGGAAAAAAGAGAGAAGAAAAAAAAACGAAAAAAAACGAACAGCTCACTCACACCATATACCAGCGACACCCCCGTCTCCACCATAAATGAGCTCCATCGGCGAGGCCGCAAGGTAATCGCCTACTTCTCCGCCGGCACCTATGAAGACTGGCGCCCCGACGCGCACCTCTTCCCGCGCGAGGCCCTAGGCCGGCCTCTCTCGGGCGGCTGGGAAGGCGAGCGCTGGATCGAGACCAACTCAGCCCCCATCCGCGCCAACATCATGATCCCGCGCCTCGAGCTGGCCGCGAGCAAAGGGTTCGACGGCGTCGACCCGGACAACATCGACGGGTGGGACAACAGGAACGGGCTGGGCCTGACGCCCGAGGGGGCCGTCTCGTATGTGAGCTGGCTGGCCCGCGAGGCGCACAGGAGGGGGCTGGCGTGTGGCCTCAAGAACGGCGCCACGATTGTCCCGCGCCTGGTGGAGGTGGTACAGTATGCCGTCGTCGAGCAGGCCCTGCAATATGGGGAGGCGCGCAGCTATGTGCCCATCATCGAGGCTGGGAAGCCTGTTTTTCATGTCGAGTACCCCAAGGGGGATGATCCGGACAGCAAGAAGCAGAACGACGGGAAGGATGTGCGAGGGGCAAAGAGGGATAAGTGTTTTGCGGGGCGAGAGTTGGGCTTCTCAACGATTATCAAGAACGTCAAGCTAGATCAGTGGGTGCAGACTTCTTGAGAAGGAGAAACCAAGAAAGAAACTGGAAAGGAAGAAGAAGAAAAAAAGGAAACGATATTTGATCTGGCGTTGGCTGACTGTTACGGGTCGACGGGATTGGGGGCCTAGTTCTCAGTATTTTGATATGTGTCTGGATTTGTATTCTTGCATCATAGAAGCCTCGACCTATTGTGGTGGTCTGCTTCGCAGCAACTAGCTACACTCAACACCACTTTCTGAACATGTGTTCTATGCGTTGACAGAGTCCTTTGTTTAATAAGGACGGCGTCAGGTCCAGAGACGACATAATTCTGAGCGTCTCGGGCAATGCATCCGATGATGATAAGGACGAACTTCTCGAAAAAACCTCTTGCCACGACAGGGCTGCAATGGGGGTACAAATTTTTTTTTCTTCTTTCCTTTCTTTGGAATCAGAGAACCGTATTCACGCCTGGGTATAGCAAAGCTGGGGAAATAAAATATTGACTCAGCATGTGGTTCATGCCATGCCAAGACTTTGACCGGTGTTTGTCAGAACAAGAGAACTTCCCCAAGTACAGGTCAACGACCAAAGCAAGAAAATATGTGGCCTAGATCTCTGCGCCGGGAAAGAAAGAAAGGGTCAACCGCCACTCACCACCAAAATTTTGGTCTATCCGCCGCGTTCACGGAAGCCGAGTTACCGCTGACAAGGACCGTATGTATGCAAGGAAAATCGAGCGAGCCATGCCATTCTCTACCGACGTGATCATCCTTCTTGATCAGGCCGTCCGCATGATCCCGTGTAAATCGCTTCATGTCATCATCGTCATTATTTCTCCGTCGTCTTTGTTTCATCCCTCGCTTCGTACGGGGACCTTGGCCATACCCTCCACGACCTTGCGCATCGTGATGCGCTGGGTGGGCTTCAAGGTCAGCATTTCTGCGACCAGCCGCTCCACCTTGTCCTTCAAATTCAACCGCTTCTTCGCCTCGCCGACATCATCGAGCCAGATCCTCATCTTCTGAACGGCTGTTTGCCCCGCTGTTTGCCCATCGAAGCCCCGTTGCGGCTGACTCGACGTGTTGACATCTCGGATCTGCCAGTAGAGGTGGCGGGGATGGTTCTTGAGAGCCCTTGCCTCGGGGAACCCGATTTTGCCGAGAACGTAGAGCATCGTGACGCCCAGGGCCCACACATCTCCCGTTACGCCGCGCATCCTGTGCCCGATGAACTCGGGTCCGATGTAGTAAGGCGTGCCACCGATGCCGTGCTGGTTTGCGCTCTTGTCGAAGCTCATACCGAAGTCACAGAGCACCGCGCCTCGCTGTGGGTTGTACATGATATTACCTGGTTTGATGTCGTTGTGTGTGAGGTTCTGGCCGTGCAGGTAATCCAGGGCACTGCTTATGTCACGGAGGATCCGCTCCGCATCAGACCGACGTCCCATAAACATTGTGGTCTGGGCGTTCTGCCATAGCCCACGCGTTGTGAGGTCCTTGGCCTCGATATGTTCCATGTACAAGGACAGGTACCGAGCGTCGCCCCCAAACAACCGCGGGATCGATTTGTGGTTCAGCTGCTCGTGGTTCAGGAACTCACGCAGCCAGGTTTCGGATTGTCGCATCACGTTTCGTGCTTCGTCATGTGGTCGGGGTGCCGGAACGTTGGCTCTGAGACTTGTCTTGAGCACCTTGACCGTGATGATGCTGTCGGGCACTTTGGAGAACTCAGCCCTGGCAACAGCGCTGAGGCTCGTGGACGCGATTAGGTCCACCTTCTTGATGGTGTAGACCTCGCCGCCTGGGATTTCGACGGTAGCGCCGTCCTCCAGCTCGATAAGGGGGTTGCCCTTGGTGCTCATGATCTCCTTTCCCTTGTCCTCGGATGGGAACGGCACGACTAATGAGTCTGCGGTGTTGCCTGGCCTCATAAACATCACCACTCCGTCCTCGCTACGGGCTGCAGAGTCTTCAGCACGAAGTCTCTTGTCGGGGCTCGTGATACTGCCCCCAGTGTCGAGTCCTCTTTTGCCAGAGAGGTTGAGATTGTCGCTAGGGGATGCAGAGGATGATGATGCATCGGACAGAAGCCTGCGTACGGCAGGGCGCTTCTCAACAATCCTGAAGTCGATGACGTTGATGTCAATGACCTTGATCCTCCAGGTTCCAGGCCCGAGCTGCTGGATTCGGTGGGGGTCGACAACGTGGTCCAGACCGGGACTCTGCACCGGCTGCTGTGACACCCTCGACAAAGTCAAGGGCAGCTCTGAGCTGTTGTAAAAAATCAGGTCTTCGGAGCTTGGGTCAAAGTACAGCTCGCACCACAGCGGAGGTCTGTTCTCGAGGCTCTCTCCGGGCATGCGGACGGAGAACTTGACGGTGCGCTCGGTCTGGGTCACGGCGAGAACCTTTTGTTCGGGCTGGTTGGGCTCAGCAACTTCGGCCGTGAGCTGCAGCCATTCGCAGTTGTCGAGGTTGCCAGGACTGACGGAGCGCGCACGTGTGAGAGGTCGAACCAGAATGCGGATGTCCTTATCTTCGGGAACAACGAGGTCATCCAGATGGACGGCTGAGTGGGCCGCCGCAGCGGCTTCGTGCATCTGCCTCTCTTCCCAGAAGCTCTTCATACGGGCATCGATCTCGCTTTGGGAACACGGCTCAGTGCTCTCCACGGTCGTCACCTCTGAAGGCGGCCCGGCATCGAGCCCACCCACGGCAGAGGCTTTCATCGCGGAGAGGCGGCCAGGGAAACCTGGCCACAAGTGCTGGGGCAGCACAGAAATAATGAATCAGGGTGGCCAAGTGTTGGACGACGAGTCACGGCGGGTAAAGCGTAGGCGCAGGCGCGGGACGGGACGACAAGAAACACACGGCACAACACGCCAGCAGAGACAAGAGCACCCAGACGGATAAACTTCCAGAACAAGATTGTTGTTTATGACACACCAGGTCTTCCAAAGTGGTCCTAAGGCCAGCCTCTTGGTCGTGGTCGGCTGCCTCCCAGGACAGTCGAGTAAGCTGGGTGGGGTTATGCTGGTCGCGGGTTGAAAAGGAAGTTGTGTGGTATGGCAGACGGAACTTTTAAATGAAAATAAAGAATGGAACCAGAGGGAGCTGACAACTTAAGGCCAAATATACAAGGACTTTGGAGTGATCGCAAATGCAAGTGAAACCAAGGAAGGCCACCTGGCGGCGTGGTAATGTGAGCTGAGAACAAGAGTACGGTGGAAGAAAAAAGAGTCAGATGCAGTCGAAGAGCGAGAATCAAATGATTGGGGAAAATGGGGCCCTGCTGACCAGGGGACCTGGAGTGCTTCAGCGGGTATTCAGCCTCAATAGAGGGTGGGACGTACAAGTGCGGGTGAGAGTGAGAGTGACGGTGATAGGAATGATTTCTGCACGGGGCGTTGTTGATAGGAGTGCCGAACCACACAGGAAAGTCCTACGGTGACTATCTTAGGGGGGTTCAAGGACTGCAAGGACTTCGGGGACGTGGAAAAAGGGGCCAGAGAAGAGTTGCTGCAGCCAGAAGACAGCCGAAGACGTCAGATCACCTCTGACCTGTTGGTTGCCTAATTCTCTGAGGCCACCAGAGCGCTCATGCGGTCGATGCTGGAAGATGGTACGATTCTCTGCAGTCTTTGCTATGGCACAATTCGAGATGATATGGTCCAGTCTTCAGGAACCAGGTGGACAGAGATTGGCTCTTCAGAGTTGAAGATTAAGTTTGAGATGGGGGGTGACAGCAGTCTGTCGACAAGGTCTTGGCCGCTGGGGGGAAAGCTGATGACCATACAATTGTCGCAGAGGATTTCTCTTGATGAGAGGCCTAGAGGAGCAGACGATAATGCCAGGAGACGGTATGTGCAAGACCTTGGGGCCCTCAAGACCGTATGTCCAGATCGGCCAGGAGGCAGTTGGATCGAATAACCTGGAAGAGAGTGTGTGATCAGACAATCCCTCGTCGAGAATTTGAGGTCCACCTCCGTCAACTGCTCGGGACTGGGGACATTTGGGAGTCATCAGAGCAGAGCAGGCAGCAGCAGCTGACCGAGAACCGACCTTGAACTCATGTAAGCCATTGGATGTTTCGATGAGAGGGTAGAGCAGTTGGCGGCCAGGTGGGAGGAACTTCTGGCAGCTGTCACCTGGGAAATCATCTGATCACACGAAACCGCAGCATGACCAACACCGCAGCACGCTCAGATTGCTGCTGCTGCTGCAGCAGCGAGGTGTCCGAATCCATATCCAATCATGCCAACGTCAGCAGACATGGCCACCAAGCCTGGACCAAAACTTGGCTGGCTGCATGGGTAGCGCTGACCTGCTGAGTGGCGGGTCGGAGGGCCCTGACAGGTGGCGCATTTTTCTGAAATCATAAACCAAGTACTGGCCTATGCAGGACCTTGCCATGGTCAAGTGTATGGCCACTTCTTCGCCCCCTTCGTATGAGCATTGCGCCCAGTCTTCGTGAGTTGTCTCAGCAGCCGGAAGGAGATGACTGGTTGAGTAAGTACCATAGAAGTATCTCTGTACTTTTTTATATAGTTGTGACACAGTGGCTGCTCATAGCCTGCTGACCACTCTGAGACAAATGTGTAGAGCCTGGTTCTTCCCTCTCAAGCCAACAAGTGTTACTTCGAAGACCTTTTCAGGCTGTCGGCTGTCGAGGCGGTGGACGGAGACAAATGTGGAGCAAGAGGCCGGGGGTTGGGTAGGGCGTCATCACCTCTAGATGCTGGTCAACATCCGACTTCGCAAGCAGATGGCAGATGGCAGAGATGGCAGATGGCAGATATTTTTGACACAGAATGTGTATTGTAGAGGAGTCAGAGAAGGTTTGAGTGAGGAACTGAAGGGGCGAACAACTAACGGGGAAAAGCAGAGGTTGAATGACTGACAGAGGGGCTCATTCGAAGAGGAGGGGGAGGAGAGTATCTCAGGCAGCCTGACGAGAGATCTATCTGTTCAGGTTACTTTTTGCAGGACCAACGGAACAAAAGAGGCAGGGGCGGCCTCGGGTGACACTGCTCTGCATTAGCGCTCTTACTAGCGCCCTTTCATGCTGCGCCATTACAGACTATTTTAGCGGGATGCACTAAGATTGAAGAATTGTGGCCCCATTGGTAGCAACGAGAACGTAAATGTGGGCCCAACCCACCATCCTGAGCCATCCTGAGGCCCGGCCTGAGACTCTGGACATTGGTGCTCGCTCTCCTCCTTGTCGTCCCCCCAAAACCACCCCGTCCCCATACCCGGGACACCAGAGTCGATTTCTTCACCATCTGTGTGCTGTTGCCGTCCAAACGAGTGATCCCGCGATACCATCATCATCATCCACCATCATCCTCCGCATATCTTGACCTCCGAACCATTGAGAGTGACGCGACGTGAACCTCGTTTAGGCCCTTGCACAGTACCTTAACCCTTTATCCCATACAAACAACACATATACTCCTTTCAAAATGTATCACACTCGCAGCACCCGCATCTAGATGGCTCCCACTACACCCAGCCCATCCCATCGTTCAACAGAACTGTCCCTGATTGCATCTGGGAAAGTAACTGCTTTCTTCTCTTCTGGTTTCCTCTCTTCTGGTCCTCTCCTTAGTCTTGGTCCGATCACACACCAAGCCACGCTTTGTCTTTTTTCAGCGATACCTCGAATCGATATACCCAATTTTTGATACCCCCTTTCCTTATTCCTGGCAACAAATCATCACCACCAACATCACTGACGACGTACCGGCTACCTGACCCGTCTCTCTCCTGCCTCCCCACCCCTGATGGACGACCCCCCTGCGTGGGCCGAACCCTGGCCGTTCTGGAAATTCGGCTTGAAGCAGCGCGATCTGAACACCACTCTTCACGACAGGTTCAACACCATCACCACACCCATCCAAGACTCGGAGGCCTTTCACCATGACGTCTTTGAGCTGTCTAGCAAGGCATCGGATTTGGCCGAGTTCGAGAGGATGATGGAGGATCGCAAGGCGTTGCGGCTCAAGGAGCTGAACGGCATGCTGGACGACGCCAGTTTCGAGATCATCGGCAACCCTCGCCTGATCGGAACCGAGCAGTGGGGTCTGGCCATACAGCTGTTCCGCACCAAGTCGCTCGATTCTCTTGTCCGATACTTCTCGTCCTACCTCCCCTCCGACCACCCTTGGCACCCTGACTCCGACACTTGCAGCAACAGCACCACTGGTGATGCCGACCTCCTGAACGGGCCCCATGCCGACTACGACGGGCCCATCCTGTTCGACGAGCCTGACGAGGATGACACCATCTATACCCACGAGCATTCCGAGGCTTTCTCGAGATGCGACACGGCTGTTGACCACCCCACGCGGTCCAACTCCCTGCGGTCGCAGGATTCTGGCGTCTCCGTGAACGAGCGTGTGCAGCGGAAAGCAGACCACCAGCCTCACCCAACATCGCAGGCTATGTCAGTCCCCGAGTCCGAACCCGATCACATTGCAGCAAGCCTGCAGAGCTCGGTGCCCACACTTCACCACGATGAGGCTCCATCGCCGTCCGATGATCCCGAGACACCATCTTCTGCATCCGATATTTTGCAGACAGAGGACCAGGCTCATCGGAAGGACGGCCTGATGACCACCACGATCGTCGACGAGGAGGAATTGGAAGGATACCTGTCTATATCGCATACTCACCTGCAGAACATGGACACGACTACGGATTCGGATACTCCCACCCCTCAAGCCGATCACGCCGCCCACGCCGCATCCGCAACACCACTTTTCGATACGAAGCCATCGCCCCTGCGGAGTCGCAATTTATCGTCGTGTCGATCGTATCCCCACCACGGCCACCACGACCATCACAATCACCACCAGCCTCATCGAAACCATCGCGCGGTCGCGCGACAACTACGACAGAGAGAAGGTAGTCTGGATTGTGACGGAAAGGCGGAGGGTGGTCCTGTAGGAAGAGCAGATCGTCGTAGGGAGACATCTCCCGACCACATTCGCTCTCGGGCGCGCGCACGGAGAAAGAGGTTCGGTGCTTAGCCCTGCTGTGGCCAAAGCTGACTGATGTTGTGATGCAGAGGAGGTGGACAGAGTCACTGGTGGTTTGGTTCGTTGATGTTGGCTCACATGGAGGCCGGTGCGTGCCTCTTGTACATAAAACCTCGGGGATGTTTGTACATATCGTACATAAGTGATGAATCTTTTTATTCTCTTAATTCCTTCTCTTCTTTTTGCTTTCTTGTTTGTCTTGTCGGTTCATACAACAAGCGGGGTTGACAACGTGCTGACCCGAGTTCTGGACTCATCTCGGTCAGCTCGTTGCCTAACTCACGTGGCTCCTCTGATTGGCCCAATTACCCCTCACTACGCTAATCCGTCTTGTACAGCAATGCATCTCACAACCCAACCAACTGGCTACGCTTAGAGAACCCCCATGACACGAGTTATCCGAAACTTCCAATACCATTTCCTAATATAAATCTTTTAAGTACGATGAAATGATGCATGGCTGACCTGAATCTTCTAGATTGATGAAAGAAGGGCACTTCAAGAACCAAGACGCCTACTCTTTCTTTGCGATACAACGACGAATAGAAACCACATCCGGTGAGAGGGGCACCGAAGCTCGATGTGCTTGGGCTCGAGGATGCCTATGGATGTGCAGTGGCAGCGTGATGCACAACTATGAGATGAGATTCGTATATCTGGTGTCGAACCGGACTGATACATAATAGTAGGCAGGTAAGTCTCTGAGTGAGTAGGTCAAATGGTGGACTAGTGAGACAGACATTTGTACGCTTATTGTTGTCGACAGCCTCTGCTCACGCTGTTTAATAGTTTTGCATAATTATGTAAGAATGAATGCATCCGATCTTCCCTGCTCACTCTATCATTTGAACGGGCTGTAGGTGACCAAGTCAGTGAACGAGCATCGAGCGTCTTTTACACCAAGGACGCTCTCACCCTTGTCGATCCGTCGTAGCACGATATTTGGTGATATGGGGTGTAGCGAAGATCAGCCGCTGCCCTGCCATTCATAGGTCTAAAGCCAAACAGCTACTCCGCTCCAGTGATGTTGAACCAGACAAAGTCCTTCATGTCATAGCACTTGCCTAGCATATTGGTGTGCAGGCACCAATCTCCTCTTCTCCTCATTCCATCTCCGTCCTCAACCTGTCTTTGTCGTGGCCAGGCCCACATATGATGTCCTGAATAGACCACTTCGTCAACTTCAGGTCACTTTGACGTTCAGGTGGCGAGCCCACCCAGCGATGACGCTCCTACTTAGTGGACCGTGTTATGGTCCACGCTTTTGCATCGGCAGTGGGTATCTGGGGAACTCCATGGGGGAACTGTGTATTATCCGATGCGGGGGATGGGGGCAAGGAGGCCTTATCGGGACTAAAGCACCCAAGTAAGCAACCCACATGTTGCTCAGTACAGTAAGTACTTTTAGTATTAGCTTTTATCATGCCCTAGCCCATGATTCTAGTCTACCATGAAACGATCAATAGAGATAAAAAGGTTGCATATCTTACGAGTAAGGAGAAGGCGGCCACTGGTGATGTGATTCTCCATCCTTCTACTTCTTCCTCTGCAACATATCATAATTCCGCACGCACTTTATTAGTCTGCAGAGAAAATGGCCCAGACAAATATGACCCCCCACGACAGCCCACCCAACGAGAAATTAGAAGTGGCCCACGATGAATTCAGCGAAGAGGGGAAACTCTCTCCGCCGCCACTACATCACAGCCATGGCAAGACGAAAGAGGAGATCGAGCGCATCGACGCTATGGCTCTAGCGCCGGGGACCACAATGGCATCGTTTAGCCATCTGGATGAGAAGAAGATACTTCGAAAGGTACAGTTATGATTATTGATCAATACCTAGAATTCTTGTCTGTCTGCTCAACCGCTGATGGAGGCCCGATGACAGATGGATTTACGGCTCATTCCGGTGCTGGCTTTGCTGTATCTCCTTTGCTTCTTAGATCGTAAGTTTCAACCGTGACTATGCTTGACCCCAATCCCTGGTGATATTCCGAAAAGGAGGAGAACAGAGGACAACAAGACAAAGGGATCAAAATAAGAAGGAGATAGAGAGAGAAACAAAATCGCAGAGGAGATTATAGCGCCTGCCTTCAACTGTCCTGAGACTGACATAATTACGCGGGAAGGGGGAAACATTGGCAACGCAAAGATCGAAGGTCTTCAAGAGGATCTCGGCCTTGAATCCTACCAGTACAACTGGTGTCTGACGGCCTTTTTCTTCACCTACGCCTTCTTCGAGGTGCCCTCGAACCTCCTCCTCAAAAAGCTGCGCCCATCTCGGTGGCTCCCCACCATCATGGTGGCTTGGGGCACCGTCATGACGCTCATGGGGATCGTCCAGAACTACCAAGGCCTATTGGTCGCGAGGCTGTTTCTCGGCGTTGCCGAGGCGGGTTTATACCCTGGTGTTGCTGTGAGTCTCGTACCTTCAGATTATTATTGTTGTTATTTCTCTCAATTCCCTCCTTCTAACATACTTCGCAACATTGCTGACTTCCGTGCTACAACCATGCAGTACTACTTGACCATGTGGTACTGCCGCCATGAAATCCAATTCCGCCAAGCCATGTTCTTTTCCGCCGCCTCCGTTGCCGGTGCTTTCTCTGGCCTCCTCGCCTTCGGCATCAGCAAGATGGACGGCGTTGGCAACCTGGCAGGATGGAGGTGGATCTTCATCCTCGAGGGCATCGTCACTGTCCTGATAGCGTTCGCCTCCTTCTGGCTCCTGCACGATTTCCCCGAGACCGCCAAGTTCCTTACAGAGGAGGAGAGGGCGTTTGTGGTATTCCGTCTTAAATATCAAGGCCAGACGAAAGAGACCACGTCGCAGGTCGCCCAGGCAGAGGAGTTCAAGTGGAAGTATGTAGCGCAGGCCTTTGCGGACTGGCAGATCTGGGTCAATCTTTTTGTGTACTGGAGTGTAAGTCAGAAGCCGCCTAATGGCACCTGCTTTTTTCTTGTCCCAATTCGTCCCTTTTCTTTTGCAGCGGCGACAGCAACTGAGAACGTCTCACTAGATCGTCTGCCCCCTCTACGGCATCAGCCTCTTCCTACCCACCATCGTCAAGAATCTCGGCTATACATCCAGCACAGCACAGCTAATGACCGTCCCCATCTACGTCACGGCTGCCATCCTCGCCGTCGTCTTCGCCTACATCTCCGACCGTGTCGGCAAGCGCAGTCCGTTTATTATTGGTTTCTTGTGTGTCATGGTGGTTGGCTTCTCGATGTGCATTGCTACGGACCCGAGCGAGAAGCCCGGGGTGGTTTATGCCGGGGTGTTTCTCATCGCTTGTGCTATCTACCCTAGCTTCCCTGGAAACATCGCCTGGTTATCGAACAACTTGGCGGGCAGCTACAAGCGAAGTGTAGGCATGGCAATTCAGATTGGCGTGGGAAACCTTGGCGGTGTAAGTCTTTCACCCTTCTTCCCCCTCCCCCTTTTGTCCCTGTTCTTTGTACGCCATCCACCTGTCTCTCATACTCCGGACCTCTTGGCTGACCGCATTCAAGGCCATGGCATCCAATTTCTACCGCGAGGAGGATTCTCCCCGGTATATACTCGGGCATGGACTGGAGCTGGGATTCGTCTGCGCAGGCATTGTAGCTGTGGTGATTCTCAACATCGGGTATGCGACCATCAACAAGAAACGCGAGAGGAAGGTGGCTGAGGCCGGCGAGGGCCCCTCCGGGAGCCAGGAGCTTTCCGAGCTAGGGGACAAGGCTTATACGTTCAGATATATGCACTGATCTTAGGACTTGTTGATTTGGGATGATATACCCAAGTTCATGTTCGCAAAGATGAAAATGGAAGAACACATGAGCCTTGCCGGATCTTCCATCTCTTCTTCCCCTTTCTAATTCTTCCCTTTCCTCATGGCAGTACTGCGAGCTCGCTTAGTGAAGTCATGCTTCCTAGTGAGAACCTCTGCCAGATTTCACACTCTCCTCAAAGAGACACTGGGTACCAATGAGCACACGATTCTCTCAATTTGGAGAAGAAAACTCATCAAGACGCTTTAGTCATGTTCTTGGTTCTAATTTCGCGAGTATGGACAAACTAATAACCCCCCTCCCCCCCAACGCCTTTCGCAGTAATGTAGCGTACACACAAGAGCGTCCAGGCTCTGCTGTATATATGTACATGAAGAGGTTTCCAGCACCGTCTAACACCAATCCCACATACAAAGACCGTCTTTCTTTCTTTCTCCCCTTTCTTGTCCATATAAAGTTGTTCATCACTTCTCACTTTCTCCATCTATCGTCCTTGACCAGCCTCGCGCGCGTGCAACACTCACCACCTAAAGTTGGCCATAACACTACGAGACTTCATTTCCTTTCCTCCTCTCTTCTCGGTCCCCTTTGTCTTCTTTCCGCCCGTTCTAGCATTTAATGTCGCATTGTTGCTTGAGCCTCCAGTTGAGGCAGTCGTACTCCCATTTGTCGCCGCCGCCACAGCGGCAATAGCAGGAGCTGTGCCATTCGCAGGGGCTGCTGGGGGAGCAGCAGCAGCAGCGACGGCGGCCGCGACCGCTGGAGTTGCCGTTCCGTTTGCTGCAGAACGCGGGTTGGCGGCCGGAGCAGCTCGTGGAGAGGCTGCAGTTCCGTTGGCTGCCGCGGCTGCTCGTGGACGGGCGGTTGTGTTGCTTGCTGCAGCTTTCACTTTGAGTTGATTAGTGACAACACTTTCAACGGAGAGGCAATCCCGTCATGAAATTGTACGACGTGAGCATCCTTATACGACTTACCAGAATCCACAGCGAGAGGCGCAGGGGCTGGGGCAGCCGTATCAGCACCGGTCTGACGGCTGACATAGGACACTATTTTGTCCACAACATGTCTCTTGTCGACATTCTGATCATATTGAGATGGTAGTCTCTGGACTAGGCCCCCATCTGCCGGGGCTCTGCTGTTGAGGTAGTTGGCCGAGACAGCGGTGCTCATCAAGAGCGTTGCCAGGAGAGCCTGCTTCCAGCTGAAATCGGTGAAAGTTCCTTTAGCGATCATGTTGGCTGTATGGAATCGAGTGAAGGAAAGATGTGAGGAGAGGAGAACGGTAACGAGCGAGCGACGGGCAGAGTAATAGGAACGAAGGGCAGAAGTCTATCCGGTAGACTGATGGCTGGTATGAAACTCAGCTTGTAGAAAGCAAGGCTCTGCCGGAGTATGGTGAAGAAAGAAGTAGGCGGTTAGTCGAGATGATTACTTCTCGGATATGTGATTATGAGGCCTGGCCATCTGTTCTTATCAGATGGCACATGGAAATGCACTGCCCCGATCAGAGCGTGACAAGTGTGTCTGATACCTAGCTTGGAGTGTGCTAACGAAACCGGAATGCCTTACAAAGGGTTGCAACACAGGTCTGGTTGGGGCAAGGCGTGCCCAATTCGCCCATCTGAAATCCAAAGAGGCTGAGCAGAACCGTGATCGGATGACCCGAAATCAAGCTTGTTCAGACGTGTGTTGGGATGGCCTGAGTCCTGGTGGCTCTCATCAAGGTAGTGAGTGCTTGATATTCTTAACCTCAGTCCCTTTAGCATTGTCGGATACAGCCTCAAACACTAAAACCTGAGAGACGAATATATAAAAACTCAAGAAGCGAGCCCACTCAATTCTCTCTTCACGAACCACAAAGAGATATCACAGGTTTCTTGTAGATTAACAAGTGAGATTAGTAAGTGCTCTACGATTGAGTAGACTGCATGCACAATTCCATTTTTCATCGATGGAGTGATGACTCGATGACTTGAGGCTGGTCTTGGGTGGTGGAAATTCTTGATGGATGTCACGACATGGGATCTTGGAAGAACATTGTATCCGGCATCAAATGTTCGGAACATGACAACTTTAGGGCACTTTTTGCGAGACTGTATCGTCGGACGATGTGCAGTGGCACGCTAAGGAACGCTGAGGGTGTCGCAGAGTTTGGATGTCGTTAATAACCCTTAATATGGCAATATACTACATACACATTCTTGTATCGATCTGGATGGGATGAGTTTCAAGGAAGAGTCCGTGCCTTATTAATTGTGGTTCTCAAAGTCGGCCCGCAACCTAAAGTCTAATAGCGTGTATCCAAACTTTGGCCCACGTTGCAGGACTGTTTCGGCAGATCATATCTTCCTGAGGCCCAGTTGAAAGTTATAAAGAGCCTTTCCAGTCCACTTTTGAGGTTTGCCTTCAAAAAAATTACTGAGGAAGCCTATGATTCATTTATTTGCTTTTTTCAAGAAAGAAACAGAGCGACAAGAATTGCTCAAGAAGGAAGTTGACATAATGGAGGCTGAGCTCGGCAATCATGTAGCCGTTGAACCCCATGCTTTCCAGGTTATTGTGTTCCTTGTTGGGAAATTAAAACACAGGCCCTTCGCTCTATCTTGCAATTTCACGTATTTCAACTGGAAAAGGCCTGCTGCTTATTGACCTATTCGTATACTATATGTCATGTAGGCGCGCTGCAGACGCCAGGGTGCCAAGAACTCCAAGCACAGCCCACATATACTTTGGTTTCGTACACAGGAAAGGGCGCCCTGTCAGGTACTCTTGTCTGTGCTGTGGTAGGTGGGAGCTACCTGGCGTGCTGGGTGCCAAAAATTACACAACATACATATTAGACTTCAACATTAGGGTGTAAACTACAGTTTTCCTTCCGCTACGTCGAACTCACCTGACAAGCTGTTTGCTAGCACAGCATCGACTTTAGGTTTGTATTTAGGCACATAGCATGGAGGACTGGGTATATAGACGGCATTGTGTGTTACCTGAACTGATCAGTGGCACCAGATTGAGGGTTTTGATCTTACTCTTATGCCGATACTGCTCTCCATTACCGTCCGTGAATGTCTTTCGTTCTTGTCTTAATATCATGATCTTCCCTTGTTTTCATTACTCTTTTTCGTCTAGTTGTTATTCACCTTCGTCCCCTTTTCGTTTGAGGAGACATCCAAGGCGGAACGGAAGGGGCGGGGGGAACCTTGCACATCCTTAGTCATCACAGTTATCTTAGCTTCCTTACATAAACACATCGGTCGTGCTATCGCTATCGTAGGATGCGATACCTAAAGTCAGGCTGCTCGGACTCACTTCCTGCGCCTTTGAGACCCTGTCCTGTCCCTCGAAACGATTTATCTTGCAGGAATCACATTACCGAAGTGGGATTCCATCCCCCCTTCATCATATTTCCTTCACCATGAATCCTGACAGACAGGCGATGATCGATGGGTGGAAGTCCCCTCAGCAGAAAGAGAAGGACGTCACAGCGCCACGACGAGACGAGGGTGCTCGAGTCAAGAAGCCACCGCGGTCAGACAAGCCGAAGCTGGCGGCCAAGGCAGCACGTTTCCTCAGCCTGGACGAAGAAGAGAGGAAATTCGTTGCCGGGGAGGACAAGTTCGTACTGAAGCAGTCCAAGAAGAAAGCAGACATTCGCGTCCGTGAGGGTCGCGCGCGACCCATCGACTACCTCGCATTCAGCCTGCGCTACATCGATACCGACCGAGATGTCCTCGACGACGACGAGGATGATGCCGAGATTGACGTGCCGTCCCCAGAGAGGGTTGTAGACGACCTCGGCGCGGCGGAGCTGAAAGAGCTGGAAGCAGACATCGAGTCGTTCAACACGCTCGAGACAAACCAGAGAAACCGTGAATACTGGAAGGCCCTGTTGGTCCTCTGCAAGGACCGGAGAGAGAAGCTCTCTGGGCTGGACCACGAGGGCCGCGCAGTCAGTACCGTGTCTTCAGAGATCGACAAGATTCTTAGCCCCAAGACTCTCGAACAGCTCGAGGCACTGGAGAAGCAGATCAAGTCGAAACTGCAATCGGACGAGCATATTGACACAGACTACTGGGAGCAGCTTTTGAAGAGCCTGTTAGTCTTCAAGGCGAAGGCCAGGCTGAGAAAGATCTGTGATGCCATCAAGGAGGGCCGCCTCGAAGAATTGAGAAAGAGTGATCCAGAAAGAGCAGAGTTGTTGGAATCCTTGGGAGAGAGCGGTCGTGGAGCGGCCAAGAGCTTGGGCGAGCCGTCTCAGCGGCCGGCTCAAAAATTATCTACTTCTGCTGCTGGATCATCCGAAGATACCAATCCACCTCCAGGAACAGCGCGCTTCGCAACGGCCGAAGTACAAGACTTCTCACAGGCCACTCGGGCTCTCTACGAGCGTGAGGTGGCACGTGGGGTCAGCGAGAACGAGGAAATCTTCACGGCGGAGGAAACAGTATCAACCGCCTTGAAACCCAAGTGGGCCGAGAAATACCGCCCACGAAAACCACAATACTTCAACCGAGTACAGATGGGTTACGAATGGAACAAGTACAACCAGACTCACTACGACCATGATAACCCTCCACCCAAGGTGGTCCAGGGCTACAAGTTCAACATCTTCTACCCTGACCTAATCGACAAGACGAAAGCTCCGACCTTCAAGATCATTCGCGAGGGTGGGCGTCGTAGAGGCGAGTCCTTTGCGCAGGCTGGTGAGGAGGACACTTGCTTGATTCGCTTCTTAGCCGGACCTCCTTATGAGGACATCGCATTCAGAATCGTCGATCGTGAATGGGATTATTCTGCGAAACGAGAAAGAGGCTTCAGGAGCAGCTTCGACAAGGTGCGTGGTTCTGATTAAACCCTCCCCCCCCCCCCCCAAAAAAAAAAGAAATTGTGCTGTACCCCTTTCATTGCGCAGCCATGTTCTTAAGCGTGAGGCGTGCATCATCAGTGGGCCCTTTTACATGCGCTTCTGAGTGTTGATGCTACTTGGTCATTCATATACTAACTTGATTATAAAAAAAGGGCATTCTTCAATTACATTTTCAGTTCAAGAAGGTGAGAATTTATTCCCAGCCCCAGCTCTATGAGACCTATGCTGACAAGGCCTTCCAGATTTATTACAGGAAATGATCCTTACTCCGTCAGTCATATTCTGCGGAGATTAGACCTAGGTTTTATATGGGTGGAACATGGTGAGAACAATCTGTCTGACAATCAGCTCTTCAGATCAGCACCGCGCTTGCTTGACAGCCAGACACAGGGTCGGACCTCGCTAGTTCAGTGTACTCTCTCGAATACTCATATCACTGAATTCCCAAGCACTAGTGGCTCTGTAAAATGATACCATGCAAGTATACTGAGGGCGGTAGGCTGTCCAGTCGCGTTACATCGTCGTTACATGATGTTCTCTTACTCACCGCACTCTTTACCTCTTACCTCGAGTCTTGCACGATTTTGCCGGACTTGGGTTCTTGTGACAGGTCTGGATCTGCCGGGAGGTTGACGTGCAGATGAACCGCCACCACCTTGGCCCTTTCCCTCCCTCTCCTTCGCCGGGCTCGCATTAGACGACTCACCGACTCTATGCTCTTGGAAGGGGAGGCGAGCGCGCTCAATGTGCTATACGTAGGCACGATGTTGCTGCCTGTGGCTGAGGCCGCGGATTATGGTTTCACCGTAACGGTGGACACCGCTCGATAAGCTGCCAATGATTCTCAAAGCATCAACAACGGACTGTCTTTTCGTCTTTTCTGTCGATGAACTTGATAATAAAGAGGTTTAGAGAATTCGATGTGGCTTCTGCTGACCTTCTAGGTCACTTCGCCTCATGCCCTGCACCTTGTCTTTCAAGTTCCCGCTGGACGGTCAAGGCCTGGCGGCCCCAGGGCAATGCCCCGCCCAATCAATACCATTCACATGCCTCATTGGCGAGATACTGCTGCAGGTCTCCGTGACTGCTAGGACACTCCGAAGCTGTCATGGGAGCAGGTAGCATCGACTGTGGTCACTGGTACCAGGGAAGTACCACTTTTCAACGAGGTACATTCCACAGGCCTCATCCACCCAGCCTCAAGACCCAAGTTGGCGCCGTAGTGGAAGTGCTATCGGTATGTTCCTCAACTGGCCGGGCTACTGCTCCAGGATTATGACATCCCTGTCTCGTCTACCTCCTCTGCACCGTACCTAGGTATTACATGCGATCCCAGCTTGTACCTCGTACTTTGTCCTTCTTCGCCTTTGCTCCTGCTCCCCCCTTCCCCCCTCTTCCCTCCCTTCTCTTTCAGTCCGAACAGTTTCTTTTCACACCTCTGTGAATAGCAATGCCAGGGCTTTCACTTCTATCCCTCCGTTCCATTGTGTTGACCGGGGGCCGGCTTTGTGCTACAGGCGCATGCATACGAGTGGGCTCCAACAAAAACGGCTCTTGTTCTTGCAGCCGGCATCATGTATCTCATTGGGAAGGGAGGGTGCCATAAAGAAGCATGTGGACTTCTACTATGCGTACTTGCTTCTTCCAGCGTGGAGCACATGCAGGGTGATGGTCGTCGTTTGAAGCTCGTATCATAATCAAGTTTAGGCACGTCATCCTCCCGTTTGCGTGCCCCCGTCCCCTCAGTGTCCTTTCCCACCCAACCCACCCAGTCAAAGACCATGCAAAGAAGAAGAAGCAGAGACCAGTACGGAACAAATCAGTCGTAGGACACAAGCATGCATTCCTCTCCGCGTAAACTCGGCCTGCGCGCACACAACCATACCAAGCACGCCCCACATGGCCCCCGCGAGGCGTACACTCCGCGCAGTACAAGGGCTCTGGCGGAACACACCTTTGAGGACTCTGCGCTGACGGTCTTTTCTTCTACGTGTACATCAGCACCCTCTAGTTCCATTGCATTCACTGTTCTCTTTCCTATTGGCTGCCCTCTCACCAAGGCACTGCTGCCCTTTCCTGGATCGGAGCAAGGAGATCTAGGACTCCTTCTCCCCTCCCTCCCCTAGCTTCTGAATGTACAGTAGATCTACTGGTTCCCCATGCTGTAGTTCTTCATGGGCCCGGGTCGTCCGACAAGACTTATATTGCCATCTACTACCCGAGGAATCAGCTCAGTAGAGGATGGGAGACCATTTCTCAGCCGACACCGACAATTCGCCCATAGGTCTTTACCCTTCTGTACCCAAAAAGCACCAGAAAAGACGGTCAGACTTCTTCTTCCTGTGTTGTTCTTCCTCTATCATACAGCACATCAAAAGGCAATCACACAAACAAGCAATTATCCTATGACCCAGAGTCATCACCTAGTTTGTGCCCAATATTGGCCTCGCTGTCGCTACTCCTGCATCTCTCTCCCTCGCTCTTTCTACTTCTCCCATCTATCAGAGACATATCAACTCGCCCTACTCCTTCACAAGGGCCCCACCACATTTTTTATCCTCAATAGCTATTGTTTCAGACTTGACCTCAGAGACATTCCTCGTTACCCCCCTCCCCTCATACATACTGCTACCACTTTCTCGAGCACTGCTTTGCTGCACATCTAGAAACACAGTCCTAGCTCCCAAGACAGTGACCTTTTATTCACAACTTACACATCCTTGAGCGCCCCTTCCTCGGTCTCAGCTATCCGCTGTCTTCTGACATTTGAAAGGCCTTTCGAAACAAGCACCACAACTCCTTGCCCTCCTTGCACGACACAAACAGAGTCCACGGTCATGGCTGGTGAACAGACAAGCGATTTCGGCGACTGGTCCTTGTCCATGGCACCTGGGACATTCTCAAAGATACTCACGACAGACGACGACAGAGAAGATGCGCTAGAATATTCCAGCCATATTCTGGACGACTTGAAGATTGGTGGTGCGGATACTGCCCAGGCGAGTCTGGCATTACTGGGGCAGGATCAAGCTTACCAGCACCCTGAAAACGTCCAGCAGCCTAGGGAAGGTTTGTGGCCGGCCCAACTAGTTACTCAAGCAGCATATGATCCGTATACTGCGTTCTCTCTTAACGAAAATCACAATTATGGGACTTGTATGTATTCCTCAGGGCCCTTCGATTTATCTCACGGTCTTCTTGGCAAGTTTGATAGCAGCGGGGCAGCAGCATTATACAGCTGCCCAGAGAGCTTTCAAAACGTTGTTCCGCCTTCCTCCTTGGCACCCCAGGATATATCTGCTCTGTCCAGCTTTACCTCTGAACAGAAGCCTTTCTATCGCCAAGGCCCTCCTCTGGAGATTATCAGCAGTGAACCCGCTGATGAGATTCAGTTTACCCACTCGACATTATCTCCATACCCTCTGCCCTGCAGTATCAAGCCAGAGGTTGACACGACCGAAGCTGATCTTAATTTTATCCCAGCAGTAGCGACATCTTCTTCCTTCTCCCTCCAGCCCTACGCCTCTGCAAGCAACATCATCCCAACAACAAGTTTGTCTCCATGCAATACCAGCCTCACATTTGGTTACGACGCGTCTCTAGCCATGTGCCAGGGACAGCAAACCATTATTGAAACTGGTGCAGACGGAGGAGTGAATCAACAAGATCACCATACTGAGGTATGGTGCCCGGATAACATCCTGGAGGGATCGCCGTCATCTTCCGAGCACTTGATACCCAAGATAGATTTGCCATACGCGCAACTCATATACAGGGCTTTCATGTCAAGAGACACCAGGTCCATGACCCTGCAGGAAATGTACCAGTGGTTTCGGGAGAACACAGACAAGGCCAAAAGTCCAGGCAAGGGCTGGATGAACAGCATCCGCCACAATTTGAGTATGAACCAGGTAACTCTGCCTTCCCACCTGCAAAAGCAAGGGATAATTCTCTTCTTTGGCCTTCCCTCTAACAAATACATATTGATATTGAAAGGATCAATGCTGACCTACTTTGTCTTTATCTCTTGCTCGTATAGGCATTCGTCAAAAGAAATGCCAAAGCCGCCACCCGCAATCGCGACGGCAGCTTGTCCTTCGACATAGACGCTCCAGGCGTCGACAGCAGGAAGTCGACCGAGTGGTTCCTCCACCCAGACTTTGAGCGCGGCGTGATAAGTACGACACGCTACCGTAATGACATCAGCGGCAGCAGGTCGCGCGGCGGCCGAGTCCACCTCAGAAGCCTTAGGCGTGGTGGTGGTGAAGATGGAGGTGGTGCTTCTTCTGCTACTGCTAGTAGCGAGCTCGGCGGCAGAGGGGATAAGAGAAGCGGGTACTCGCATGCCCGCGTCTCGGCTGGCCGCAAGGGTGGCCATGTTGCGGCTCAGAACCGGCGCAGGCAGGCTTTGCAGAAGCAACAAGAACAACAGCAGGCCAGGGCGACGTCTGAGGCGATCCGGAAAGACGGTCCGCTGGCTTCTTCTTACGAGGCGTTGCGGGCGACTGCAATGCAGTATCATGGTTTCCCAACAACAACATCAATGACAAGACCCGATGGTGGGCTGTACTCTCATATGCCTGGGTATACATCAGCATACAACCCAATGCCAACCTCCTCGTCTGCTATTTTTGCCACAGCACCCACGGGATTTGACGGCATGACTACAACCATGGAGCAACTACACAGCCAGACCGGAAGACATCTCGAGATGAACTACTTCAACACCCAGGTTGCTGTCGACAACGAAATGCTGCTACCTATCGAGCGGCCCGGCTTTCTGGAGACCAACTATGAGAGTGCTGAGCCTTCTACGCCTAGGTCGGCGCAGGATCCACCTCACCAGCAAGGGAATCACTCCCTGGTTGACAACAAACATCAAGAGTACTTGCTCGCATCCATGGGCGGCGGTAGCAGAGGGGGGAGTGCACATCTCGACCAGGCCGAGTACAGCCTTGCAGATGTGACAGGTCTTTATGAGCCTGGTCCAGACTCTGACGTCCAGCCTCCACTGTTCTCGGATGATATCCTATTGCCTAATCATCCCCTGTTCTTGCCTTTGTTGAATTAGGACGTTGAACATGTTGCATTGATACCCCTCTTTCTTTGTATTTCTGGTGTTCTGTTTTTGTTAAAGAAAAGATATAAAAATTTCAAGGGGCATTCCTAAGAACGTTTCTGTTTTCCTTCTCTCTGTGAAATCATGGCTGGATATGCAAGCCACATGGTGAGTTCTTGTCCTGAATGTACAGGTCAGTCACCAGAACTAGATTTGTGTGCAGGAATCTGACAAGATGAGTCTGAATGCAAGGGATGGTGGTGTTATAGCACCCCACAACTGAATTGACCTCTGCCAGTGCACCAGGAAGACTGTAATAGATGGTCATAATGATAAAGAACGTCAACAATTCCTCTAGCTTATGCTATGATTATCACCTTGTATGCCACGGTTGTCGCTGATTTTGACCAACGAGAGCTGCAAATACTCACGAGCTATGCTATATTTTCCTTGTTACAGGAGCGTGACAGGGATTTGGCAATACAGAGAGCAGGACCTGACCTATTTCTCCTGCTTCGTGTTTGACAGAGTCACACAATTTTCCCAATCCACCGACCTTTGGAAACCCATGCATAGTACACAGCTAATTCGCCATCTTTTGACTAAAAAGGTATCTCCATTTAATCAGCCCAGAGACACAGTAAGCTCATGGATTCTCTCCAAGAGACAGGGGGGTTTCAGACTCTCCATATTTCATGACAAGTCTAGCCTGTATAGTGTCTAGCCTCGACCCGAGCCGTCGGGCCGTGCAGCATGGGTGGGTGGGGTGCAGCCTATTAAAAGCGTACTCTTATTTCCGTGTCTACACTCCCTTCAAGTGGCTTTTCCTTTCTTCTTTCTTGCAATGGAGGTCAGAGAATTCCCACTGCTACCGCCCACCCACTTTTGCGGCAAGTTGTGATCGAGTGACTTGGGGTGCCTTGCGTTTCTTTGTGTAAAAAGAAATATCGACATACGAACCACAGCGTAAGATGCGCGCAGTGCATTTGTGCTGCGTATACACTTGTACTTTTGTGCATATAAACACGTGCATAATTGCCTGAGCATGAGCCAGCAATGCGTTCAGGCCCAAGAGATCGTCTGTACCTCCGAAGAAAGAAAAAGAAAAGGGGGGGAGTGATACGAAAATTTCCCGGATGAACCCAAGAGTTACGCGCTCAAAGACTTCCTTGTATGAGTTGTCGAGGGAACTGCCGTGGTATAATTAAAGTGCGCGGCAGAGCTTCGCCCGATGCTGTGCAACGACCCCCTTTTCATGGTCAGCGATGTAGGGAATACACAGCAGCAAAAGGTGGAGTAAGACAATTAGAATATGGACAGGAGGCAAAATTTCTATGAGGTTACCTTACCCACCTACCAGGTCAGAATGCTGCCGAACGAGCTTTCGGCTGCCGACACGTAAGTAGCATGCATTCATGCTGTGCGGCCAATCATCAGACGAAGTTGTCCATGGGGTCTCTCAAGGTTACATTGGGGCGATGAAAGAGGACAGAGTCAAGGCAGCATTGGGCAGCCATGGGGTTATACTGAGCCTGTCTCGCACGGTAACGTGTGCCAGGTTGGTGGTGAAAGACTGATCATATAGTTTAGCCACAACCTAGGAAAAGTGACCAACGCTCGTGCATAATGTCGAATGCTTACTGTGTAATACTGTAGAAACGGAGGGATAGGGTTACACTCAACGTGGAGACTGGTCTTCAGATATTCTCTGCCGCGCAGTTGTTGAGCATCACACAGCAGTGGCTCCCTGGGGACCATGGCGCAATCTGCCTTGCAAGAAAGGCCAACTCTTGGGCCAGGTAGCAACCACCTCTGGCTGCCACATCTCACACGATGCCTTTCCACCCATGAGACGGCTACATGCTAACCCTCGACCGAGTACAGAGTTTCTCAGCGGTGCATAGATTGGCTGCCGCATCTTTACCGAGGCGTTGAAATGCATGCCGGTGTGTGGTGGGCAGAGCAGCTTGTGTTCCAGTCGTTTTCCTCATAGCATTCATTAGCTTGTGCTTCTTTGTGCGTCATCAGAAATTCCAGTCCTTTGCTTACAATGTACACCCTCTTCCTCACCGCCTTTTGGTGGTACTAGCCTGTCAGGCAGAGCTGTGTTGCCTCTTTTGCTGTGAGATCTGAGTATGGTGCACTCGATCTGGTTTCCTGCGTTTGGTTACCCTTCTCCAGTGGTTCGAGGGTTGGCTGACTGCAGCTGGCACAACCTCGACCGTACTTCAGCCGCAGCAGGAGTAGGTCTGAAGAGGAAAATTTCATGTGTCAAGGCTGTTTGTTATAGCACATTCCACAGACGGAGAGAATCTGAATAGTTCTTGATTTAATTGGTATGACCAAAATTCTGATGAGACGAGAAACAGAAGAAAAGGAGTATATAGAAAGAAATTTGAAAAGGGTGGAGAGAGATAGAGTATTACAACGAACACAACACTTTCTAAGTGAAGAGTAAGGCCCTGGACTCTCATGGGGGCATCTTCTAGACGGCCCAGGTCCCCATGATAACCGGCCCTTTCCGAAGCCCTGTAAATATTCATAGCGAATGCAGCCGCTCAACCGTGCTTCTTCTTGACTTGAGAAATATATCCACCTCCAGCATCAACAGATTGACCCCACCCTCCACCAGCAAAGCTGTTCAGACACTTGTCCCCAAAAGAAATGAATGTCATAAGCCCAGGCAACGGCCAATCGTAGGGCTAAACTCCTGCTCTTCTGCTCGTCTCCAGGGTGAGGGAGCGCATGGCAAGGGGTGTCGGGCAGAAGCATGATTATGCACGATATATTAATGAACCCATGTCTAGAAAATTCCAGAAACGGTCAACTACCTAACCGAGCCTTTTTCGCCTCAAGCGGCCGCCCATCTTCAATTATTATAGATCCGAACATGCAGCCGAGCACCTCAGTGGATAGGGAGCGGGTGGTGGGAGGACTGCCGAGAAGCAGACCATATTCAGATCAAGTCTCCATCTGGTTCTCGGCGTGCAAGAGGGCTCTTTTGAGTATAGCCTTCCTTGAATTTCGAATTGTTCATGTTGCACCTCTTGTGTCAGATACTGGTTGATTCATTGGTACGGGTGTCCCAACTAAAGGTTACTGAAAATTCCTAAAATAGGAAGGGGCCCGATAGAATCAGTGTCACCAACATTTGTGCAAACCATCAACAGCAAGTGAAATGAACTCACTGTAGCACAGGCGATCGTATTTAGTTGCCCCCTGGGTTGAGCTGGCCGACCTCTATGCGAATGCGACGGTGATACCCCTCGCGATTTTGTACCAGCTTCGTCGCCAGAAGACACCAAAGTCAATACCTGCCGTCACATCGCTCTGCAGCACAAAATCTAGATTCATCAATTGATGTAGTCATTGCCTCTCCCGGAAGTGATCCGGATGCGGGAATGATATTCTTTTTTCCCTCTCCCCTGGGTGTCAAGATCTGCAGGATAGTCTGTCGAAACTTGTCAATTATTACTAACGCCGACTCCAAAAAGAAACAAGAAGAAAAAGGAAAGAAACAAGAAACCTCCCTTCAGACCGAGCATGTTGCTTCGGAATGGGGTGGCTGACGGGATTAACTAAGAACCTGTCTCGTTAGACATCATCTGGCTAGCTCTATTGTTGAGAAATGACAGCGCAATGCTGGTCGTGTGACGAGAAAAGTCCACCTCACGACAGCAAGTGCAACACTGAAGAGAGGGAACACGTCACTTCTCACATGCCGGGGAAGGCCCCGACTAGTGGAGCCCAAGTAACCTATGGAGCCTCGCCTCGAAGCACAGCCACAAATGGAGTGTGAGCAAGCGAACGGAGGGATGGTTGGGTACTGGCGTGGAAATTGCGAATGGTCTTCCGAGGACGGCGGCAATAGGCGCAGCGATGGTTGCATGCATGTGGGGTGACATGGCAGCTAACACAATGATCCAGATGAGTACTTAAGTATGTTGAAGTGTTGGTGTGTGTTTGTGTGACATTACAGATCATCGTTCAGGTTTCTCGGACCTTTTTTTTCGAGGCTGCAACGTTCACCGTGTTAGATGTGGAGCTGGAGAATAGGGTATAAACGAGTTCATTATTTGAAGAACCCTATCATGTTACTGAGTATACGTATGCATAGCCCTCTCAATATTTTCGATGCAAAGAACTTGACATAATTATGATGATGGATTTGTTTATGTCTGATTGAACCAGGTGTCCAAGTCTGGGCACAGTATGAATGCATTGACGGCAAGAAGAAATATTTAGACCCAGTTGAGCCAACGCAGAGACGCGAATTTGACGGGGCTGGAGCCGCGGACCTAAAGCGTTTTTCTCCTCCCACAGCCTAGATGACTGTGTACCTAAGTAATCATTTATACCCAATGATCTTTCTGCGACCGTTCCTCAATCCGTCTCCGTTCATTGCTAGACCCGCACGACCAAGGGACTTATCCTTCGTTCAAGCTATCGACCAGTTATTGGGCTTAGCATAACGCTCAAAAGAGGTGGCCAACACCTGACTGACCGCAGGTGATTCTCTAACTTGTACATTCCTCCTGTAAAGGCCGGCGACCCGCATTGACAGGAACAGCAGCATTGGAGGTTCACCGGATAGCAACGTTTAGTACCACCAACTCCACAATCTGCCCTCCAAGCCTGCGGGGCAGAAGACTTCTGGATACCATTTCAAGATTATACAATTGGCGAAACAGATGATACAAAACAATATCGGGCGCTTGCAGGCAAAGAGGCGGGAACCTGTTGCAACATCTGCCTCGCTTCTTGCAGCCGACAGCCGTGTCGGACGAGGGTTCCCGCTGTTGGAAGTTAAACATTGGAAGGCCGCAATGCTTCTTTACTGGTCTTGCTGGTCTGTCGATGAAAAGCAGCCTGTTCAAGCGACGAGGTCGGTAGCTTTCAATTGCTAGATCATCGGATTGATGATCATTCCGTCGTAAGTGGTGTATGCAGTAATGACATATTGAATCCCTGTCCTCAAAACACTTTTCTACTACTTCTCTTTCTTCTATCAAATCAATGACAAATTTGCATTTGCGGAGGTGGAAGAAAGTACTCGATTTCTGACAGGCTGCTGCAGCGCGCAAGGCCTGCTCACCCTTTACCTTGTTTTGGTCAGCCCCCAACGATGCACCCCTCCTTCCCTCAGCCCTTTCTCTTCTCCAGTATTATTTTCTTCAACTCTTTCTAATTCCTGCCCAGTCACCCTGAACCGTTTTAACGACAGGAGCCCTGGGCCATACAAATCATGAGTGCCTTATGCATAATCACATGATGCTTCATTGCACATCTCGGTCTCCTCCTTCACTTGATATCAATGACTTCAAATGTTATTCATGAGGCCAAGACATTCATATTGTCGTGCTTCCAAGTCGAAAAGAAAACCGTATATTCCATGGCGATCTTCCCTAGACCCTGAGTGCAATCTCTTGCTTAATTGCATTGAAGGGGTGCGCAAACTAACTTTAGGTAAGGCTGTGTAAACTTCTCCGCATTCTCCAACGGTAGCCCGGCAGCCCGGCAGGGTCTTCCACTCAAGCTTGCCCTCTCCTGGCCAAAGGCCATTCATACCTCCATCCATCGTGAACAAACGTCTCAAGCTATTGGCTTCGAAAAGAGGGGGACTGGCCTTGCGAGGCGGCTGATCGATGACCCTAAGGCTGGCCTGACCTAACTCTTAGGCCCGGAAAATATGACCCCGCCAATCGACTTCATTAGCCATTAGCCACCCCTGGCAGAACTGGTTCCCCTGGGACGGCCCTGTGGCGATACCTTGTCCCCCCACATTTGACTACAATGTTGCAACCGAGACTGTTAAGGTGACGCTGATGAGACCTTAGCAAGCACCAGCGGCTGGTTCGGTCGGTATGGAGCCGAGACCAGCCTATCAACTGCTACAGTAAACAAAATCTGTATGCCTTCTCCAACATGTGAGGTAGAGACGCAGATAGCAAATGAGTTCTTCCCTTCCCTCTCCATCCTTCACCTAGACACACCTTCTGAGGACATGCAGCAAGAAATGGATGATACCAGGGGGTGTGGTGGCCCCTGAATTTTAGATGCCCCACACCGACGGCAACCCGGAAAGGAGATTGCAGAAGATGCGGAGAAAGGCGTGTTGGTCTGCACACTCACCTCACCGCGTCAGCTGGAAAAAAACATCATTCGTCAGTCTATCAGGCATGGGAAGGCTGACCTTGGGGCCGGGGGCCGACCTCTCAAAGCTTATAACGGCTCGAGGGGTCCTGTCGACGAACATGAAGGCGAATGCTCGTACATAGAAGCCGGATCACCTCTTCTATCCCGTCTCCTCCCACCCCCCCTCCCTCTGTTAGACAAGAGAAGGGTCACACGTTGTCGACTGTCGTCATCACAGACCACAGGAAGCGGAGTCGTTCGTCAAGCATCACCGGTATCGAAATATCAAGTAGCTTCAGAGGGCCCTTTTTGACTGTGAATCACCTCTCTTCTTCCCTTCGCAACACCGGTCTGCGCCTCTCTCCAGGTGCCATAGTCAGTCTGACACACGTCACCACTCCTCCAGCACGATGAGATTCTCGCTGTGTGCTGCGCTGCTGGCCTCTGTGGCCGGCGCTGTGAGGTCGCCCTATTCGCCACGGCCTATCATCGCACCGTCGCCGCAATACCCCAGGGTGCCTGTGCCGGATCCACCAGCACGAACCAAGTTCTGTACTGTCAAGACGCACGGGAACGGGTCCGACGACTCAGCCTTTGTCCTGTCCGCCTATCACGCATGCAATAATGGAGGCCATGTGTTGTTCGCCAAAAACACAACCTACACCATCGGCACTGCTATGGACTGGACGTTCCTCAGGCATATCGACATAGGTACTGAAGCCCCAACCCTCTCCTCACGCACAAACACACACTCTCTTCCTCTCAACTCTCCAGCAGAGCACTTCCCGTGTGATGCACACTTTATGGTTGTACTCCCGGGAAGCGAGATACTAGGTATCAACACTTGAGGAGTCTAGTTTCCCCCTTTTCCTCTTCACACCGGCCTTTGGGTTAGTGCAAGTGGATACGCACCTCCTGTTGTATTAATTGCAATATGTTCTGCGTGACGTTTGTTTGTGAATTGCAATGCTGACTGGCAGTCTTATATAGATATCCAGGGAACTATTAAGTTCACCGATGACACGGATTACTGGCAGGCCAACTCTTTCAAGTTCATTTACCAAAACGTCACAAGTTTCTTCAAGCTTGGAGGAGACGATGTCTTCATCTATGGAGGTAGGCTACCCTTTCAAGTGATATCATGTAGAGAAATTGTCCCCCAGCCCGGCCAAACCCCAACCAAGCCAGTGGCTTTGGGAACAATTGTCCATTTTCATGGCCATACACTTCGATTCCGCGGGTCGCTGTGAATCTTCAGTTCCGTTGAAGCCCGCCCGTGTCAGATGTGACATGCATGCACGATTTTGACGGGCGTGTAATACATGGATGTCTCTAGCCGTGGCGTCGGCGGGGGCGGCTTGGGTGCTCTACCTCACGCAAAGACCAGATTGGCGAGCACAAAGATGGCCCTGTCACAAGGCGTCTTGATGCCTTGATGGCCAGCGGCACCTCGCCGTGCATAGAATCGCTCCGGTTCCGCTCTGTTGTCAGTCCTGTGTGCGCCGCCCCCCCGGCGACATAGTCACACGTCTCTCGAAACTTGGATGTCGAAAGAAGAAAGAAAGATGCACACATACACATACACACACAAAACGGATTCCGCTGTTGCATGACACATCTTTATGCATACATAAGACTTTTGAAAGCTGACAATGTTTCACTAGGCGGTACGCTGGATGGCAGTGGCCAGGTGTGGTATGACCTCTACGCAGAGGACGAGTATATCCTCCGTCCCGTCCTGTAAGTTACATCGTGTCACAAATTCTTGCCAGAGTCTTGTGGACGGAGCAGTTCCGAGCTGACCATTGGGGGATCCTCCTGTCTTTTAGCATTGGTATCGATGGCTTGAACAACAGCATCCTCTCGGACCTTGTGTTGAGATACTCGCCAGAGTACTACACATTCCTTGCAAACTCCACCAACGTGGTCTTCAACAAGTTCGATATCTCGGGTTTCTCCAAGAGTTCCAATGTTGCAAAGAACACGGATGGCTGGGACACGTACCGTTCGACGGATATCACCATCATGGACTCCGTAATTAACAACGGCGACGGTGAGTTGGGACACCCCACGACACCCCACGACAGCCCCTTTTCCCCTTTCCCCTTTGCCTCTCCCTTCCACATCAACACTACTTTTCCTTGTTCATGGCTCTCCCCCATCATTATGAGCCGAGATTGGCTCAGCTCATCTTCTCACACCGGACTTGAGGCCTCTCCTCCCCACCATCAAAAAAACCCTCACCCACCCGCCCTCAGAGACTCACAAACACCGTGCTGACTCCTCTCCCACTCTCTTTAAAGACTGCGTTTCCTTCAAGCCCAACTCCACCAACATCCTGGTCGAGTCGCTCTGGTGCAACGGCTCGCACGGCATCTCAGTCGGCTCGCTGGGCCAGTACGTAGGCGAGTACGACATTGTCGAGAACGTCTACGTGACCAACATCAGCATGCACAACGCCTCCGACGGTGCACGCATCAAGGTCTGGCCCAACACCCCCTCGGCTCTGTCGGGCGACCTGCAGGGCGGCGGCGGCGACGGCCACGTCAATAACATCACCTTCGACGGCATGTACATTGACAACGTCGCCTACGCCATCGAGATCACCCAGTGCTATGGCCAGAGCAACATCACCCTGTGCCTCGAGTACCCCAGCCCGCTGACCATCACCAACGTCACCATCAAGAACCTCTACGGCCTGACCAGCACGACTTATGAGCCGGACATCGCCGCCTTCCTGTGCTCGAGCACAGACGTGTGCAAGGACGTCGTGGCGTCCAACATCAGTGTTCTCAGCCCCGCGGGCACGAACGATGCGTACTGTCTGAACATGGACAACGCGACCCTGGACGTCACCTGCACGGGCAGCCTGCTGGGGACGAACTGAGTTGAGGCTTCTTCGGATAATTAGAAGGTTCTTGATTCAACCATCAGCAGAATCTTAGCGTTTGCTGATTATGGTATCCTTCGTAATGGAGATATTTAATGCCATTCCAATCCAAATAGCACATCATGCCACACACTGCCGGCCCGTAGCTGCAAAAGTTAGTGCAAAGAACATGATGTGCATGATCTTGACGCTTTTGCTCCCTCATAAAATCATTCTTCAAAGCCTCCGTTTCTTTTTGGCCGGGCCCATGGCAACCTTCTTATCGAGCTCTCTCTTCAGCTCAGCCCGCCGCCGGTCTGCCCTCTCCTCCACAGTCTCTTCGGCGGCCGGTGACTCTTCAGGATCATTGCCTGCAGGCGCAGGAGACGATCGTCTCTCTGCCTGAGAAGAGGAGCTATCGCCGCCTCTGGCCTTTCGCCCGATCGCGCCTAGTCTGCCAATCTTGGGTTTGGACGGGCTGTTTGTCGCTAGGGAGGGCGGCCCTTCCTCGACCGCGGTGGTTTTGTCGTTGATTGCCTCGGCCTTTTTGACTCCACCAAGACGGCCGAGACCTCCTTTTTTCTTCATAGTGGAGGAGGAGACGGGCTCTGGCGAGGGGGAGCGCGATGAGGAGGGCGACGGGGAGGGTCGTGGAGACGGGGATGGTAGTGGTGAGGGAGTAGATCCATGGTTATTTCCAGCAGCCTTCCGCTTCGCAGACGTTGTCTTTGAGTTTTCCGGTGGGGGAGAGGGCGAACGAGACGGTGCAGGGGATGGTGACGGGGATGGTGAAGCTGTATCGTCCTCGTCCTCGTCCTCATCCATCTTCTTCTTCTTCCCGGCAACCGCTTTATACTTTGGGGCTGGAGGCGAGGCAGAAGCCTCACTGCCACGTGTGACTACCTTCCTAGAGCCCGTCTGCAGTCTCTTGGGAGGCGGCGAGGGCGAAGGAGAGGCAGTCTCATCACTATCTTCGGCCGGCGTTTCCTTCCAACCCGCCTTCTTGGACGTTTTAGGAGGTGGCGGCGATGGCGAAGCAGTTGCATCGTCATCATCCTCATCACGACCTCTGCCTTTTCGTCGCACCGATAGCAGCTTCTTCGAAACCTCGACTTCTGACGCCGATGCCGTTTCTGACCCGTCGCCGTGTCCGCCCCGAGATACACCTCCCGCCGGCTTCTTAGGGGCCTTCACTGCTGATGAGTTGGCAGTACGACGGCGGGCGGGAGGTCGGGAGCCTGCATCAAAATCGCTTCCGCTTGACTCCGTCGTCGCATCATCAAAAGCGGTGGCACGCTTCTCTTTTGCTGGTGGTGCCATCTTGCCCCCTCTTTTTTTCTTCTCTCTTTCTCTCTTCTTCTTCCCTCACTTGAAGGCGTAAGGAGGGTGGCTCGAGCTGAAAGTCACAAAAGGGGTCGGCCTGACGCAATGGATGTGACCTGAATGCGAAATGAGGCTTACTCAGGTAGCCTTTGGTGGCACAAGGTCCCCGTCTAGCCTCTGCCAAGAGCGATGATGCGGTCTCTAGGAACCACAACAGGCTGTATCGTGACTCTTTGCCGGCCACGTCCGAGACAAAAGCACAGAAAACCCTGTGTAATAGCTACAGCCACAACAGTGCGTCGAAGCTGCGGTAGTTCTGCGTCCAGAGACGCAAAAGTTGTGCGACACGATGCGTAGCAGCTGAGATGTGGAGTTTTGTGGCACTCTGTGAGAACCTGGTGCTAGGCGAGTTGGGGTGTGACGTGACGGCTTTGGCTCTCATACACTCTTTCTCCCGCTCACACACTCTATCGTAGTCGATGGCTGTACTCAAGAGCTTCTTGGCCCTATAGAAGCTGAGAGCTGAGGGTGTGTAGATGCAAGGCGCCACCGGCACGTCGAAACAGTATCACCCGCCAGTCCAGTACAGTCCAAGCCTTATGACTCCTGTTCTCTGTTTCTTGTCGTCGGCGGCTGATAGGAGGGAGAGAAACAGACGCGGTTTCGGTGTAGGCTGGATGGCGACTGTGCTGCGCAACAAGCGGGTCTCCTCCCCAAGTTAGGCAATTGGGGGCTCGTCACTTCAGGCAGCAGTCGTCACGTGGTGGTGCACACGTTACCTTGGCTGGCAACACTCCAGCCTCATGGTATATTTTCCTGTCCTCCTGGTTGGGATCGGAATTGATGAGAGTACTCACTTTCCACATGGTGACATGGTCGCGGGTTGAAAAGGATGCTCGTGACTTTTGTTTACAACGGCCAGGTCGAGGAAGCTGTCCCCAGCTTCGTGAGGGTAAGGGTTAGGGCTAGGGCTCAAAGAGGATAGCTTAGGTGGTCTTCGTCATTTCGGGTTGGACATGACTAGGCAGAGAATGGATTCAGTTGTTTATAAGGATACAGTATGTTCCCATTCCTTTTCATTAATATTGATTTATTGTTATATGACCAAATGCATCTGTTGAACAGCTTTCTACCATGTATGTAAGGGTCTATCCTCAAGTGCATCCATGATGTGCCCTTTTCTTCTGGCATAAAGACATCAGAGTTGTTGCTTGGGTACAGTACACTTGAGAATCATCTGGATCGCGCAGAAGAGTCTTGGTACTTGTAAAACGGGGCTCAAGCTCTCTGTACAATTTTTTAGTCATTTGGCAGCTCCGACCCACGTTCTGTACATATATGTAATTATCCCCGTCTGCCTCTAGGCAGATGTGAGCTCGTTCTTGACAACCCCGCCTCGATACGTTCGAGGCTATCGGCCGCTGTTATCGAGGCCTTGGTCTTCAGACTAACCTGTGACGCAATTGTATCTAGGTGGACTGCAAAATGTTTCTCTTACAGCAACACGGTCGTCTAGCAGACACATTGGGCGAAGTGCAGTGGAGGGAAAAGGCCGGACAGCTACTGGATGTGCTATATTTCGTGCAGTGTCTCGTGTGCTAGTAGCTCCTCCCCATCGTCTTCTTCGGGAAATGGACCTGGAGATCTTTGATTGTGGAAATAAATTACGGTATCGTACGAAACGATGTCCATTTCTAGGAATAAGACGGTATGGAGGGATTTCCAGCGCAATTTTTCAATGTTTTGAAACATCCAGAGCCAAGTAACTGTTCTTTGTCGACTGCAGAGAGAACGTGCTCAATTCCTAAGTTGATATCGGGAAGCCTGAATTAAGGAGGATGAAAGAAAATCCAGATGGAAATCTCTAAGAAGCTAGAACGGTTAGCAGAATGAAACCACTTGGGATGTGTAGGAGAACCAGCTACCACGCCATAAATCAAAGCAACTTGCAGAAATCAATCTATAGATGAGTGGCTATGATTTTTGGGAGTGCACATCGAAGGAGGCTGTTCAGGGAACTGCCAAGGGCTGCAAATGAGACTCCCTCAAGCCCAGCCAATCTTTCGAGACACAACGACTGCACTTGGCTAAGTACGTGATTTATTTTGAAAGCCTGGAAATTGTTGTTCTATCCCCACATTCAGTCGCCCTTTTGTTTTTCCATTTTTTTTTCCATCAGTACTTTCCTCAGGTTGACGATAAAGTTGATGGGTGATGTAAGTTGTGCAATCATGGGCAAACCTAGCTCCTGACGTAGGACAGGGGTGGTCCAGCTCGAGGCTGCCCCGCACTAGCACTTCGGAAGCTAGTGACTGCAGAAAGGCTCGTGGAAGCGCCTAGAAATCTCCAAAGCAACTGTCTCTACATAGTATTGCCTGCCAGACCATCGCCAGCTTTCAAGCCTCCCCAGCCTTTTCTTTCCATATTTCCGGACCTCACTCTTCTCACGCCATACTCTGAGCAACACTTCTTACATTGATACCCTCTGTTTTCTTCAATTTAGAAGTTTGGAATTCATCACACAGATTGCAAATCATCCAAGATGTCCACTGCTGATGAGCTGAAGGCTCTGGGCAACAAGGCCATTGCCGCAAAGAACTTTGACGAGGCTGTGTACGTACCTGTTCTCAGGATCCCCGCTACCTGTTTTCTTTGGAAGACCTGTTGGCTCGAGGCTCATAGATCTAACCCTTCTCCTGAACAGTGACAAATTCACCCAGGCCATCGCCTTGACACCTGACAACCACATCCTCTACAGCAACCGCTCTGCTGCATATGCCTCCAAGAGGGACTACGACAATGCCCTGCAAGATGCCGACAAGACCACAGAGCTCAAGCCAGACTGGCCCAAGGGCTGGAGTCGCAAGGGCGCTGCCCTCCATGGAAAACGCGATCTCTCGGGCGCCCTTGAGGCCTACAAGAAGGCATCCGAGCTAGACCCCTCCAACGCTGCCGTCAAGAACGACATTGCCAATATCGAGAAGGCCTTGCAGCAGCCACCACAAGACCCCATGGGTGACCCTATGGGCGGCCTGGGCCAGATGTTCAACGATCCCAACCTCATTACCAAGCTCGCCTCGAACCCCAAGACCAGCTCTCTCGTGTCCGACGCCTCGTTCATGCAGAAGATTCAACAAATCCAACGAGACCCCAAGTCTCTGGACTTTCAAGAGATGATGGGTGACCAGAGGTTCCTGCAGGTGCTGGGCGTCCTGATGGGTGTTGATATGCAGATGGGCATGCCTGGCGAGGCGGACCCGGCCGGCGCTGCGGGCCCTCAGGAGCCCGAGCAGAAGTCTGCACCAGAGCCAGCCCCCAAGAAGGCCCCGGAGCCAGAGCCAGAGCCAGAGCCCATGGACGAGGACGAGGAGTCAATCAACAAGAGGAAGGCCAAGGAGGAGGCCGACAAGGAGAAGGCGCTTGGCACGGCCGAGTACAAGAAGCGCAATTTTGACGCCGCCATCGAGCACTACACAAAGGCCTGGGAGACTCACAAGGACATCACCTACCTGACCAATCTGGGCGCGGCCTACTTTGAGAAGGGAGATTACGATGAGTGCATCAAGGCCTGCACAAAAGCCGTTGACGAGGGTCGCGAGATCTACGCCGACTTCAAGCTGATCGCCAAGGCGTACTCCCGCATCGGTACTGCCTACGAGAAGCAGGGCGACCTAGAGAAGGCTATCGAGTACTACAACATGTCTCTGCGCGAGCACCGTACACCCGAGACCCTGAACAAGCTCCGCGCTGCCGAGAAGAGGAAGCTCGAGGAGGCCAAGACAGCCCTCATCGACCCAGAGAAGGCCGAGGAAGCCCGCCTCAAGGGCAATGACTATTTCAAGAAAGCCGATTGGACCGAGGCGTACAAGGCATACGAGGACATGGCCAAGCGCGCGCCTGAGGACCCCCGCAGCTATTCCAACAAGGCCGCCGCGCTGATCAAGCTCGGCGAGCTGCCCAGCGCCCTGGACGAGTGCAACACCGCCATCAAGAAGGACAAGACCTTTATCCGCGCCTATATCCGCAAGGCCCAGTGCCTCTTCATGATGAAGCGATACTCGGACTGTCTGGACGCATGCGACGAGGCTGCGCAGGTCGACAACGAGCACCATGGCGGTGCAAACGCCAAGGAGATCGAGCAGCAATCCCAAAAGGCGCTGGGCAAGATGTACGAGAAGCGCGAGAACGAGACCGAGGCACAGACCAGGGAGAGGATCATGCAGGACCCCGACGTAAGTGACATCCTCTCTGCCAAGATGTGTAGATGAGAGAGAGAACATTGACTGACAATTGTATGTGTGAACAGATCATGAGCATCATGCAGGATCCCGTCATGCAGTCGATTCTGCAGCAGGCCCAGTCCGACCCTGGTGCACTCCGCGAGCACATGAAGAATGCCAGTGTGCGTTCCAAGATCCAGAAGCTGATCGCCGCAGGTGTCATCCGCGTTGGCTGAGCTCGCTGAGGCCGACCTGAGTGGGAGAAACATGAGAAGGGAGGGGGGGGGGGGTAGAAAAGGAGAGAATGGTTTTTTGGCGAGAACAGAAAAGGGATTAAACGACGAGACGATACGACCAGAGCCTAATTCCGGTTCAAGAAAATGAAGATGGTATTTGGCGCATCGTGCCATAGGCATATTCTTCGCCCGTGAAGGCGTTGCTTATGACTTCGCGTGGCATGTATATGCTTTTTGCTGCATATTCCAGAGCAAGCAAGGTGGATATTTTATCAATAGGTGTTCTGTATGTAGGTATTAGCGACGCTTTTGTGCAGAAGCATCATCATTGAATCATCATCATCATCATCATCTTTCATGAACCTCACCGAGAACGACGACAAAGAGGAATTATGAACAGTTACTTGATCTTTGCGATAGCAAATGAACATGCTACTGGATTAATCTACTAATTGTTTCTTTTTTCATCGAGGCCATAGTATAGTACAAAACTAAGAGGTTGCGGCCAGCCAACCCCATCCCTATCCTCACAGCAGGCTGACCTGGACATGGTCGTTCCCGCTTTTGTGGTTTCCTCCCTCCTTACTTTCCCTTTCTTACCCCGTTACCGCCTCACAGTCAACAACATAGTCCCCAGCGCCATCGCTCCAGCAGCGACAAATACTCCTCCCCCCACCTGCCTCCCTACCGCACCCGCCGTGACAACCTGCGGCGAAGCCTCCGCAGCAGCCGCTCCCGTCCCGTTGGATAGCAGACCAGCCGTAACCATCGCCGCCGTCGCGTTGCTGGCGCTCGTCCCAGACGGTCCCACGACCACCGTCGCAAAGGCCGTGGCCGTGCCGCCGCCTACGACGCTGTTGGCTACTGTGACGGTTGCGGTTGCTACGCCGCCGCCGCCGCCGCCGCCGCTGGTGACGGTGGTGGTGGTGGGAGCGGAGGAGGAGGTTAACGAGGAGTTGGCCAGGATCGAGTCGGCGATGGGGATGGCGGCTACGACGCCACCCGAGACGAGCTTGGCGGGGGTGTTGGACGGGGCTGTGGAGGCGGCGTTGGCGTACTGGATGAGAGAGTCGGAGTTTCTGGGGACGGAGGACATTATAGGAGTTAGCAGCTTTAACCAAGGTGCTGTTGTACCGCTCTGCTACTTGCTGGCTCGGTGGGAATCATACTCCTTGGCGGCGAGCTCACATCCGGTCTGAGGCAAGCAGCAGAAGGGAAATGGAGATGGACCCCTTCGACCAGACAAGATGATAACAGAAAGAGCGAAAAGGAAGAGAGAGTAATAGAGGAAAGATGAGGAATAGAACCCCACTCACCCATTAATCACCATAACCATCCCGCTCTGACAGTGCGTGGCCTGCGCACAATACAAAAAAATAGGCTCCGTATCCGCGACGGGCACATCAAACGTCCCAACCATGGCGCTGTCGCCCGCGGCCTGGTCAAACACGATGAAGCCGCTGTGCACGCCATTCACGGTGCCGCCATTGGTGGCGTCGACGGGCTGGCAGGGGGAGGCCTCGAGGGACTGGGTGACGGAGTGGTTGACGGCAGCGAACTGGAACTGAACAATGTCTCCTGGGTTGGCGGTCACGGAGTTGGGGGTGAAGGATAGCGAGGAGCCGCCGACGAGGACGGGGATGAGACGCGGGGTGCCGGAGGTGGTTGGTAACGTGTCGGTCGTCACTGGAAGAGCATGTCAGATGAGGATGGGCCTTTTCACATACACACACACACACACACACACACACTCCAAGCCTCTCTCCGCCTCTCTCTATTCGATTTGTTTTTGAGGAGAGAAAGGAACATGGGGTGTACATATGTCGCTGTCTATCTGGATAAAAAAGGTGGGATTTTTGAATTGTGTCGAGAAGACAGCAGATAGGTTGGTTGGTAAATACTTCACCTACCCTGAAAAGTACTCTCGACGCCCGCCGTCAAGGCGGACCAGAGGAGGAAGAGGGCTCGCCTCATGTCGAGATTCCAAGTCGAGTACTTCGAAAAGGAAGAGATGAGAAAGAGGAGGAACCAGATTATAATAACATCGGTAACAAGGGGTATAAAAATATAGTATAAAAAAAGAGTGTACGTATACAATTCTCAAATTATCAGAGCTTGTCGTGGCATGAATCCCGGCTGTACAGCGGACAAGACGACAGACGGCGGAATGGAGCCCCGGACACCTCGAGACACAAGAAAGAGCGGAGCACACGGTGGCGACGGTGACGATGAAGATGATGACGAGGGGATCCGTCGTAATGGCGAACTTAGAAAGGACAATGCCTCAAGGCACCGTGCGCGCGTAACGGCGAAAAAGAAGAAGAGCCGGTCTTCTCAAGTCCCAGGACCAGCAGGATAGAAATAAAACAAAGGAGTGCGTTGGAAAGTTTGCAGGTCAGAAGAGCCTCCTGGGCATCATCACCTTCATCATCATCCGAAAGAAGGGGAGAGCAAACAAGATCGCAGACAGAACCCTCTCCAGCGTGCGAAAAGGGACGAGGGAAGGACGTGACAGAGAGGGGAAATCAGTACAAGTCGCAGATCTTTCCTCGTCGCTTCTCTTTTCCTCTACTTCTTCTTTTTTTTCTTTCTCTCCTCCTCCCCCCTCGAGCAGCAGCCGGTGCTACTCATGCGTTCGTGCGTGTGTAGATACATGTTTCGTGTTCCCTTTGCCCCCCGGTTTTCCCACGTTTCGGAATAGCCTCATCTGATGTCGGAGATGCAGGCTGAGACCCACACCCGCACACACGCACACAGACACACCACCCCAAAGGAGCGTAGCGTACTGATCAACCCTTGTATGAACCGACTGATGGTGCTGCAAAGGATACCCAAGGACCAACCGTTTTCTCAATTTGCTCGACCTGTAATCATTGATTTGATAGTATTTAGACTGGTTGTTAGTAAGTAGCCAATGCAGAGTTGGTCAAGAGGAGAACGTTAATGCCGGCAACGGAACATGGGGTGCTGCTATTAATACAAATAATCAACGCCCAAGTAAATTTTGGAGCAGACCCCGGTAAGGCCAAAGTCGCTTTCTAACCCCAAGGATCAACAAATGGCGTTTCTTGGCGAGTCTGGTCACAAATTAAGCTTATGAAGCAGAACTGCCGACGATCCCCGTGATCGACGCTGCACCACCAGAGGGTTCGATGCACTGTCTGGAGTCCAACATAGTTATGTGTAGTATCTCGATTGGTCTATGCTTGATTATGTACACGGTCAAAGGCATTAGGGAAGAACATCCAGGGCCAGTAAAAAACTCTCTTCTTTCCTCGGGTCCACAGCGCGGTTTGTATGAAAGCAGACTCTACAACAAGGCCTTTGGGCATTGTCTGTGCACCTTCTACTCACTGTAGTCCCAGTTCGCATGCTGGATCGTCTTTGGTGTCCAGAAGACGCTTGCGCATCCATGCTTGGTTTTTTCTTCTTTTTCTTTGGAGTATAATATTTCCCCTTCAAAGCCCATCTTTAAAATTCCTCGGCCGGTTCGAATCGCTATGCAGAGAGCTCGGATGACTACCTCTTCGCCCTGTCCACGGCAGCCTGACTCGTCATGCTCGTCATCATGAGTCCTGGAGGAGGTGCGGGTGTGCTCGACCGCGTGGGCGGGGCGGATCGGTTGTGTGCCATGTGCGCCTGGACAAGATGGCCTGCAGCAAGCGCACTGCAGAGCGACAGCTCACCGGCCAGCACTGTCGCAGCCACCACGCGGGCGAGCTGCTGCGCGTTCCTGCCAGGCGTGATGGGGTGAGCGCCGCGCACGCCAAGCATGTCGAGCATGGCAGACTGGGGTTCCAAGATGGTGCCGCCACCAAGTGTACCGACCTCGATGGAAGGCATCGACACAGAGATCTGGAGGGAGCCGCGGAGACTGTGATTGCGTTGTTAGCCTGGGATATAGGTTCTCAAGAGATACTACTACTAGTACTACTCGATAAAGAGCTGGAGGGGTAAGAAAAGACTCACTTCTTCATGATGGTGATGCAGTTAGCGCTCTCCACGACCTGCGCCGGATCCTGGCCCGTTGCGATAAAGATGGCCGCCACGATGTTTGCGGCATGGGCGTTGAACCCTCCCACACTGGCCGCCATTGCAGAACCGATCAAGTTCTTGTCGATGTTGAGCTGCACCAGGGAATCCACGTCCGTCTTGAGCACAGACCTGACAATATCAGCAGGGATGATGGCCTCGGCGACAACACTCTTGCCTCGGCCCTCGATCCAGTTGATGGCAGCAGGCTTCTTGTCGATACAGTAGTTGCCGGACAGCGAGACGATCTGCATGTCTCCAAAGTTGTGATCCGTAGCCATGACGCGCAGTGCGTGCTCGACGCCCTTGGAGATCATGTTCATGCCCATGGCGTCGCCCGTCCGGCTCTTGAAGCGAATGTACAGGTTCGTGCCGGCGATGGTGGATGTCATGGCCTCAAGTCGCGCGAAGCGGCTGGTCGAGTTAAAGGCATCCTTCATGACGCTCTGGCCAACCTCGGAGTCAAGCCACAGCTTGGCAGCGCCAGTGCGTTCCAGGGTCTCAAAAGTCACACAGGGTCCACGGGTCATGCCGTCTCCAGTCAGGACCGTGACAGCGCCACCACCAGCGTTGATGGCTTTGCAACCACGGCTTGCGCTGGCAACCAGGACACCCTCGGTCGTGGCCATTGGAATGAAGAAGCTCTGCCCATCAATGACAAGAGGTCCAGCAACACCAACAGGGAGGGGCATGTATCCGATGACGTTCTCACAGCAGGCGCCAAGAACAAGATCCCAGTTGTAGGCCTGATACGGAAGCTTGGATCGTTCGAGAGAGTTGGTGATGTCCGTGGTCGCCTTTGTTCGGGCAATGATGGCGCGCCGGATCTTAACGGCCCGGGTGGTGTCCTTGAGGGTCCTCTCCAGGCTGTGTCCCGGCACCTTGCCCTTGAGCGCAAGACCGATGATCTCTTCGTCCGTCATCTCGGCGATGCGCTTCTCCACAAGCAGTTTCTCGAGTTCGGCATAGGGGCGAGAAGGGGCCTCGGATAGCATAGACGTAGTAGATGCGTTGCGCTGAATGGCCGCATTTTCGGACTCGTCGTCGGTCGGGGCGGGCGTGGGAGGCATCACGTCTGCAGTCGGTGTACGCGATGACCTCTCAAAGCCGCTCGTGACGGGGGTGGCATCGGCATCGTTGAACTTCTGGGCCCGGGCAAGCTCCTTAACATCAATCGGGCGCGTGGGAACATTGGGATCCCGAATGCCCCATCGAGCAGCGTTGAACAAATATCCGTTGAAGGCGACGCTCAAGGCCAAGGCAATCATAATCCACTTGGACAGCACTGGGTCCTCCAGGCTCTTGAGAACGCCTCCGACCATACGGCCGCCCACTCCGTAGCCCATGTCTTCAACGTCCTCGGGGGCCTTCTCAACATCCTTGCCGTAGTGCACAGATGGGAACTCAAGCTCATACTTGATCGGCGTCAGGATGGTGACCGCAACCTCCTGGTGGTTGGCAGTGGCCTGCGCCAGGATGCTGTCCAGCCCATTGGAGGCGACCTTGAAAGGATCAACGGGCGGGTTGGCGACCAGACCGCCAAGACCGCCAGCCCAGGACGAGATGCTGGACAGGGAGTCGGTCTCGCGGAACGGGATGGTGCAGAGGTTGATGGCGTTGATGAGGACGAATCCGCCGACCATAAGAACCTTGAATTTGGGGACACTCGTGCTCTTGATCTTTCTACCGAACAGCGAGGTGCCAGGCTGGCCTTTGCCGTCGGCCCTGGGCCAGTCATTGTTCTGAGCCACATTCTCAGCAACACGGTGGCTGATTCCGTCATCCTCCAGAGCGCGGCGCATCTCGACATGGCGCTTGATGCGGTTGATCTCCAGCTTGATGCAGAGGATAGCGGTGTAGAAGGTGAAGAGCAGGATGCAGTCGAACAGCAGGATCCAGGCGGCGAGGAAGCAGAACTGCTGAAGTCCTCCCTGCACGCCAGAAGCAGCTCCAATGACGAGGACCACAATCTCGATAACGTAGTCCTTTACAATCTCGAAACCCTTCTCCCGGATGGCAACCTGGATGGAAGACTGGATGGCGTTGGAGTTCTCAATTTTGCGGTCTTTGCCCTTTTTTGCCTGTGCAGCCTTGTGCTCGATGGAGTGTGTCAGGACAGCGCGGGTGAGGGTAGTGTTCTTCTCAAACCCAATGGTGATGACCAGGAACGGAAGACCCTCAGAGAGCAGGACCATTGAGATAGGAACACCGAGCTTGGTGGTGACGATCAGGCCGAACATGAAGGCGAAGGCTGAGGAGAAGAGGGTGCTTGCGGCGAGCCAGAAGTTGGATCCCAGACGGCGCATGGACAGAAACAGGGAGACAAAGGTCAGATGCATCGACATGTACCCGAGAACCATAATGATGATATCGAGCGTCTCGGCGTTCTTGAGCAGGTCGATGAAATCGTACCAGGCGTTGTGCGCCCACCTGGCGATACTGCTCCGGGGGTTCACCCTCGCCGCCTTCATGATCCACATCTTGTTCTCCTCGCCATCACCAGTGCGTCTTGTCTCCTGGCTGGGGAGATCACTTGGGAGCTCCTGCGCAGCGGCAAGGAACGCAGGGGCCTGGTTGTACGGCACAGCAAGGGCCATGGAGATCTCTTGCGAATAGGCGGTCAGAGAGTTGGAGGTCGACGGCAGGGGCGTGATGGACAGGTTCTGTGGGATCGGGATCGTCTTCAGTGACTCGGCAGTTCTTGGCGGATCGGTGGAGAAGGACTCGGGAAAGACGAAGGTGAGAAGAGCGAGGTGGTCGGCATCGTCGACAGTCTCGGAATCTATGTCCCAGGTCTGCCATTTCCAGCTCGAGTCGGGACCGGCGCGAAGGCTACGGCTGCCCTCGGCCAGGGACGCCCAATCGGCCTTCCTAACAGTCCTTGTAGCATCGAACAGCCTCTCCTCGAGCAGTCCGAGGTAGCTCGAACTGGCCAGGAGGGCAACCACGACAACAGTATGGATCGGGTGCGAGGCCGTCAGCTTGGAGACGACCTGTAGGAAGGGCGAGATCTTGGTGTTGAGCCAAGAGGGCGGCTCGGCCTTTGAGGCAGGCTGCTCGCCCCTGAATCGGGACGGGAGGAGGGAGGACGCGATCATGTTGTTGAAGAGATCGGCGGTATTTTTGGGGGGCGGCGCTCAAGAAAGCCTACAGCGAAGGCATTTGCAGGAGTGGCTTCGTAGGTTCGGAGCAGATATCGTTCACGGTCGGTAACAACCTGTTGTACCTGGTGAGCAAAAGCCTCAAACTGATGGCAAGAGGCGCATAGAGCCTCGAAGAAGGGAAACCCAGAAAGAAACGGTGACATGCAAGAACGCAGAGGCCAGCCTGACGAGGGGGAGACTTTGGGCATGATAAAGATTTGAGAACATGAAAGATTGGGGGGGGGGGCCAAAATGAAAGCACTTGGAAACCCCCACCCCCAACTTTCATTGAGCTGACTGCAGATGTGAAGCAATATGTCTTTGGATGAGCACCTAGTTGCTTACCACTTGATGTCGACTGCGCGCCGTGCAGTTACTCTTGTCCTGATTGGCTGTACAAAAAGGTACACGACGTTCCCAGACTGATCTGATTAGACCACCACGACAGGATTGAATCGTCTTGGCTGGCTGGGCTGACGATGTGCAGCTGGGAAGGGACTTGATGAGGAAGGAGGATAGTTGAGAAGGATAGGAAGATAGACGATGGATGGCCTTTGCCACAAGGAGGAACAATTGAATTCCAAATGTTGGCTTCACGTCATAAGCACACCACCAGAGAGAGAAGGGGCAGGGGAAGAAGTCAACACCAGGGTCTCAATTCAGAGATGGCAAGAGAGGATAGTTGTCATGAAGTCCAGCTGAGGACATACACAACACTGTAGAGGAAAAAGGTGCCGGTTTAGGAGGGAAAGGGGGGCCGAACTCGAGGGTTGATCGCTGTTGGACAACAGGCGCAAGAAAGATTTCGATATTTGGAGAGTGGGATGAAATGAAGGTTACGCCATTTTCAAGGCCCTGCCAACAAAGGTTGAGCCAGTGGGCTGCAGGCCTTGGTAGTACTGGACCCAAATGGGTGGACGGCCCACTGTATGCACCTGCAGGGCCTAGCTATGCCCGACGTCTGGCCTCTCTGGTTGGTCGGGCTGAGCGGGGCGGTAGAGGACGGATGGGCAACCCCAACAATCTAGCCTCGATGAGGTAATATTGCAATCCACCCACTGTAATTTCACCGCTAGATCTGTCCAATGATTCGCGTTTCCATATTGCAGGTACCCCCTGGTTTAGGCACGGTAGTCTGGCGGTCCTCTTTTCCTGCTTCTCAACTAACTGAAAAATTTCCTAGAATTCCTCGCGATGACAGGCCCGGCGCGTCTCCTCTGAACGTCCAGGAGGACCACAAACACACAAGCAACGGCCAGATTGTGTTGTCCCTTCGAACCCCATCCTCGGGCATTTAGCCAGAACTGGCCATCCGTGACAACACAGCAGAAAATGGCCTGACTGGCACAGCAAGTACGTGTCTCTACGTAACTTAAGCTTCCTACATGACAAACTTTTTCCCCTCTTGGTTTTCTTGTTCGCGTTGTTTGTTCCCTTCTACCTCTCCTTGGTCATACTGTGGGAGGGGACAATATCTAGCCCCGGTTCCCGCCCATATTGTCTATGTTGATCCTTTGTTCCAGCAGACTTTGGGAAGGGGAGTCAATGGTCATCTAATCTCTCCATTTTTCGAATTCCAATCCATGCAAGCTTTCCCTAGTTCAATCAAGGGCTACAGCAGTAGAAAAAGAGAAGGGCGGAAGAGGGAGGGAAAAAATGCTGAAACTGACCATCTAGTTATCTTATCTATCTTCTTATCGAAACTCACCCCTCCAGTGGATGCGCTTGTCCTGTTGGGTGTTGCTGTGGATCCACACTTGGGGCTGTTGGAGGTGCGGGCTGCTCTTGCAGGCTGCGCAAGGCCCCATCGGCGGTCCTGCAGGTTGCAACACACCCGGATCTTGGTCCCGGCGTTTACTCGATTGTGTAATATTTGGCCGGTTTTACGTCGCAAAATGCTAAGATCTCACCGATACACGGAGACTGCTATTTCTGGGCATCGCCTAGAAACACAAGCAATCGAAAGTCCGAAGGACCACCGAAAAGACTTCTCTCGGAGCCTTCAACTTTGCATGAGAGGGGGCGGTGGACTATTTGCATCACGAGGGACCAACCTGCAGGACCTGACAATGGGGCCAGAAACGGCAGAGTCCCTCAGTTGCGCCACCAGCAACAACAATTGACTTCCAGTGACTGCTCATGCCCCTGCAACAAATGCTTCCGCAACACCCCGCAATGCCCCAGCTTGCCAAATGTCGGTTCTTGATCTGAGGAAAGAAAATGAAACACTCTAGCCTCAGAAGACACAGAACCGTCAGCACTGAAGCACAAAAGCCTTTTTCTCTACCGGAGGCTGTATCCATGGCAGTATACCCTGTCATCTCAAAGGGGCAATTACCCGCTTCTGCACATCATCTCACTCTGCGCCTTGGATGACTACACCAATGAGACAAGGTGACTATCGTGCCAACTGCTGTGGGATTGGGGTCCGGGCTACTTGCTGCTGACATGCCAGTTTCGACATGGACATACCGTTACTCTTTGACCGGAGAATTCGATAGAATCTTACCGCAGTAGTAGCGTATTCAGTATATCAACTGTCTTCTTAATGGAACATGACGGACCGGCAATCCACTTGACGATTGCTGAGAAGATCAGATCGAATCTACTTACTAAGTATAAATGGTGGGTCTATGACGGCGTGTACAACATCGTGTCTCAGTCATTACACATTATTAAAGTCGGCCCGTAGAAAAAGAATGTCTCATGTACAGTACACATGCTTGACGCGGGCAAGCCCTTCCCGACCTCTAGCAAAAAGCCACCCCTCTTACTACTTCCCTCCCATTCTGCAACGCCCAATCCTTGATGTAGGAAATTCACAGACCACAAGAGACCTTCTCTCCAAACCACCAGCCCATCTGAAAATGGGGGGCTTCTACTTCATCGACCCGTCAGGGTAAATTTTGTTGGAGAAGCCGCAGCAGTCATCATGTACCCCCTTCTACAGAGCCAGGGCGGCAACGGCAATGACACCCATCCATCCGGCCAGGATCTTCTCGGCACCAGAGGTCGAGGTAGAGGACGAGGTGCTGCTGGAGCCCGTCGCGGTGCCGGTGGAGGATCCGGTGGCGGAAGCGGTGGACGAGCCGGAAGCGGCGGTGCCGGTGGCAGTGGCGGTCGACGAGCCTGTACCGTTCACACTGTTAGCACCTGTGGTGGCCGCGGCAGATGCCAAGCTGGATGAAGAGGAGGATGCGCCGGCGAGGGTGCTGGAAGAAGGGGTTGTCGTACCAGAAGAGGCGGAGGCAGTACCCGTGGAGGCGGACGAGGATGCGCTGCTGGAGGAGGAAGAGGACGAGCTAGCGGTGATGTTGAACTGGTTCTATTTTGAGGGGGGAAGAGGAAGCAGGAGTTTGTCAGCACACAAAGTTCCCCTCTCTGAACGGCCACTGAAGGGGGTTTTGGGGCTTATCTCACCGACTGGGCGTAGATCTGCTCCGTCTTGGTGCCGTTGGTGAAGTTGATGGTGAACGAGTTGCCGGCGGTCAGCTTGCTGCCGTCGATGGTAGCAGAACCGTCGCTGGAGGAGATGTCGGAGGCGAGGAGGACGGTAACCGACGGGTATTCAACCATGTTGGAGAGGTAGATGTCGAAGGTGGACTGGTCCGAGTCGACCGAGTCCCAGGTGACAGTCTGGGAGTCGCCGACGGTCCAGACGGAGTCGCTGGTCGGGGAGGTGACCTGGAGGGCGGCGGCCGCGGAGGCGAGGGCGAGCAGGGTGGTGATGGAGGAGACCATTGTGACGGTTTGTTGATTAGAATCTTGGTTTACTAAACGAAGGTGAGTGGGTTGTCAAATGACAAATGTTGTTTTGTTCGAACGAGTGACGAGAGTGATTTGAAGAAATGCCAAAAAAAAAAAAAAAAAAAGATTGTAGAGATGAACAACAGACACGAAATTCTCGAGTTAAGATGCAAAGGGACAAGAAGAAAAGGAAAGTCTGGCTATGCCGGCGCCACGGATACGATTGAATGTTATATTTTCGCTCCCTCTCTCTCTCTTCTTCGGTATCCGGCAGCCGGGAACTACAAATTACGTATCCGGAAATAGACTTGCATCGAGTCAGGAGAACGAAGCTTGGCAGCAAGAGTTTGGTCGGTTCTCTAATTACCACCAACACGCACCAAGGAGGAACTACAACGTGATAGTGACTATTTACTAGGAGACGAGTTTTTTCCTCTCCTTTTTTTTTTTTTTTTTTTTTTTTTACTTCTTTCAGGAAAAGGCGTGTGTTGCCTCTTGACACTCCTTTCTGTGTCTTTGATGTTTCTCTTCTTTTACATCCTTTATCAATTCCTTATCGACTTGTTCCCCCTATGTTATCACCTGATGGTTTGCGTATCAAGGTACGCATCCTCGCTCGAAATCATGATGGAGGGGGGTGTGCGATGTGGGGGGTCCACACCCCCAAGCACCAAACAACAATCAAGCTCAAGCGACTGGGGAAAGGGGGGAAGAAGAACTCCTGAAATGAGAAGTTCAGTCGATTCCCCACTCATGGAACCTCCACTCATAGCATCTGTGCAGCCACGCCCCGATAAGAAAACCTAAAATGCTTCGCCTCCCCCCCGGTCCAACGTAGTATCCCACTTGGCCTTGTTTACTGTCGACATGGGGGGAGGGGGGGGAGCAAAACTTACGCGCACCAGCCACGTCCCACACCACGTAGGATGGATGAACTGATGGAGCCCCTTCCTTGTCTTCTTTTTCCTCTCGCGCTCTTCACTCTCTTTCTGGAAGCGTGGAGGGCTAGCCTGGGATGGCCCCAGATGCCGTTGGGTGATGGCGGCCCGGCACTCTGGGATCCTGGTGATTTAGGTTTTGGCCTAAATTTCGGACGAGTTCCGGGGCCAAGGCCTGGATACGAGGGCGCGCGCGCAAATTTCTATTCCACACGACGACCACCACGTACGTGATGGTTTCTCTTATTCTGATATTCTTGTCAAGAAACGTAATGCGGCCATTGTACACGCTCTTTATGAAAATGGTTGATCTGCTTATGGCGGGCCTGCGCTTCTTTTGATTGGTCGGAAGTGAGACTGCCAGACAGCTCCGTGCTCAAGTCGTTTGGAGTCAAAAAGGACGATCTACTACATTTGTAGACAAGTCTTCCAAGAGAAGATCTTCATTGCAAGATAACGGCCTGATCATGGAGGTCAGCAAATCTCGACGCTGAAGTAGACGGAAGAATAGAAAGGCGAGATGAGCATTCCCACAAAGAGTTTCAACTCAAGGGCCTGTCTGAAATAATTGGTCCCGAGCCTTGTCTGTCAGGTCAGCTCCGAGTCATCTTGGCTCTTGGCGAATGTCAGTTAGTAATCCTATGTCCTACTTGCACATGACACTTTCTGGCATCGACAAGGGGGATTTTGAGAATGTTGGAGACATCTTGCATTCTTCAACCTCGGGCAAGAAGCTCAATAAGGCATAATAAGGGCTAATGTATGTACGTAGGTCTTGTCTGCCATATACTAAACAAACAGCGACCACCACAGCTAAAAATCTCGACATTCGTAATACTCAACAGCACAACAAATAGAGATGTCAGCTGAAAGAATCGGAAATGGCCTACTGCTTCTACGAGATGCCAAACCAAGCCATGTCCTGATCCCCCATGATAGGCACGGTGTGACCGATGCCTTGGCCATAGATGCCCACCACGCTACCGTTACCATAAGTAGTCTTCGTATAGACCGACGAGGGTGTCCCCACCTGCGTCGACACGGGGTCCACCGAGAAGTCGAAGACGCCCGTCCACTGCTTGATGGTCTCGTTAAAGTTCTGTGCACAGCCAGCCTCAGTCAGCTTTCAAGTTCGCGCGTCTTCCCTCAGATCCTCTCCTTCACCTCTGGGCGTGTGAGAGAGACTTGAGTCCAACTTACAGGAGGGTACAGAGTCGTGTCCGCCGACCCGTGGAAGATCAGCATCTTGGGGCGTGTGCCCGTATACCCAGGGTACATGGCCTGGGCAACTTCCGTCCAGACCTCCTGCGTGTGAATGCTGTCCCCCTCGGCACAGGTGCTATTCCACCCGTCCACAGTGCCCGTGTAGAAACAGCCAGCAGGCACACCAGAGTACACCGTGCCGGCGGCAAAGACATCAGGGTACGTGGCAGCCAGTAGGTTGGTCATCATGGCGCCGGACGAGCTGCCGGTGACGAAGACGCGGGTCTTGTCGGCTCCGTATGTCGAGAGTGCATAGTCGACCATTTGCACGATGTCCGCCGTGTCGGCCGCCCCTCCGTGCGTCTCGGACGCCACAGACGAGACGTCCCAGCAGGTGCCCGAGTAGGGCGATGACGGGTAGATGACGATGAAGCCGTACTGGTCGGCGAGCTGAGCGTAGGGGCTAGCCGAGTAATATCCCGCGCCTGTGCCTGTGCAGTACTGTGTGACGATTGGTAGATTTCAGTGAGAGTCGTTGAAGATGGAAGTAGAGAAGGTTTTGGGTTTCGTTCAGACATGCCGTGACTTCAGTCAGAGATAGTACTACGTACGTGGATGGCCACCACGATGGGCACATTCGAGGAGCTCCCCTTGGACGCTACCGCATCTGGAACGTATATGTACATCTGTGCACCAGATGTGTCCGTCCCTGAGCAACACTGTGTTAGACTTGGTGATGTGTGCATGGGCACCTCATATACATATGTAGAGGACTCACCGTAATTGCTGACTTGCTGGAGGCTGGCAGCCTGTACTGTCGTCACCAGAGCAGCGGCAGCCGCGAAAAAGCTTTGGAGATGAACCATCTTGTCAAGCTTGCGGGCGAGTAGGTTGTTTTCAGCTTCTTTTCGGAACTCTTGTGTCTCGGTCAGTCCTGTGACTTTCATTCATTTGTCTTCAAAATTCTACAAAAAGCTTTCCTTGGAGGGGGGGAACATGGCCATTTTCATCTCAGCCTCTTGCACACCAATTTGGTACACAGACGATCTGAAGAACGAGGCAGAGATTCCGAGGGATGATGCCTCATAGGTAACTTGTGGACACGCGGACATCCAAGGCCCGAGAAGTGCATGCGAATGGCATGTCAGGGGTAAATAGCCGGATGATCAGCATGGTACCGCTCGTCCGCATGCAAATGGAATGCGCATGATATAACACAGATTATAGGGGAGGCGTCGTGGATTAATTACTTAGCATACATTATAAGTAATATTCCAGCGCGGTATGGGTCTAAAAAAGGAAACTATTTCAAGACCGCGGAAAATTAAGGTTCGGATCGCGGGGGACTGTCGCTCAGCGCAGATCTCTTGCATGCTCCGGTCTACGGGGCAATAAACTGAATTCCAGACGCCGACCCCTACCCACTGACGTCGCCCAAATATGAATATATTGCATTACTTCCAAAGGTCTAGACGGCGTACGGGTGAGTGGAAGAGACAGACGTCAGATGAAACGAAAGGAAGTGCTGATGAGCCTGCTTGCCCGATGGTTCGACTAGGTGGAGCACTAGGTCCCTGCATAAGCCTCCTCCAAGCAATATTACACTTGCGCAGCTATAGTAAATAAACAGGTAAAGAGAATATAGTCCTCAGACTCAGCAACTTCACGGCGGAAGAGTTTCTCAACCCGAAAACAGAGTGGCAACACATTTTTGAGAAGATACCCGTGAGAGAGGTCACGAAACCAGAACAGTGGCTGAAGCTGGTAGCATATGTGCCAGTAACTGTGGCAGACGATATTGTTGAAGATTTGAAAGTGTTCCATGGAGTGAATGTGATGGGAATCCCCTTTTGGCTCAAGAAGCCGGTGGAAGGTGTATATAATGCACCTCTGTGCTTTTCCGTGAAGACGGAAGCTGAAAGGAAGATTTGCCGTGAGGGCCTATGGGTTGGAGGAGTCCGAGTGAACGTCTCGAACTATAGAGCTTTCTCAAAGACTACCCAGTGCTATAGATGTCAAGGGTATTCTCATAACCCGAGCCTGTGCAGAAACCGGCTCAAATGTCGGCTTTGTGGGGGAAACCACCCTACCAAGGCACATCGGTGCCCTACTTGCAACCCTAGTGTACCTTGCGATCACTTGAACGCAAAATGCGCTAATTGCAAAGGCAACCACATGGCAAACAGTGAGAAGTGTGAGGTCCGGCGAGCGTTCTATGCCTAACTCCTTACTATCAGAGGGAATTACTGGCCGATCCCGGCTAGATTCTACCCAAATATCTGTTTTACAGCATGATTGTGGTAGGAGGGATACTGCTCATCACACTCTTTTGGACTCTGCGGTGAGCAGCCGCACTACACTCATTTTCATCCAAGAGCCATACGTGTTCAACATTGATGGCCGCTTCCATACACTGACGCATGCTTCGTATTACCTTCTCTTGCCCACCAGCAGCCCGTCTGCTATAAGGCCTAGAGTAGTGACATACGTTAGGAAGCAGTCGTTGTTGTAATTCTCTTCTTAGTTTGACATGGTTTAAGATGCGGACTTGCAAATTATGGATTTTTATGTCGATGCGGAGCCTTTTACAATTTATCACATTTACAATGAACGTCAACAAGGTTTTGATTTTGGGCTATACACTGTTCAAAGGTTGCTTTTTCAGCTACCTATGAGCAACGGGCCGGCACTGCTTCTGGGAGATTTCAACCTCCATCGTCCTCTCTGGAATGGTGCTACGCACAACCCCAGTCAACTTGCGGACTCTTTTGCAAACTGGTTGCAACGAGGTCTCCTCAGCCCGCTAGTAGATCTAGAGGTTGTCAACTCGAACGGAGGAACCTTTCTGCGGTCTCAGGAAACGTCCGTCATCGATTTAGTATTCACAAAGGGATTCTGGTCTTTTCACTGGTCAGATTGGAACTATATCGATGCTACGGGGTCAGACCACCAAACGATGATAGGTTCCATGACGTGGCGCGTCAGGACACCACTTGAGCACCTCGAAGTTCAAGGAAACCCAGTCCAACTGGCAACTTGCAATCGATGCGGCGCGGACGACAAAGGAATACCCAACCAACTTGCATGAGCACCTGGCTGCAGCCTCTTGGCGCCTTGAGGAGTTCCTGTTTCTACATAATCTGGACATGCAATGCAACTTCGTATACAGCGGTCCATACTGCATGCAGGATTGGGGCCCTGGGAGATTAAGTGGTTGCATACCTAGTATATAGCATTTACTCCAGAACAGAAAGGTACTGCGAGGTACACTTTTTCCTTTTCTCTTTCCCCTGCGAGTAAACTCACTCGCACAGGCCCCGGAGCACCTGTGGAACCAGAGTACCTTACGGAAGCGGGCTTGCGCCTGAGAGCCTCCTGAGTAAGAGCATGCCCCAGCCTCAAAAGGAACTCAAAACCACTTCATTTCAACATCCTTCCTACCGTCCTCTGTAATATCATTCAGACCTCAGCAACACCACGTTCACATCCGTTGCCAACATGTAGCCACCTATGCCATCTGCCACTGCCACTTGGCACAACGATACCTACTCGGCAATCTCCGCTCTCCGGCCTGAGCTCAGCGCCAAAGGGAAGACTGTGGTGATTATTGTTTCGGTCAGTCAAGCTGAGAGAAACTCACATATTGCTATTGCTGACTAGACACCGTCTCAGGGTAGTGGCGTGGGTAGACAAAACGCTCTTTCGTTCGCGAAAGCCCAAGCCGCCCGCATCATTCTGCTGGGACGTCGAGAGGCGAGCTTGCAGGAGACGGCGAGCCTGGTTTCGTCGGCTTCCTCTGGTGTCGAGACGTTGGTCCGGGCAGTCGACACCACCAATCTCGAGGGCTTGAAGACGATCGCCGCCGAGGTCGGGACATGGGACATTCTAGTCATCGCCTCAGTCCACGCGTCTACCGTCTCTACCCTTGCCTCCGCCGACATTGACGAGTGGTGGCAAGGCTTTGAGGTACGTCCATCATGCCTATAAATATTGACTCGTCTCGTCTCCTCTCGTCTCCTCTACCTAGGATCACAGTGGAGAATGTTCGGCTGACTCTACCCTCAATGCAGACCAATGTGAAGGGTCTGGTCTTGGCCGTCAAGGCCTTGCTCCCTACAGCCAACAAAGCCGGTTTGGCCGTGCTGGCTTTGACGAGCCAGACAACGGCCTTTCCGACTGTCATGGGCCCGGGAATGTCTGGTTACAATGCGTCCAAGATAGCCCAAATCAAGGTGGTCGAGTACCAAGCTGCCGAGGAGCCTAACATTTTCGCCGCGACAATCCATCCAGGCATCTGCGACACGGCCGTTCTTGCAAAGAGCGGACTGAAGCCCGATCAGGTCCCATTGGATCAAAGTAAGTTTTAACTTCTCATTCTCGGTGCATGGTCAGATCTTCCCAGATGTGCACCCAGCTTACACCATGTAGTCGCGCTCCCGGGTGATTTTCTCGTGTGGTTGGCGAGTCCCGAAGGATCGTTCTTGAAAGGCCGTTCAGTCTCCGCCAACCGGGACGTTGATGAGCTCAAAGCGCAAGCCGAGAGCATTCAGTCTGGGTTGACCATGACAAGCGGTATCTATGGATGGCCGTACCCCCACACGGGGTCTGCCTGGACGGAGCCAGCAACATCAGCCTGAGGGCAAGCGGCAGACATGGAACGAGGAGCCCCCCAGGCAGCGTGGAATCTCTCATAGACTAGGCAATGGGACTTGTTTTGTTCAAACCTCCTGTATTGAATGACCCGTGACCATTCAGTCTACTCTTTTTCTTATAGTTGGTACTTCAAACCCCAATTTCAAGTTTGCACTTCTTGTCGGCCTAGGTCCTACCCTATAGCCCTGGCAGGGTGGTCAGCCCTGGAGGTCAAGACAAAGGTCTGTCCAATTACATACCAGTACAGTACCTAGTAGGATGTAGTTGACACCAAACCATCTCGAATGACACGGCTGAGAGAACACACAGTTTCATTGGTTTACTATCACCAAAAATGGATAGAATTTGTCGTTATCCTGTTTGAAGCATTCATCTCGACTCCTACCTCATACCAGCAAGTGCCAAACCATCACGTAATCATCAACATCTATCACAGGACCTGATTCTTCCAAACATTGACCGGCCCAGCAGAACAGCATGAACTTGAAGCGTCAAGCTCTATCAAAAGAATGACTGGAGACAAATGTCGCACCCTGACCTTGCCTCGTACCTAGCAGGTAGTAAGTAGCCTTTGGATGGGGATAGAGTCTCGAAGACCACCCGTCAAATGCCCGACTTGATGATCTCGGCTGCTCTCTCGGCAATGGCATATACAGTGGCCATGGTGTTTGCGCGTGTAGCCAACGGAATCACACTGGCGTCGCACACCCGCAGGTTGCGACATCCGTACACTCCCGGAGGGCAGCATCGAGCACGTGCCAACATAGTGGAAGGCACCCACGGCACTCTCACGGACATATTTACGTGCGAGGTCAAGTCCTTCGTCGCCAGCAAATGCTCGTGGACCAGGCGGCAGGGCTGAAGATCTCTTGGCGCCCTCGGACTGGTTGAGACTCTTTGCCAGCGGCGTGGCTGTGGCTGCCATTACTGACTCCACAAATTGCACGTGTCGGGCCAGGATCTCGACGTCGAGTGGATGAGCCAGATAATTCGGGTTGATTTCGAGCCCCAGGTCAGAGGGTTGGTCGTCGTCGTCGGTCTTGCCTTTCGTGATGTGAACAGAGCCGCGCGACAGAGGGGTGAGCGAGCAGCACGGGGATGGAGAAGTAGGTCTCGTTGCCAGGAGGGATCGGCTCCCAGCTTCCGTCAGGAGTGTAAGATGCCCAGCCTGGAACTGTGATGTAGAAAGCGGACGACTCGTCGGCAAACTTGAGGACAGACCGAACGTACGACTTGAGTTTCTCGTCGTACGTGGGAGCTGTCTTGGTGGCACCTGTATCTGATGTCGGAAAAGCGCTGCTGAGTATCATCTCCAGCTCACGCTTGCCTGCTTCCGTGGCGATATTTGGGAAGGGCATGTGCGCCATGACGTTGCCATTGGACTTGGAAAGGAGTCCAGTCTGTCGCCCGTATGCCTCCATGGCGGCACCGAGAGCGGCTGGATCCTGGCGGTTGAGTCCATCGATAGTCTGGAGGCCTTCACCCGTGATAGTCTCGAACGAGAGGGGAACAACAGGATGATTCTGAAGGTTTTCGCCAACGAACGGGTTGTCGACGACAACGGGAATACAGACTGATTCAAGCCGGGCTGCATCTCCAACAACCTGAGAGCTCGAGGAGACGCGGCGAGTTGATCGCACCCGCTGACAAGATGACCTCTGCTCGTGCAAGTCACTTTTTGAACCGAAGCAACTTCGTCGTCCTTGGTCCGGGCGTACTGAACACCCGCAGCGATAGGATCACCACCATCCTCAGTGCTCGGGTTGAACAGGATCTTCTCGACCAGGACCGACGTCCACACGGTCAAATTTGGTCGCGATGTTGCAGGATTGAGGTACGCGGTGCAGGCATAGCTTCGCGTCTTTGACGTGGGGGTCGACGGAGTCGGGGTAAGAGACAGCACCGCTTATGGTGCCTGACAATGGGTGATTGTGCGCCGGGAAGCCAAGTTCAGCGATCGTTTCTCGCCAGACTTGCGGCCACTTGCTGTCCTCATCTGGGACTGGAACTTGGACCGACCTACTAGCACTTTCATCTACTGAGGTTCCGCTCTGTCCGTGAAGGGTGTAGACTTTCTGGAGAGACGCTGAGAGGGTTGCCCAGTCCCAACCTGTGTTGCCAAGCTCCGCCCACTGGCCGATGTTGGATTTGGCACTGACGACAAAATTCATGCTGTTCAGTGCACTTGAGCCTCCCAACAGGCGGCCCTGGGCAATTCCCATCTGATGGCCGCCAAGCCCGTGCTGGGGCGTGGTCTTGAAGCACCAGTCGGCGGAGGAGCCAGCTAGCTCCACCCACATCTGTTTGGAGTGTCAGCTTGGTCCTTTCAATCCTGAAGTCGGCCTCGGATGACTTACGGCAGGGACATTGACTCGAGGGTCGGCTCCAAGGTCCTCACCCGCCTCAAGGACGAGTACCTGGACTTTGGGGTCTTCCGTGAGTCGGGAAGCGAGGACGAGGCCTGCGGTGCCTCCGCCGACGATGATATAGTCGAAAGAATCCGGCGAGGAAGAAGCCGCCATGATTGAAAATTGACTGTAGATCCAGAGATTAACTAAACCGATGTAGGTGCGTATAGCAGGGAGATCAAGATTATCTCGAGATGGCGCGCCAGCTGGAAGTTGACCCGCTCGAATACATACATAGCAGGCGCAGTTCGAGCTTTTGAGGTCAGATCACGTTCGACCAACAGCATTCAACAAACCGATCTTGGGCGGACCTTTCTATGCAGTACCAAAGTACTCAAACCAAAGACTGGAATAGAATGCATCCTGAACGAGTGGATTACATTGAGCCCTGCCCTGGCTACAAGTTGCCGGCTGGTTGGGATGGCCAGGGATCTTGCCAAAAGACGTTGGCTAGTGTAACGCTGTTCGCGGGCTTTTGAGAGGTGGATTTACTTGCGTTGTCACCAACGCTCCATGTACTCTATATTTTATACAAGTATATACAGTAATCGATACGGTCTACCAGCCTGCAGGGAGAGAGCATACTATGCATAGTACACTATGTGCATTGATATCCACAGTAAGTCATCTGTAAGATTGCAACGGGCCGTTCCATTATTGCTTACCTGCATTCTGCATGTGTTACCGGGGCATCGACAGTCTCATCAGTGTCAAAGGGATGTTCGAAATTCTGCCCCATGCAGGTGGCTCGGGATAAGATCACAGAGCCCGGTCCAACAGCTGAGCCCACACCTACTATTTCGTAGGTAGCCATCTTTCTAGCCCCCAATACCAACGACCTCGGATTTCCCCATATATTGAATAATGGTGGGCCTGGCAGGGCTAATCTACCATTCGGAAATGAATTCCGAAGACATTGCAACAGACACTAGCTGACTGCCTGATCCAACTGGCCAGCTTCTCAGCCCTGATTACATGCATTCTACCAGAACGCCTCGGGCTGTTTGAGATGCTTGGATGCCTATAGGTATAGAGCTCTCCAGAGCTGCAGGCCTATCTACCATCGCTGATCGGGGCCGCTGTCCACAGATATTACCACAGTACTATATGTTACCTATAGGATATGCACCAATGAAGGATGATCGGACAGGAGAAGCATCCGAGGGATTACAGTTTCTGATATTAAAGTAGTCCGGCATAATAATGCCTCTTGCTGCGTAGGATCTGAGATACATACAGTACCTAGTATCTGCGTAACTTGTGGGCCAAGGCCTTTGCAGCTGTTTCTCCGGTAGTTAGCGGGGAAAGGTATAGATTGTGTTTGTTCATTTGTGGGCTTTGCAGCCATGTCTCCTTGCGGGGGGGGGGGGGGGCAGCTGGAGATGTTTGTATTTATGTACTAGATGGCTGTAGATAGATAGGACTTACTGCTGAGGCTTACAAAGTAGGTAGTGAAACTCGACTAGTTATTGCATTGGATATGATGACACTAACATTCAGACTATTTTGCTACAAGTCGAGAGTTCCCAGATGTTCCGTTTTAAATATAATCCTCGCAGTCTTTGCAGCCTGTTTTCCTTTTTCACTGGGAGCTCGACACTCTTATATCATAATATATGATTAGTAAATAGAGTGTCCTCCTTTATTTTATTTTCTGGGAGTGATTCAGTATCACATTTACTCTTATAATGCCTTCTCAGCTACTACCCATCGCCTGTAGTTTGGGTATTCTTATTTGCGTCAGCGCTCATGTTGATCTCTTCATCCATGGCGAGTAGCATATCCACGCGTTATGCATCGTGAGATTGCATCTCGCAATACTTCTCATTGTCTTTAGCGGTATGCAATTCTGTAAAGCTGAAACTATGCTTGCAAAACTATTTATGGGCCTCGCTACTGCTACTGTCAGCTATATTATCGCTGTATTGGGGAGCATTCTCCTGTATCGTATCATCCCAGGCTTATACTGATTATCTGACTTTTCAGGGCTATTCTTGGTCCGGGTATCCAAACTCTGGCATGTTTGGGCATGCTGAAGCTCCATGAATCATTTCTTTCTTGAAAATTTATTTCACAAATATGGAGATTTCATGCATACAGGGCCATTAGAGATTACTGTGTTCCATCCCGACGTATATCTCGCCACAGATAGACCGGATACTGAATGCATCAAGTCAGAGTAGTATGACCTTCTCTATTCAGATCGAGTACTGCTCATAATAAGAGATCATATTGTATACGATGCTTGCAGAAGAGACTGGAAATAGAACCTGCTCGTCCATATCGCCTGGGGCCCTGAGCCCTGGCAAAAAAGAGAATAAGTCCGATGTTTATATCCGTATAGAGATGCTCCCAGCAGTTTGGTACAGAGCTCTATGTACTGAAAGGCTTCCCATGGTGGAATTCTCTATTGGGTATTGCTAGTTGCCGGCTCAGAGGCACTCATGATGGGACAATGATGCCATACTTCTCATAATCGAAGTGCTCCAGACTTGATAAGTTTTCAGCCCAGCTATAAATCTCTCCTGCTTGCCAACCGTCACCAACTGCAAACTCTCCTGATCTGCTAGCCAGGGCGTCTCCGTACCGTGCTTGATATAGAGCTGCCACGTCTGCATGCGAGACCCAAACCACTCTCATCCCAGCACGTCTCCCAGCTTCAACCCCGGCTATACTGTCCTCAAATACTAGATATTCGCTGCGTTGGATGGGTCTCTCACCAGAGCCTGAATTCAACACCCCCAGGGCTAGGAGATATATATCAGGGGCTGGCTTCCCTCGACCAGGTCGCATGCGCGGGTCATCACCCAGGATTCGTCGTTCGCCCTGGAAGAAGCTAACAAGCTTCTTCATTTCAGCCTCGAAGTCTTTAGCTCGTATATATCGCTTCTGGTACTAGACGCCAGTGCTAACTGAACCCTGAACTCTGAGGCAGTAGATGCGCAGTTCTCTAAGGCCCTAAATGCGCAATTTAGGTTCGATAAAAGCTGCAGTGCGCCAGGCAGCAGCTGGCAGTCCTGGAATAATTGTTAGATATATTCCAGCAATTCGCAGGCACATTGCTTGCGGGAGATTAGTAGCTGTGCGGCGTTGTGGAATACGTCTGAGAAGGTTGAGTTTGGAATACCCATAAGCTTTGCTCGAATGGACAATATTAAAGCCAGCCTCCCGTGTTTTGCTAAAAGGTGGTTTATAGAGAAGGTGATAATATTCTCCGAGTTGATGAGAAGCTCATCCATATCGAAAATACGTGCACATACAGCAGGAAGGCTGGAGCAGTTTGTATTAGTCTTTAGCAATATGTATTCCATGAGACTCCGAGCCCTCTAGGAATATTCCATACGAACATCCACCTATATAAATAGCCGACTTACTCCTCCTTGCACGAGGCCATGGCCCTATTTACATTTGATAGGTCCAACTTTGGCTAGCAGAAATCGGGAAGAGAGTTATTGTTTAAGTCTTGTAATTCGACGGAAGAGTGTTGCAGCACAGCAAGGCAGAGGTTAGGAGCAAGGTGAAATACTCTGTACTTGTTATTGCGCGAGGAAGGGAAGGAGAATTACTCTGTATCATGTATTTAGGCCAGGCGCGATACCATACCACAGTACCAGGCATGAGTACAAACTTCCGCCCGAGGTTTGTACTGCCAAACGAATTATCATCGGGCACTTACTTCCAGCCAGAGTCTCACGCCGTCTCACTCCGTTGCATGAATGACTGACAACTGACTGACAAAGCTAGTTTGCCATATATTTAGCGCTGCATGTAGATACAGCGTCACTATCACTATTATAGTAGTATCTAGTGTGTGATTGTCTTGTTATATCCCACCGCCTTCCATGGTTATCATTCGACAATATTTTCCCGAAACCCTCTCCCCCCTCTACCCAACAATGCCTTCCACCTAAAGTACCCCACCCCCCTTTCCCAGTCTATCAAATCTTAAATCCCCAAAGACCGAACTCCACCGCATATGCTTCTTCCAGGAAAGGAAAATTAGACCAAAATAAACAATAAAGAGTAAAGGTACCCAATTTACCAACCCAAAAAACAAGGGGGAAGGTAAAAGTTCCCTTCACTATTGGTTCTTTACGCCACCCTCACGTTGAGGTGTGGATTGTGCCTCTCCAGCAGTAGCTGTTGTGATGCCTCCTTCAGAAGCACTGTGGCCCTCATCAACCGTCCTCTTCTCCTCGTCATCGGCACGCTTCTTGCTTGGCTGCAGGGTAGTCAACCCCGTCTTATGTTCGGTGTGCTCTTTGCTCAGCGTCCTTCCGCCGACAAAGAAGCTGATAATCAGGCCGAGTCCACTGTTTTCACGCCGTTCAGTTAGCCAAAGAAAATACACTTGAACGTCATCACCATTATAATGAATGCCACATCAGGAAAGGGAAAACACTCACGCAAATGCGACGTAGAAGATAAACATCTTCTGTAGAGCCTGCCAGTAAGCAGCCTGCGCAATTCCCCTCGCCGGCTCGGACAGAGCTGCCACCTGGCCCACGCTCGATGCCGCATTGTCGCCCGTCAGCAGATCCGCCGTCTGCTGGCCTAGCTCATTCTTGAGCGTGGTGTACTGCTTCTCCATCGCGTTGTCAAAGAGCACGCCGCCAACCACAATCGAGATGGAGGTCGACAGCTGGCGCACGAACATGTAGGTGCCCGTGGCGCTGGCGATCTCCCTGGGCTGCACAGCGCTCTGCAGAGCAATGAGGGGCGACTGGAAATTGGGGCCGACGCCGAGGCCGAGCACGATCTGGAACAGGATGATCTTGGGCCAGTTCGGGTAGTCGTCCAGGTCGATGAGGAGGCCGTAACCCAGAGTCATGAGGGCAAAGCCGCCGATGATGGGCGGAAGGTATTTGCCCGTCTTTTTGATGACAAAACCTGCCAGGGCAGACATGCAGCCGAGGACAAAGGTGAAGGGCAGGACGTAGACGCCAGACAGGAGAGCGTTGGCGCCGAGGACACCCTGGAAATACAGCGGCATGTAGTAGCTCACTGAGATGAAGACGAAGCCGTGACAGGCGCACAGACCAAGCAAGGCCAGGTTCCGAGGGTCTTTGAAGATGCGCACGGGGATGATAGGATACTTGGCAACATACACCTCGACGAGGACGCACGTGCTGGCAATCACCACACCGAACACGAGGAGGCAGATGACGGTGGCTGACTGCCACTTGTAAGTGCCACCCGCCAGCTCTAAGCCCAGCAGGAACATCAAAGTTCCACCGACAATGGTGAGGGAGCCGAGCCAGTCGACAGCTGCCAGCCCTTGCTTGATGGGTGTTCGGGGGTTGTGCACTTTGAGGGTGCAGTAGAGAATGACCAGAGCCAGGCCGGCGACAGGCAGGTTGATGTAGAAGCACCACTTCCATGTAGCCTTTGTCGTGAAGACGCCACCCAGAACTTTGATCTTGATTAGCATACGCACACAGATTCATCATCGAGGGCGTCAAAGAAAGGGGGGGGGGGGCAGTAACATTATAAGTAGACGAAGGACAGAAAGAAGAAGAAAAAAAAGTAACGTACCAGGTCCAAAGCCACCAGCAACAGCCCATACAAGCCCGACGAAACCCAGATAGACGCCTCTCTTCCTGACTGAGAACATATCGCTGATACAAATATTCACCAAGATCAAAGATCCACCACCCCCTATGCCCTGAATCGCACGGCCAGTAATAAGCATGGCCATATTGTGACTAAGACCACAGATGAGAGAGCCAATCCAGAAGACCGACACTGCCGCCAGCAGGACCGGCTTCCTTCCAAAGATATCGGATATCTTGCCCCAGGAGGGCGCTGCAGCCGCATTGGCCAGAAGATAAGCACTTCCGATCCACGTGTAGCCGGCAGACGAATTGAAATCCGCAGAAATTGTCGGTATGGCCACAGTAGTAATTGTCACATCCAGAGCTGCCAGAAAGACGGCCGAGCACAGCGCCGCCACGATCATGGCCGTCTGCAATTTGGTGCGCTGGTCCTCGGGTGCAGCGCCGGGCTTCTGCGGGTCCTGAGCTGCTGGGGTCCCGGCTTGCGCGTCTGCTGTCTTTGCGGTGGCTGTGGAGTCGGGTAGTTCTCCTGACAGGCCTCGCGCTGCCGGTTCACACTCTGCTGCTGCTGCTGCGGTCGATTCTGGGTCTCCTGCGGCAGAGGTCGTCGTCTTCTTCTTCATCCCCTGTGCGCTGCCGCCCTGCGCATTGCTGCCGCGCGTCGCATTCATGGCGACCAGGGACTCATAGCTCGCTGAGCTCAGACTGTCCGAGTCACTTGTTGTGGGCAGTTTTTTCTCCTGGTCGACGGTTGCGCCGCTGCTCCGGCTGGCTGATGTTGTGTGACCAGCAGCCATGGCGGTGGTCGCCCCCTGCCGTAGGTCTGGAAGGATGAAGGGGCGTCTTGATCTGTAGATGGGGTTTTGCCTGACTGAATTCCAAGATAGCTCCCTCTCCTCTGGGTTTAGGTGGTAGAGTTGTAGTGTAGTGGCCAGGCGTAAAACTAGGAGATCCGGGGCTCAACCGTGGGGGTGTGGGCGGGGTACAATAACAACAATAAAAACAGCAGCGAGAAAAAACAATCTTTGGAGAGTGTCACAAGGAGAGTATTTTTTTTTCCAGCAGTTGGCGGAGGGCGCCGACGCAGTCAGGATTGTATGCACGGAACTGCTGATCTATCCGGTGAGGCCCGACTTCAAATCATGGATCCGAGGCAGAGGGGCGTGCGAGGGCGGACAAGCGAAAAGGAAAGAAAGAACAACAGGTGTGGTCTTGACCCAGTCTTGATGTTCTTAAATGATAAGAAGGAGAAAAGGACGACGACGACGACACACATGCAAAGAGCATACACACACGTTGACATCCCTCACGCTCGTCTTAATCCCTGACGCCGGCGGACTTAAGTAATTACGAATCCATTTCAAAGCGGAGACAGGGTCGAGCCAGCAGCTCGGGAAAGGAGGAACCAGTTTACGCCTACGCAGTTGCCACGGCCAGCCGGGTCAAAGAGGAGACGACTTGGTTCTGTTTTTTTAAGGCAACTCCTGTGGGGCAGCAACCTCTTAGAATCAAACGGCGTGCCGTGGCCCGTTTGTTCATGGTGGGACAATAGCTAGAAAACGGGTCACGAATGCCTGCAGCTTATGTACATAACAGCGCAGAGGCCCAGAATTGAATGCCGAGCAGCCGGGGAACAAGATGCAACGACGGGGTTGTGCTCCAGCGCAGACAGTTGCCCGGAAGCAGATGGTGCTGAGTGTTGACGTTGGGGGGGGGGGGGGATCTTCACACCTCATGTCATCATTGACTTTTTTTTTGGCATTCCCATATCAGATAGGGTGTGGTCAGAAGACCAAGTAGTACATAGTACAAAGTATCTCACAATTGGGAGGAGGTCAGACTTTCACAGAGTACCTAAAATCCGAATGAATGTCACACAGAGGCGGCTTCTAACTACACTGCTACAACCAACCACCACGTGTTGTCCCTGTCGAAACCCGCCCGACTCGTTGCTCGCAGTCCGAGGGGGGGCTCACTGAGATTAGCTTCTTTTTACCATCGGATGGGTTTTTGCCGCTTGTGCTGGTGTGCTGGACCTCCCAAGATCATCGTGTGTTACCAGGGGCCTGAGACATGGGCAAAACTGAGCTCGGCTCGCCTCGAAGTTATCGGGAATAATGACCACAGTTACACCCTCTGCGGCTAGAGTTTTCCAACGGGACCTTGTCTCAGATTTTTCGCAGATGGTACTAGTATTATTCGAACTAGCCTGGGCTCTACAGCATCCTTTTTCCCTTTTTTTTGTTTTGTTTTTCCTCTCTGTCTGTCCCATTTGCGTTCACTAGCGAAAAGTGAAAGAGCCACTTAAGATTCTCGCTCTCTCTCTCCGCGTCTAATTTGGTGTCGTGCATAAGCAGCCCCCATCGCACTCCATCGGTTGTGGTGGATTCTGGCCAGATACTCGGAACGAACAGCTCGATCTCCGTCGCATCGGAGATAGCCGGCCTGAATTACGACCTTGGCCGAGCATGTGGTGGGCTCGGACACCGGTGAAAAAGGCAAAAGGAAACAACTGTCGGGCACGGAAGATTCACCGGCCGGACCAGTGCTGCCGTAGGATCTCGGTAGACCGAGAGTCTATTTCGAACACGTACTGGTTGTGCCTGTATATATCGCATTATATTTACACATGATACGAAGAGTCAAGCCGCGACACGTGTCTTCCGCGCGATTCTGTACCCTTGGAACAAGAAAGATAGGATCATAATTATTGTCTTGAGTAATGTTTTTCCTAATATAGTATGTTAGAAGGCCTTGACTAAGCGTGTATGTTGCAGACACTGTTTGTTTGCTTTAGCTTAAGACAAGGGGCCTAGACAAATTATTGCATTAAAAGGGGTGCCTTCAGCTCCAGTCCTATAAGGCATAATGAGAGCAATGATTTGGAAATGAAATCACTCAGACACAATGAAAAGGGGTGCTGACCATGGTTCGTTTCTGTAACGAATTGAAACTATTTTGTTGATCAAAGAAAAAGAAGAAGAAATACAGTGGCTGCAGCGAACGAACACTTCACTTGTAATTTATTCAAGTATACATTGGTTACCTGAGCAGGATTGGCAATTGACCTTGTAGGTTAACAAGCCCATCTTGGTAGCCATTTTACTTTGCATTCACAATATTTAAGAATGACTCTGCGACTTCAAACACAACACCTCTAGCATCTTTTCGCCCTGACCCTGCATTTCTCCAGCAGACTGTCCAGGCCTTCCCGATCCTCATCCAGGTGTAACTTGTGCAGATTCGGAAATACATTGTGCCCCAACCAGCAATGGAGGTCACCATCGTACTCCGCTTCGGGCCAGTGGGTTGGGAGAGTACAGTCATCGAAGACGACGTACCGCTTCGCGAAGGCGTTGTACTCCTCGTTTTTGGAGACAGGATCACCAACCTCATGTGAGTCGAAAGCATCCGAGCCGAGACCATTAAAACTGAAACCGATCAGATTTGGGAGACCGTCGGCAATCCTGGCGAAGAAATCGCTCCACTTGCCGTCGTAGCCGTATGATTTGGTCCTTGCATCGTCTCCGTATTTCTCCATGGGATACCAGTCATGCGTCTTGACCTGCCAACCCTCCACGTTCTCATTCCTGATGTTGAGCCTAGCTGCGATCATGCCGCGATGTATGATTAGGCGCTTTATAGACTTTTGAGCAAGGATCCAGTCGAGCGAATCATCGTGTGCTGGCGTATAGTAGCGCAGAGAAAGGGTCTCGAGATTCGGGAACGAGAGATCGCAAGGGTTGAAATATGCTGGCAATGGACCCCAGTTATCGGCCAAGTGGTGGAGTGAGAGTGCTTTCAAGTTCTGCGAGATAGGGCTCAGCCAATCCGCGCACAGATGGGCAAGAAATGTCCGTAGTTCCACTTTCGTGTAGTCGTGATCAGGTCCATGCTCGTTGTATTCCTGTACCATCATGAGGTGCTGCATAGCAGAGTCAGCAGTCTGTAATAGAATTGTCGCCGAAAGAGAGAAATAGGAATCTGTGATTACATCCACGATGATGTAATTGCACGCACCAGCTCATGAAGGTTGTCCATGACGCCCCTGAAGAGATCAGACTTTGTAAATTCTGGCAGTGGGTAGTTTTGCAAATGAACTATCGATAACTTGCGAATCTTTCTGTTTTCTCCATTGGATGCTCGGCGCTCAATAGCTCCGAAGATACTGACGAGCATCTCCTCCCGCTGCTCGGGAAATTCCCCCACATACTCATCGGACCAGCCCGCGTTGACCGACTCTTCGCCCGCACATTCTTCGGTGAAGACGATCTTGATAGATGAGACGTTGGGTAGCCTTTCAAGTGCTCTCAGGCTTTGCTCCCAGTTGTCTGGAAACTCATCGTACTTATGATCAGTTTCAAGTTTCTCACGGGTCTGTATAGTGACGTGCCAGGGAAGGTGTCGAAGTCTTTCGTCTTGGACAATGTTGTTCCATCTCTCCATCATATCTTCCCCAGGCGACAGGAACACGTCCCTGAACATCTCGCTGGCGGCATGGTTTTCCATGCCTCTGTTGACAAGGCGTACGCTCTTCAGGTCTCCCTTGCCGACGTATTGGACGATGTGCCTGGTCAATTCAGGTGCAAGACGATCGAGCCCCGAGGCAATCTGATCGATGCTTGACGGTTGTGCCTCGTCGTAAGATGACATGTTGGAGCTGCTTTCCAAGGTGATCGAATTGTTTGAATCACTGCTTTGATCTCGCTGCCATGCCACGTCGACGATCCTGATTTTATAGCTGCCCAAAAAATTAAAAAAAAATCGTGAAAACAATGGCTGTGCCCCGTTTACTGTTGCCTAAAGTAAGCAAGCACTAGTTGATCTAGGCATCTTACCTCATCAAAGGACATCCATGCAATCTTTCTCAACCCTCTTGCTCTTTATTGAAACAGGTACGATTTGCCAAATCAAGTGCTTTGCTCTACAATGGGCAGTTGGAATTCAGTTTATCATGCTTAAGTGATGTTTGGACCAGAAACAGGGCACGTGAGCCACTGATTGGTGGAAGTCCCTGCATACTAGCGTGCACTGGCTGAAAACATTGAAACCTTCATTTTTTTTAAAAAAAAAAATTTCTTTTGGTATAGAAAAGGGCGACTGGGGGTCCTCGAGTGAAAGTTTAGATAAGGGAGTGGCTTTCGCGGAATTCTTTCTACATCACCAAGAGGATGTGGACTGCTTGCGAGACAGTTGACATGACAATTCCGTGTAAGGAAGAGCATGTGATTAGTGAATTAACAGCAACGAAGATCTGCCAATATGCAATACTAGAAAAGTAGTTGAACAAGTTGATTAATAATAACAAAAAGTCAAACCTGACCACGAATGCCAATACACATTGAGAGGCATTGATGCTGTTACGATTAAGACGCAGCCGGTTCTTTGCGCCGACCTTTTTGTGTCAATAGAGGCCAGATGACTTTTCTGGTCTGTTCTGGTACATGGGACTCAGCAGAAGGGATTTTTATGAAGTTTCAAGAGCACTCGTGGCGGCCCTGGCATTATGGCTAAGTAGACGCTGAGCTAGCAATTACCACAGGCCTCAATAATTGATAAGAAAGTGTGTCAGAGCTGCGATCACGCCTAAAGAACGAATCCAACAAGTCGAGATTTATCGAGAAACAGCACCATGGTCTCCACACCAGTTCATCAACACAAGTTCCAATAGGACTGCAATCAATATCTGCCGAATCACTCGAGAGGATTAGTCACCATCATGATCAGCCAATTTTTTCATCTTCACTTGAGCGACTTCAGCTTCTTTACCACCTCGTCGTGCATTCGCACAACCTTGACGCCTCCCTTCTCCAGCTCTCGTGTACACTTTGCCCAGCCATCCGCGTCCGCCACAGCCCTGGTGGCCTCCTCCACAACATACGTCGTGAACCCCTCCCTCGCAGCATCCACAGCCGTGGACTTGACGCAGTAGTCATACGCAAGCCCCACCACATACACATGCGTGACGCCCTTCTCCTTCAGGATCCCCACCAGCCCGGAGTCGCTGACACGAGGGCTCTTGAAGGGATCGTAGAACGCGCTGTACATCTCCACCCTCGCGTCCTGGCCCTTCCTGATCACCTTATCTACCTTGGAAGTGTCGAGCTCAGGGACCAGCTCCGCGCCCTTGGATCCCTGGATGCAGTGCACCGGCCAGAGGCGGGTCTCGTACTTCTCGACGGGATTGTGCGGGTTGATTACCGTCGCGGTGTCAGTGAAGGGCTTCTTGCCTGGGTGGTTCGTCGCGAAGGAGATGTGGTTCTCAGGGTGCCAGTCCTGCGTGGCGATGCGGATCGCGAAGCTGGGCTGGGCGAGGAGCTCGTTGACGGGTCCGGCGATGTCGCGGCCTTCTGTCACTGCGAGGGAGCCATGTGGTGGACAGAAATCCTCTTGAAGGTCCACTATGACAAGCGCTGGCACGAAACTTGGGGAAGCCATATTGGAGAGTCTTGAGACTGAGGTTCGAAGCTTTGGTAGGCACGATGTCAAAAGGCGTATAGAAAGTCTTGTGTTTGATGCAGTGATGCGATTTTGTAGTAATCATGATAAATGACGACGGTTAGGTTGCACAAGACCCTAACCCTTTTGACGCCGTTCCGCTGTTTGCGTAAATACTAAAGATTCATCGCCGGATTCGACTCACAATACTTACTAATCTACTTGCTTAAGTGCTAAGTAAGTATTATTAGAAGACTGGCAGAAATTATTGATGATCAGAAGGAAAGAAACAAGGAAAGGGACCATTCGGAAAAGGCAAAATGAATATAGGGAGATAGCCCCTCATAATTGATTCCAGCACAATACTTGGTAGTCACTGATGAGCATCTTCGGAAGACAAAAAGAAACATTGTGGTCAAATAAAAATACTGGAAGGTGCATGATCAATCTTCACCTTCAGCTATATGCTGCCCTGGTTACCCACAGATATATTCCCACCACCCATCTCGTTTTCTTCAAGGTCATCCTCATTCAATGAAACTTGAGCCTCAGGGCCCGCATCTTCAGAGATCACTCGCACCCCAGGATCTTGATCTGCACTTTCCAGATGATGAATTGTAATGTCTTGTTCTGGGCCTTGGTTGTTCACAGGAGACACTGCCCCAGCACTCTCAGCCCAGCTGTCTCTGCTTTCACTCCGCCTGCTACCGGTCGAAGGGCTCCGAGAAGGCCTGTCCAGAGGCCTGTAAAGGGGCCCTATTTCATCGAAGACATGGTCCACGTCGTGCATGTCAAGTCTATGTCGATAGCATTTCGTACAGAGAGAGACATGAGGGCATTTGAAGCAGACCCACATGATCCCCCATATCCTCTGTTGAAGTATCTTGTAAGAATTACAACATAACAAGCCATATTGGTATTCATAGTCTAGCCAAGCTGACTTACAGCGAAGCAACTCGAACAAAATCGGCCCTTAAAGTGTCCAACTTGGATATCGTGGTCAGCGTCATTCCACACTTCCACCTTTCCATTCCGGATCCTCTCTAGAGCAGCGTTCTTGGGTGTAAGCATGTCCTGTATGACTGGATCTGCGATAGTGAAGGTGGCTATTTTCAGAGCCGACCAAGATGTTTCTACGTCGGCAGGATCACCCAGCCCACGACCTCGGGTCCACAGATCAGCACCCTTGTCCAGTAACTGCTAAAACACATCAGGGTTACTTGTAGATCGGGCTGCCCACATGAGCGGCGTCCATCCGTCGGAATCTGGCACGTCAACATCTTTCACCAGCTTCCCCCCCAAGAGGTACTCAAAGCAGTCAGAGAACGAGCCCGAATTAGCGAAGTGGATTGGCATGCGTCCGAAGTTGTCCGTAGCATTAGTATCTGCGGGTTTCTTGCCAGTAAGTAGGATTTGCAGGCCATGCTTCGAAATGCCTATAGCCGCCAGATGGGCAGCCTGGCGGCCTTGATCATCAGATACTTCGAGGTCAGCTCCACGGCGCACGAGGAAATCAAGAATTTTCGTATCCACGTGATCTCTGGAATCGAAGCGCTTGAAAGCTGCGTTAATGTTGGGATACTTGAGGATGCCGCCTGGGCCATTCACGTCAACCTTGACATCATCGACCAGGTATCGCACCATTCTCGCACGCACACCATCATCGCGTATACCAAGAGCTGTGTATAGTAGCGATCCACCAAAAATGGGACGCACGACAGTGTGGTCGATTTTGGCATCGATCAACATCCTGAGATTCACCCTGACCTTTGCATGGACAACAAGGTACTCTGAAACGTCGAAGTTACCCGCGTTGATGGCAGAATACAGTGGGGTTTGCTCTTCTTTATTCTCCTGGTCCGTCGGGGCCCCTGCCTGGGCAAGCAGCTTGACGGTTGTGACCGGCGTGGCGAAGTGCACCTTGTGCAGCAGCGTATCTCCATTGTTGTCCACAACAGAGAGGTTTGTTCCGCGAGCAAGCAGTAGCTTGATGCATTGCTCTGCGCAGACAGGATCGGGCATAAGGAGACAGACGGCCAGGGCTGTTAGTCCGTCCGGATTCTGTAGATCTGGGTCTGCGCCCGCCTTCAGCAAGATCCCGACACAAGCTGCTGGGCCATTCCGACAGGCGATATGCAGCGGCGTGCAGCCTACATCGTCTCGAACCGTTGATTCCACTGGACCTTGGTCGTCAAAAATGACGTTTGGGTCCAGACCATTCCCTGCATGCTCGATCAGAGCGGCCAGAGCTCGTGCATTACCGCGTCGTGCCAATACGGCGATCACATGTCCCCATTCAGAACGAGCGCCAACCTTGGCCCCGAGTCTGATCAGGTCAGGCACAACTTCCGCCAAATTCCACGCTATATATAGAGCAGTGTACCCGTCAGGTGCAGTCCAAAGCGCGTCCGCTCCCTCAGCCAGAAACAGTTTTGCGATTTCCAGGTTGGCCGAATTAATTGCATGGAAGAGAGGAGAGTTGTCACTTGTTTCTGCGAAGTTGACGTCGGCACCAGAGGCAAGGAGCAATCTGATGATGTCCAGGTTTCCAGTTTTGGCGGCACACATCAGAGGTGTGGTGCTTGTCGGGTCTTCCCAGTTGATCTTGGCGCCATGTTCGATTAACAAAGATATCAAGGCCAAGTCTTCTTTCTTGACAGCTTCTATCAGAAGCGGCTGCTTGTCCTTGTAGACTTGACCAAAGTCTTTGAACCTACGTATCAATAGCCGAACGACATCTGTATGTCTAGTCTCAGCGGCTTTGAGAAGCATAGATTCTGGACCCGAGTGTGCCGCAGTAGTTGTACTTGCTCCGCTTGTAAGCACTAATTCCACGCAACGCTTGTACCCTCGTTCAATAGCCATGCGGAGCAACTGGTCTGGTAAAGAATCGGTGTCGTTTTCTTGCGACTCCTTCTGTAGATTGTCTGTATTTGATTTCCGGAGCACCAATTCTGCCGCTGCGGAAGCACTCTCATCTATGGCAACACGTAGAGAGTTTGATTCATTGTCGACGTCCAGACACACCTGAGCTCCTCCTGAGAGTAGCAGCTTTACGATGTCTGGACGGCCTCTCTTGATAACCGTTGCCAGCGGTGTATTCGCTACCATGTCAAGAATTTCAAGGTCTGGCTTGAGGATAGAACAGTCTCAACCTCCCGAGGTCAAGAATGAGCCTGTTTTTAGAGAATCCAGGGGAGCTGGCAGGCCCCATGAAAGATCGCGTCTGGCATCCTCCACAACTGTGAAGGGAGTTAATTCGCACAGATGGTTGAAGTCGACAGACCGTTTCTCGAGTACCATGAACGAGTTCTGGGGGGCTACATTGAAATTGGCACAACACAGAATCCCCGACGTACAGAAAAACGTCATGGTTGCATTGATCGACGACGGCGTAGACACGTTTGACAAAGCATTTACGGGCCAGGTGCTTGAGGGCAAGAGCCTCGACTACCACAATGGTCTTCGGCCGCCGTACTCGTCAGCCCGAGGACATGGGACGGTCATGGCTAGCATGATTCTGAGGGTGTGTCCAATGGCCAAGATCTACCCGATACGACTCAAAATATTTGCTACTGCCGACAGCAGGAATCAGATCGTTATGGATTCGGCAGCTCAGGTAATTAGCCCTGCGAAAGGACGCGAGTCCTACTGTTATGATCATAAGTATTCTGATTCATCTTTGTCAGGCTATCGAAGCTGCTCTCGATAAGAAAGCAACAATCATTTCCATGTCGTGGACTCTGCCCATATCCAGTGAGAGCAGTCTAGCCAAGGATAACTTGGACAAGGTCCTCGAGCGAGCTGTCAATGCCGGGGCCTGATGTTCTGCTCTGCTCCCGTCAGCAGCAAGTTTGCGATACTGGACTATCCCAGCGGCCCATGGCCACATAGGTTCTTTCGTATTGGTGCTGCTAACGCGGATGGGACGGTGTTCAACTGGACCCCAGATGATACATCTTATATTCTGCCAGGCGTTGATGTGGTCAAAGAGCAGTTTGGGTCTGGCGTCTCGCTGAGTGACCGCATCACGAGCAAGGTAGCAGAATGCCAGTATGAGACGGGGTCCAGCGTGGCGACGGCCTTGGGGGCAGGCCTCGCTGCAATGGTTCTCTACTGCGTTAAGGCCGCATTCTTGTTACTTTACATCGCCAACGTCAACAAGGGCAACAACAATGTCATTGGAACCGCGGTTAAACCTTCGGACCTAGAATACCTTGCGAAGCCCGACGGGATGAAGTGGGCGTTTTCTCAACTGGGAAAACTGACAAAGGACAACTTCATCCCTGTGTGGGAGCAGCTCGACCCTGTCAGCGAGGCGATGGAGCAGGTTATGAGCGGAGGTCTCACGGAGGCGATGAGGGATGGAAAGGATGGAAATATGGAACGGTTCTGGGACTTTGCGTCGAGCCTCGTCCGGGCAGCACAGAAGAATCAGATTTAAACATTCTGGAGTCTGTTTCTGTCGATATTGCAGCGGAGATAAGGGACGTAAAGCTCTGATCGAGCAAAGGGGGGCGGGGGCGGGCATGCAAGCCTTCAAGAAAGGGGTTTAAAGAAGATTGCCAAGGTTCCCCGGAAAGCAAGTCCTTCTTGCACACCGAGAGAGGGATTCGTGGAAGGTCGCAAGTCAGACCGCCATCGTGCGAGCATTAAAAGAGGAAGTAATTTATCCACGAAGTAACATGGCCAGGGTGTGAAGGTCACATAGTGGAGTTGGGGTAACCACTCTCTTGTGGAGAAAGGAAGTAAATCTGCTGCTATAACGAGAAATTTGGAGTCTTATAAAACTTATACATGAGTTCGGTCTCAACCACCCCGAGCTGGGCGATCATATATGCGTATTTCTACAGGCCCCAACATTTAGGCTATACTGGCTAAAAATGGTGCCCCAAAACTATTTCCATAAACAACTTCCATAGTCACGGGTTTCGTCATGGCTTCGAGACCTCAGGTGTGGGTAATAAAAGTCAACATCCCATGCGTTGAAGGCATCATGGCGATGTCCACAAGATTTGAGGAATGTGCTTTGCCTCATAGATAATCAACGTCGGCTACTGCTGACAGAATGAGTCTGGGCAGTGGTACGTCGTCTCTCGTAATGCGAGCCATGGCAATCCTGGCCTTGGCGTTGTTCTGGCTCCCAAGTATCTCTTTCGCCTCGGCCTCAACAATACCACGAAATACCTCTGTCACGACTGGACGTGAGCGTACCAGCCTTAACTCAGACTGGAGATTCATGCGCTTCGAAGAGAACCCCGATGGCCTCGCATACGACATCCGTCCCGATCAGGTAAATCTGACTCTCGAGGTACTGAAGCCATGGATTCTTCCAGTCGCCAACGAGTTCATCGTCAATGCCAGCGACAGATATCCATACCCAGATGCCGAGCCTCCAGGGAGCAATGTCTCATACCTGCAGAAGGACTTTGATGATAGCTCGTGGGAGACCGTCGCCCTCCCTCACGATTGGGCAATTAAGGGCCCCTTCTACACCGACGATGACCCCATTGTTCCCGGCACCATGGGCAGGTTGCCAGTCCAGGGTGTTGGATGGTATCGGAGGAATATCTCGTGGACGCAGAGCGAGGCCGATGAAGGCAGACTGGCATTCCTAGATGTTGATGGCGCCACGTCCTATGCTATTGTCTGGCTCAACGGCGAATTGGTGGGCGGATGGCCGTATCCATACAATTCCTGGCGGCTGGACATCACGCCATATCTCAAGCCGGGCGACGACAATGTGTTGGCCATTCGGGTAGACAATCCCAACATGTCCTCAAGATGGTATCCTGGTGCAGGCATATACCGCAATGTCTGGTTGACGAAGACGGCACCGGCGCGTGTAGGTCATTACGGGACACAAATCACCGCGAGCGAGGTCTCCAGCGAGTCGGCCGTGCTTGAGCTGGTGGTGAAGATTGAGAATTCAGGATCAACAGATCAGGCGATCGACCTCGCGACGGACATTCACGTCTACGATGCTGACACCGGCTCGACGGGAGCCCAAGTCGCTTCTTTTCCGAGCATAAGCCAGACGGTCGGAGCAAACGAAGCTGTTTCTATCAACACTTCCACTGTGATTCAGAACCCGCAACTGTGGAATCCATACCCAGCCGGCGACCCAAACTTATACGAGGCCATCACTCGCGTGTCTCTCAGCAACGGCACTGAAATCGACTCTTACTCGACCCGTTTCGGCATCCGTTCGCTCAATTACACAGCCGATAGTGGCTTCCTCGTCAATGGAGCCCGCGTCATGATCCAGGGCGTAAACGACCACGCCGATCTTGGTGCTATAGGTACAGCCTTCAACGTGCGCGCCGCAGAACGCCAGCTCGAGATCTTGAGAGAGATGGGCGTCAACGCCATCCGCATGTCTCACAACCCTCCCGCCCCAGAGCTGCTCGACCTGACCGATCGGATGGGTTTCATGATCCTGGACGAGATCTTCGACTGCTGGCAGCTGAACAAGACGGAAAATGACTTCCACCTCATCTGGGATGACTGGCACGAGGCAGACTTGCGGAACATGGCACGGCGGGACAGGAACCATCCGAGTGTTGTGTTTTGGAGCTACGGTAATGAGGTGGGCGAGCAGGAGACGGGCGAGGCAGGTGCTGCGATCAACGTTGAGCTGAGGGAAATACTGGCCCAGGAGGATCCAACGAGACATTCATCTGCGAGCCAGAACGAGGCTCTTCCCAACTCCACATGGAGCAGCGTTGTTGAGCAGTTCTACCTCAACTACCAAGGCGCTGGGATCAGGAACACCGTGGCCTACTCGAATCTGACCGGCATTACCACTGAGCCCCTCTACCCGGAATACCATGCTGACTACCCGGGGAAGATGATCTTGTCCTCTGAGTCCTCCTCGGCATTAAGCTCACGAGGGACCTTCATATTCCCCGTGACGAACTACTCGTCCGCCCCAGCAAACGCCACCTCGGGCGAGGATGTGACCAACATGTTTGTGAGCGCCTACGAGCTTTACACGGCAGGCTTCGGCTCCTCTCCAGACAAGGTCTTTGCGTCCCAAGACGAGAACCCATACGTCGCTGGTGAGTTCGTCTGGTCAGGCTTCGACTACCTGGGCGAACCGACGCCATACAACGACCGAAGCTCGTACAGCGGCATCGTGGACCTCGCGGGGTTCAAGAAGGACCGCTTCTACATCTACCAAGCGCGGTGGAGGCCTGATCTCAAGATGGCTCACATTCTGCCGCACTGGACATGGCCGGAGCGTGAGGGTCTGGTCACGCCCGTGCACGTCTTCTCGAGCGCAGACACGGCGGAGCTGTTCCTGAACAACGTGTCGCTGGGGACCAGGACAAGAGGCGAGTACGAGTACCGCTTCAGGTGGGACGATGTGGTGTACCAGCCAGGCGAGCTGAGCGTGGTGACGACCAAGAGCAACGAGAGCTGGGCGAGCGCCTCTGTGCAAACTGCTGGAGACGCCGCAGGGCTGAATCTGAGCGCCGACCGGGCCACGATCCAGGCGGATGGTCTTGACCTGTCGTACATCACGGCGTCTGTGGTGGATGCCAGTGGCAATGTCGCGCCTCGAGCGAACAGCACCATCACGTTCAGCGTCGACGGCCCTGGTGAGATTGTTGCGACGGATAATGGCTACCCTGCAGACTACACGCCGTTCCCCTCTGCCTCTAGAGACACGTTCAATGGCCTTGCTTTGGTGATTGTGCGCGGGAAGTCAGGGACGGCGGGCGAGGTAACGGTAACGGCGACCGCACAAGGGCTGCAGCAGGGACAGGTTGTTATTCAAACCAAGTAGGCTCTACGTGGTCGTGAGATTAGCCTCCAAAATATAATGTTTTCTTGTTCAAATGCAATGTATTCAGGCGAGTAGTACATGCAGACATCCTCAAAATCGAGTGTTGCTTGATCTTGTGGTGCTATTTCGGGCACAATATCAGACAGAAATTTCGACAAGAACCTCACATAGTATCCATCCTCTCTTGACATGTGTTAAAGAGGCTTGTGGTTGGGAATTTCTCAGGCAGAAGTTTATTAGTTCATTGCAGTGGTAGCATAAGAGACTACATGAAGAAGACTGCTAAGTTCATGGAACTTTTGAAGGGTGGAAGCCAGGCTGGAATTTGAAAATCATGGTTAGAAAGCTGTGGATAATGGGCTGGTGTAGCATCTTTGTAGGAGAGTTTGATTACACTACATGGCGCTATAGGTTCTGAACAGTAAGGTTTAGATAGTGTATGAACCCAAGAGACCCGAACCCCGGGGGCTTGCAGTTAAGCCTCAGGGCGGTGAATATTTTGTCAATGGCTGGCCCCTGTTCCCAGAAACGGCAGTAATTTTTCAGCGGGGTCTGGGAAATCTACTATGGCAGCAGTGATCTGCTCGTTTCTCTCTACTCAACACCACCAAACCCCGCATCTTTTCGATTACAAGAGCATAACATCTGCCTCACCTGACATCTGCAATAGTCTATTACTCTTGGTGGTTTTCAGAGTGGCACACCGTCATGGTGAGGAGCAGGCTCTGCTCCAGACCCATCGACTAAGCAACGACTGAGTCAACTGCGCAACCTCTACCGCCTGCCTAGATCGCCTCTGACGAATCTGACGACCCTTCATTCTCCTCCTCCTCCTCCTCCTACGCATCTCTACATTCTCGAAAACGCCAAACATGGCAGCTGCCTCCCCAGCAGGGTCCGACATGGATCCTGCAAAGCTCTCAGTCCTTAAAGACTCGCTCTACGATGCTTGCGTCGCCTCTGGGGAGACGCTGTTCTCCCAGGAGGACCTCCTCGACCTCGGCATCACCAGCGAGGTCCACGTCCTCTCGACGCTCATTCAGAGGCTGATGACCGAGAAGCTGCTGATTGTCACCAACAGGCAAGGCGGCGGGATCCTCTGGAAGTGGCGCTCAGCTATTGACGCTGAAAAATACCGGCACCTGAACCGCGAGCAGGCCATGGTCTACGAGATGATCGAGGACGCAGGCGCTGATGGCATCTGGTCCCGCACCCTCAAGGCACGCCTCGGCATGCACGACTCCGTGCTCAAGGCCCACCTCAAGTTCCTCGAGAGCAAGGTCTATATTAAGGACATGAAGAGCGTGGAGCACCCCAACAAGAAGATGTACATCAAGGCTAGCTTGCGCCCGAGCGACAAGGCCACCGGCGGGCCCTGGTTCACCGATGGCAGCCTGGACGAGGCCTTTATCTCAGAGCTTCTCAAGGTCATCTTCGACTACATCACGCGGCAGAGCACCTACCGCAGCGTGCACGTCGGCAGCGCCAAGAAGGAGAAGCAGCCCAAGAAGGGCATCCTCAAAGGCGACCCCTCGAACCTAGGCAAGGGCAAGAAGCGCGCCGCTGACGACATGTCCGCCGACGACCCCACCCCGCCTAGGCCCTCCGCGAAGCCACGCCGCGAGCACAGGCGGACCCAGCTCCTCCCCCTTCCCGCTGGCTACAACGCCTACCCGACCACCCGCCACCTCGCCGAGGCCATCTCCACAGGGGGCATCACGTCCAACACGACCCTGACCATCGCCGACGTCCAGCAGCTCGTGGATGTCCTCGTGTACGACGGCCTCGTCGAACCCGTGCGCGTGGGCAAGACTCAGGGATACAGAACGGTGCGCCCCACCGTCGTCGACCCGACTCCGCTTACGGCACTGATGCGGACAGACGAGGGCGTGGATGAGGACATGCTCGAGCTCCAGGCGGGCGACATGGGCGCCGGGCCGCTGAGCAACGGCCTGACCGAAGCACCATGTGGAAATTGTCCAGTCTTCGACCTCTGCGAGGAGGGCGGTCCCGTGAGTCCGGGAAACTGTGTCTACTTCCAGCGCTGGCTGGGAGATTAAAGCTTGTCTGGGCGGTCGGCATAAGCGTTACACGAACATTAGTCAAGGCAGCAATCGTGCTGTTTTTAGCGAGGTATCTCAGGCGGAGCGTTGTTGTCAACTTTCGGGAGGCGGACTGGCTTCTTATGGGAGTAATTTCTTCTACATCCACCAATACCAAGGTGGCAAAAGCATAGTTGTACATCCACCAATACCAAGGTGGCAAAAGCATAGTTGAACGAAATAGAAATTTGGGATGGCAGGCGTCAACACCGGATTGCTTTGGGCGGGCATGGCTAGCAGGATGATGATGGCGTTCTAGGTCAGGGCACTGTAAAGGACAAGGACTTGTTACTGAAACTATTTTCATTGTCGCCCGTTGTCACAGGGGTGATCACTTTAATAGCAACAAAAACAAACAGTTCCAATGCTTTGGAAATTCATAAACCTTCTCATCAAGACAGTCATGGTGAATTTGAATACGCTGACGGTTTGGCTGAACAAACGGGCTCTCATTCAGTCTCAAGACTTGTTAGGGAATTGAATTGATGTGCTTTGAAGTTAACGAGACGTAGCAACACAAGGCAAGTGTGGAATGCGATGCGACGATAAGGTTGATCTATTGCCACTGGACGTTGCCATATGGACGACGACGATGGCCTCAGAATGGAGAAGACAACATTTATGAAACTTTAAAAGACTGGTGGAGATAACACGTCATGCGATAATGGAACATATGTCACTCAAAATTTGTAGGCTCTTTTGATGGGACCTTCAAGTTTAATTTCGATCAAGGAACGACAATGGCACGCAAGTCGACGATGATATCTCTAACTTTTGTTTTACTCCATTCCCTTTACTTCATCATAACGTCCAAGACAAAGCCATTGGCAGACTTAGACCTCGCCAGAGTTGACAATGGTGGGCTTCTTGCTGTACTTGACGTTACCGCTGGGAGAGCCGACAGCCTCGATAGACTTGACCACCCGCCTGCCGTCCTCGTCGGCGACCTTGCCGAAGACGACGTGGCGGCCGTCGAGCCACTCAGTCTTCACAGTGGTGATGAAGAACTGGCTACCGTTGCTGCGGAGTGAAACAGGTCAGCGGTGCTTGGAGTAGAGGTGACAGTACAATTAGAATCAACGAGGTCGTGCGAGAGCTTACGTGTTGGGACCAGCGTTAGCCATGGAGAGCAGGAAGGGCTCCTTGTGCTTCTCCTGGAAGTTCTCATCGGCGAACTTCTCGCCGTAGATGGACTTGCCACCAGTGCCCTGTGATGATGGTCAGCACAATTGTATACGGGGGTTTCTTGTAGGCGTGCAGCCCGTAAGGGATACTTCGGGGTTTCGACTGACGTTGCCACGGGTGAAGTCACCACCCTGGAGCATGAACTCAGGGATGATACGGTGGAAGGAGGAGCCCTTGTAACCGAAGCCCTTCTCGCCAGTGCAGAGAGCACGGAAGTTCTCAGTAGTCTTGGGGACAACGTTGTTGTAGAGCTCGAAGTTGACACGGCCGGTCTGGACTGGATGGTGGGGAAAACAAGGATTAGCCATTGATTCAACAAAGGGCGATGGAATGATTATGGTGGAGAAGTTGGATGGTGATGGAGTGCGGATACAGCTGGGGGGGGGGGGGGGGCTGTGCGCAGAAAGGGGGATGGGTATGAAGAGAAAGAAGCACAGCGACAGTAAGGTTCAGTGCATGTTAAAATGGTGTTGGTGGTAATGATGATTGATGACAATGACAATGACGATGATGGCGACGATGGAACTTACCCTTGATTTCGCTGGTGGGACGGTAGTTGGCGTCCAGGACGGGACCCTCCCACTCAATATCGAAGAAGCTGTTGGGACGTGGCGTCAGCATACTGAGCTTGCTTAGGATGCTTCAAGAAGGCAACAGCCAGATTGAAGCTCAACGGAGGGGTGACACGGCGTCAAGGTCAAAAAGCTTAGGAGCTAAACTTACACCTTGTTAGACATGGCGATGGAAGTTGATGAGAAGAGACGAGACGAGATTGGTTTGGTGGACTGTCTGAAGGCAGAAGATGTCGAAGCTGAGAGAGGCTTGAAGGTGGTGTGGAAGGAAGAAGGAGAGGAAAAACGAGGGGCAGAAGAAGCTGCTGAACGGAAGCAGGTTGAAGTAAAGGCGACGCGGGGCATCGACAGAAGCGGGGCAGCCATATTTGCTACGGTGACGAACGACGGTCGGTGACTGGACGAATGGCGTGAGCTGTTAGCAAAACGGGGCGAGGACAGGGATGATCCAACCAGCAAAACCCAAAACACTCGGCACAGCGGGGTTCCCAGGGACCAAGTAAGCCCAAAGAGTTCCAGTCCCGAGCCCACCAAAACAAGACAGAGCTCAAACCCCCAAAACGCAAGATAGCTATCTAGCAGCTATGAGCGAGTTTGGAGGTTTTGATGATGATCTCTCTTAGTCTTTTTTATCTTATTTTATTTTATCCCTTGATGACATCCCTCCTTTACAGTCCTCCCATATGACGTCTGACTGGCAGTAGCACCTGGCCATTCGTCTGTGGGGGAAGAGAAGGAGGAGATGGAGGAGGGGCAAGCAAGGGATCCGCAGTGGTGGCGGAGGAGTTGGAGAGGAGTAACTTGTCCAGCGCCACCCCTGAGCTTGTACAGCGATCTGCAGGGCCAACCACTTGGGAGCTCGAGAGCACGTCAGGGCGGCCAAAACTCGATCGCAGTGCGCTAACAGAAGCGCTGAGATGATGCTCTTTTCGTGGCCTAAACGCCCTCCCAAGTTCCCAAAAAGGGGGCTCAAGAGGGGTTTATCAGAGGTTTTCTCATCTGACTGTTGCATCCAGATCCGCATGCAGACAAGGCATTCGAGAAGCTGTACCTCGTGCCCTGTCCTGCTCACCGTGGTACATAGTACAGACAGCAGTTGGTGGTGCAAGGAGCTACCCATGCAGACGCAAGCTTCAGCCTGCAGCTATGCTCTCTTGGCCATTCCAGTCCGACCCGGCAGGTGAGGTGTGTACGCTGCAGGCTGGCTTTGCTGACGAGTGACCGTGGTGGTGCGGTTGCATGTCTGCGCCCTGCGTTTCTGCAGGTCTCGCTCCCTCGATTATGGCCACCGCCACTTGGATCGAGCCGAGTGAGGAGCTCGGGATGAACGGCCAACAGGTTTTCCTCGCCTGAGGCCCCCACCCAAGATGCCGCCTTGCGTCTTCAGTGTGCACCCCGAGTAGCCACTCGACTGTGCCGCTGATGGCCGTAGTATGACCTGAGCGGTCTCACGGTCTCACTGTACTCACGCAGGGCTTCACTCGGGTCGTTGAAGGGGGCGGATCGAGTCTGCGCATCTGGCCAAGGGCGACCTGAAGCAAGAGATGGGATGAACGTACCGTATGAGATAAAGTTGGATTTGAGTATACAATCGACAAGGTCAATTGATGCGGCTGTGGTCTGATTGAACTAATCAGGGGAGTGATGGAGGATATTCGAAGAAGCGGTTGGTGTCGAGAAGTCCCGTCCGAAGAGAAAGTTTTCAAAAAATGCCATCACCAGGGTTGTGTCATTGATCTCTAGTCACCCTGGGCACCTTGACAAAACGTGCTCATTACTTACACATGCCACACCAAAAAAAAAACAACCTGGAATCTAGTCCTGTAATCGGTATATTTCACCCCGCTGATTTTCGTTTTGGCTACTCAGATATTTATATGAATGGAACTGAACATCTCAAGCTGTTTAACGCGGGTGTGCAAGGCGTTTCTTAGCATTGGGTGACATGATAAGGAAAGGGTTCGGGTTAGGGGAGAGATTGGGAACTTGACAGCCGTAGGGGTCCAACAAGACCAAACAATGAGCTGTCTACTGGCGTCTTCAAGAAACTACATGATCTTGCTAGTGATTTTCTCTATTCAAATTGATTCAATGTGATATCCGCTGTAATTCGCGGCGTCGAAGGCACTGACCACAGTCAAAACAATCATCGGGCCTCAAGCAGACCTGTGCTATTCATGGCGTCTTAGTCAGCCACAGGAGTATTCAGGGGGTCGGACCAGCATTGACACTAAACTTTCCTCGAACATTTGGGACGGGAGCCGTCATCCTTGGCCAGCTTTAATTGAACCGTGTTCTTGTCGCATTTCCCGAATTACATTTCCATCGACAAAGGACTCGAAGGCTGTCTTCGTGCATCCCAAACGTCTACGGCGTTGCCGACCTCTTGTCTCTCAATTTGTTGTTATTGCCCACTCTCTACTACGACATACGCCCGTCAAGATGGATCTCAACTCCCTGAAGGACACGGTTTCCAACCTGTCCTTGTATGATATCAAGGCGGGTGTACGGAAGGTCCAAAATGGTAAGTCGAGGTATTTTGGAGAAGACATGGCCATGCTAGCCACGGTATGCTGAGCTGACCTTTCTGGGCAAAAAGCGGTGATGAACTACACCGAAATGGAGGCCAAGGTACTTCCGATCACATCCCCTTTCCACAGTACCTCCTATCGCTAAAGAGACGTAACCAGGTGCGAGAGGCGACAAACAACGAGCCATGGGGGGCATCCTCTACCATGATGCAGGAGATTGCCAATGGCACCTTCAACTAGTATGACTAGAAACCAATCTCCCCCAAACAATACCTCGACGACGTAGCTGACGGTCCACGAACAGCCAAACCCTGAACGAGATCATGCCCATGATCTACCGGCGATTCACAGAGAAGGCTGCCGAGGAGTGGCGGCAGATCTACAAGGCCCTGCAGCTCCTCGAGTACCTGATTAAACACGGCTCCGAGCGCGTTATTGACGATGCCCGATCCCACCTGACCCTGCTCAAGATGTTGCGCCAGTTCCACTTCATCGACCAGAACGGAAAGGACCAGGGCGTCAATGTGCGAAACCGAGCCAAGGAGCTCACCGACCTCCTCAGCGACGTCGAGAGGATCCGGGCAGAGCGGAAGAAGGCACGTGCCAACAAGACCAAATACACCGGTGTGGAGGGCGGCGCTGGAGGTTTCTCCTCCAGCGGCAGCCGATATGGCGGATTTGGCAGTGATACTGGTGGCAGCTCTGCAGCCGGATACGGAGGATACTCTGGCGGTGTGTACGGCGACGGCGGCGGTTTTGGAGGTCAAGCTAGCGAGTACGGCGAGAGCAGCAGCCGCAGACAAGACCAGTTCGAGGAATATGACGAGTTTGACGAGGGTAAGCCGGCGCCGTCACGGGCTCCACGAAGGACTACGACAGAGCGAGCCGGCATGAAGAAGACGACCCCTTCTGCGCCGCCGCCGCCAAAGAAGAAGGAGCCCGAGGTCGACCTATTCTCGTTCGACGACCCGGCTCCCTCGACATCAGCAGCTCCCATCGCCCCTTCGAATGGTTCGGGTCTGGCTTCGCTGGCTGCTGCCGCGCCTGTCCCGGCCGCTAATAATGATGATGACGAGTTTGACGACTTTCAGGAGGCCGCCCCAGCAGCCCAGACCTCTGCGCCGCAAAACGCCTTTTCCCACCCTCTCATGACGTCCAACGCATCCGGTGCCATGTTCGCTGCTCCGGCTCCCGTGTCTGCACCGCAGCAGACCAACCTGAACACAATGGTCGGCCTGTCTTCCATCTCTCCTCCTCCTGCCAGCACCTCGACGCCCTCTGGAGGAGCCAACTACTCCGCTTTCAGTACCCCTCTCGCCTCTGCTGCTACCATGACCCCCTCTGCCATTAAACCCGCGAGCACCGGCTACCAACCGTCGGGCCCGAACTACTTCACCTCCGTCCAGGCACCGAGCGCCAGCTCGACCCCCGCCTCCGTGGGCGGTATGGGCGCTCTCAAGCCTGTCAGCACAGGTAGCTCAGTGGCTAAGAAGCCTGCGGGTGGCGATGCGTTTGGTGCCCTGTGGGCGAACGCGAGCGGATCCGGCAACAAGAAAGCGACCACCACTGCGGGGCCTGCTTTGGGTCAGCTGGCGAAGGAGAAGAGCAGTGCCGGGATCTGGGGAGCACCAGCCACCTCCTCGAAGCCAATGGGTGGTAGCCAGCCTACCACAAGCGGCAGCTCGGGTCTGGACGACCTGCTGGGCTAAAATGCTTTGTCATTCCCCGACAGCAGAGATGTAGTCGGCATCAAGCTAGACACGGACCTGCTGATGCATGCCAAAACATCCCGTAGTATTTCGGAGGTTCTCAGAACTTCATGGTGTGAGAATGGGTTGCCAGCGTAGGCAGAAGTCCTCATTCGGATCCTACTGGCAACTGGTGATGAGGATTAGTCAAGAATTCTTACGAGGGTGACAGATATACACAATGGTAATGCGAACAGGTGCGAAAACACACCTGGGGTCACATCGGGTGGCGGGAAAGAAGTAAGGAAGTCTGATTGTGCATTTACGAGACGAGCTCATTTGTATCGCCAACCTAGACATGCGAAGCTTGGATGGAGTAGGGCGTACAAAATTGACTTTTCTTGGCTGTCTCTTATATTTGTCTTTGACTCCGCGAGAATACCTATACTACTCTTCCGATGCACCACGACAAGTACATCTTTACCTTGGGCATAATTTACTGGCCTTATACAGTACAGACTTCCCTAGACTTCTGCCGTCTGTCATCCATGCCAGATTAGGCCAAAGAGATATGGCGGCTGTGGGCGAGGCAGTCGATCGATCGCCAGGTCAGCCCGATCGATCTCCATGGGTCGGGGAAGGAGGTTGACATGGTCCGGACGGGGCCCTGCAGGAAGATTTCCTAGACTGTTTTCCTTCATGGATGCTCCGAAATGTCAAATTTGGCTCAAACTCTCTGCAATCGTAGGGGGGGGGGGGGGAAGAGAGAGAGAAAAAATATAGATCCAGACCTAACACCATAGTAATGATGATGACCCGTTCCCGGTGGTACCCAGCGCTTAGAGCGGCCACTTAGGATCGGCAGCCCGGGGGGTGACTAGAACACTAGTGGGGAAGGCTGCGAGACGCTGGAAGAGCGAGTCGATCTGTGATCCAATCAGTGGGGTTGTTTGTGGTGACCCATGTTGCTGCGACTGTGACTGGCGCAGCGAGCCTGCTGGCTGCGGTCTGGATCGACTTATGCAATCAACAATACAGTACGTGAGTACCACTGTACAACGCCTCCTCTCTCATTCCTCTCTCTATCTCAGGGCCTTGCTGGTGTGGGCTTGAACCCTGGATCCGTTTTGCAGATACGATGGCGTCTGTTTTATGTCTGGGTCGTACAGCTCGTCAACAGGATGGTGCACACTCCGCCGCGGCTGTTGGACGCGGCTAGCTGATGGCGGGTACGGGGTGGATGTGAGAATAGGTGGTAGATTTGGTCACCCGCATGCCCACGGTCTGGCATGGCAGACGAACGATATATCGTCGGTTGACATGTGATTTGGAAAACTGCCGCGAAGTTTCTTGTCCAGGATGTTTCTTTCAGGAGGCTTTCGCCGGAAGAAGAGCCAGGCAAACCCTGAAGAATGATAACCCACAGCTATCAGAGCTTGTGAGGACCTTCCCATGAGATATATCATATTGTCCACCGTCTGCTAAATACGAGGCCAAACACAGAAGAGGGGCTACACGAGGTTTGATCTGGCCCCACTTGTGTCTCTCATACCGGTCGTCCATCCGGCAGACCCTCTGCATACAAATTTGTTCGAGTATGATCTTTGTTCTTGCATTATATGCTGAAAAGTATGCTTCGGTATTCTGAGTCTATTTACAATGCTTGCACTCCGTCGAAAGGCTTCCGGAGAACGACCCGTGCCACGTTCCCAGGTAGACCAGTTCGGGAAAGCACATATTGCGAGAGCTCCTGCTTGGCAAGGACGAGTAAAGAGGAGACGCCAGGCCACATCTTTGACGAGGCAAAAGGATGTAAACCACTCTGAACGATTGGGAATGAAGTCTTCCCTGATCTTTTGAGCTCTTTCCTACTCGGCCCAGCACTGCCTCGCCATCACCCCATCAACGCTCGAGGAGGCGAGCCTACTGTGTCCACACACTGCATTAGCTTCCTGCCTCTTCCACAATTTGGTGATCAGTCACTCGTGCCTTCTCAAATCAGACAATGACACCTTGCAAACCTTGTGATAAACTATCTCCAGTCCAACCATCTGGGATTGGCACGTACGCGTACGACAGCTCACAACAGCTGATCTCTACAAGGGCCCTCACAGAGTTGATCTTCTGCGCACGTCTTTTGGAGGAAACCTGACAGCCAATGTTTCAGCGTCTCGATCGCCTCTTTCTTCCCGAACCAATGTCATGGACAGCCCTACGAAAGTACAAGTCCAAGGGCTCGTCCCTCGCCAATCGAACAGGTCACCCTTTCCCCTCGAAAAATGGCACTGGATGGCCCCCCAGTCTGCTGCACCGCCAGCAGTGCAACAGTGGGACCCCCCGGCTAAGCGCCCAACGCCTAGGCTCAGGCGGTCCGGCGGTGGCGGTCCTTGCTGGTGGGGATCAGCGGTGGCCCCCCTGCCACCAAAAATAGGCCCCACACACATGCATGTGGGAGTGAGTGAGTGTCTGTGTCTGTAAAGAGGGTCGTCAACCGCTTGCGCGTGGGTTCTAATTTTTTCTTTCTGTTTGTTTTTTCGAGATGGTTTGTACTCTTACAACTATCGATATACGACAGCAGCCGTCGACATGGCTCCCTCCAAGGTTGAAAAGGCGAACAAGAAGGACAAGCGGCTGACCACCGCGCCGTCCTTCTGGGCTGGGGGCCTGAAGACGGGGGGCCTCACGTCTAAGAATGACGAGGACCTCGAGAAGATAAAGAACAGCAATCACAAGAAGAACAAGGCTGTGCCACCGAGATCAGATGCTCCCTCATCATCAAAAGCGCAGCCCAGCAGCAGTAATTATCAAGTAAAGAATAACAACAACTACCAACCCCACCACCAGAAAAACAACTCTACGCCCCTCCCGTCGACCAAGAACCTATCAGCTTCAAGGCCATCACCTTACAAGGCGGACGATGCCTCTTCTTCCAATTCCGACAAGTCGAAGCGGATGACGACGTACAACTCATTCTGGACGAAGTCTCTTTTCGGTACGCCCAAGGAGAACCCGAAGTTCGTGTTGGTCTCGTCTAGTCAAACCCAAGCGTCGGCTGCCAGCGCCTCGCCCTCTTCATGGCAGTCGAAGGGGAAGCAAGCAGCAGGTTCTGCTCCGCAGTCCGCACCCCTATTAGTCCAGTCAAGTCAGCCTCAAGTATCGTCTGCCAGTGCCTCGCCGTCATGGTCGTCCAACAAGCCTCAAGCGTCGTCCGCCAATGCCTCCTCGCCATCGTGGCATTCCAAGGGGAAGCAGGCAGCAGGACCTGCTCCGCACTCAGCTCCCTTGGTGGCATCCGGGAGCAGCAGGGCTATAGTCCCGGAGGTGATGAGACCTGGACCGCCTCAACATAGTGCATCAGACAAGGGCCCGACAACAAACGTCTCTCATCAGACCGCCGCCCCCAGGAGGAACGACGGTCCCGCCAGCAATGCCGGCGACGGAAGAGGTCGCACTGATCGTCTTGTTCCCGAGCGCCAGGGACCAGATGCGCGGTCTCATCCACCCTCCCCACTCCGTCAGAATCCTGCCGTTCCCCAGGTCCAGACTGGTGCAGACAGGAGCATTCGGGGAGGGGATCAGGTGGGTGTTCCTCCTTCTGATAGGACCAACAACCACAAGTCGAAAGGGTCGCTGTTCAATTTTGGAAGGCAGCATACCCGTGATGCCGACCCACGGATCCCCAAGGATGCTGGCGTTCAGGAGACCGTTGCGAAGACTGGCCAGGATCGGGTGGCCCCGCCGCGTCCTCCTCGAGATGGCACTGAGTGGAATCAGTCTCGGTCTGTCACCGAGGGAAACAGTCGGCGGCCAACCACAGAGCTTCCCAGTTCTTCTGGCAGGAAAGAAACGACGACATCTGGACGAACGCAACCACTGCTGGGCAACGACGCGGTTGAGATTAGAACAGCCGAACCCCTCCGGATCGTCAAAATGAAGGATGTGCGAGAATCCATGGTATCTTCGGGAACAACGCCAGATGAGCGGAATCGATCCGCACGAATCGAGAAGGGAAAGCAGCCGGTCTCACTCGGAACCACGACCAAGACGAGATCTGATGAGACCCATCAGTCTCAGCAGAACTCGCGCGGTCAGCTTCAGAGTTCATCGCAGCACGGGCAGAGCAAGGAGGTGCCAGGACGGCCCAAAGGAGACGATCTGTCTCTAGGCAGAAACCGAGCACCCAACCCTAGTGAGATGGCCGCGTTTGCAACGCAGCCTTCGAATAGCTACGCAGCGGGAGAGCAGTTTCCTGGCGTAGGAAAATACGTGTTGGACCCTAAGACTGGCTATCTCAACCCAGTGCCCGCCAATCAGCCTTTGACATCACCGCCGCCCCAGCAAACTCGTCAAGAGAAAAAGGATCATCATGACCAGAAGAGTAACGGTTTCTTTTCTGCCTTCCATATCCGTCATCACGACGCTCGAGATACAGCATCAAGGCAACAGGGCTCTGCGAAGGGAGATATCAACACGGGCAACCAGCGTGTGGGCGACCGAAAGGCAGAGCAGGTGCCGTTCTCGCGTGTCGATGAACAAGCCAGGCCTGCGCTGTCTGCGAGTCAACAACACCAGCGGCCCTCACGATCACTTGATGAGACCAACAAATTTTCTGCAGGTACATCGAAGACCCCTGCTCTTACAGATTCACGCCAGAATGAGGCTGCGAGGCACCAGCGGCCCTCACGATCACTTGATGAGACCAACAAATTTTCTGCAGGTACATCGAAGACCCCTGCTCTTACAGATTCACGCCAGAATGAGGCTGCGAGGCACCAGCGGAGCACGTCCACGACGAGTCCTTCGGAGTACAGAGGCAATGATTTCTCAGACTCTCCACGGTTGCGAGGCATGGTCTCGAACCAGACCACATCAGACAGGACAATGAGTCCACACACGGCCCAAAGGCCAGACGAACTCTCTCATACCCGATCCGATAATGCGTACCGTTCCGATGGTTCACATCACCGTGCTGGCTCTCGGAGTGAACGAAATCCACTGAAGCCCGAGTCGGCCCCTTCTCGAGACCTAGGCTTTAAAGCCTCTCCTTCCCCTCTCACAGGGCAAAGCTCAGCGGCTGATACTTCCAGTCGAGAAGCGATTGCAGGGTCAGCACAGCCTGCCGGGGCATCTTCAAGGCGAGTTGAAATCTTACAAGACCGGGATAAGGGTCGCGATCGTCTTCCTGTTCAGAGTTCGCAAGAGCAAGCCAGCCTACCAGAGTATTTGCGCGCAGGAAGAACACAGCAGCAGCCTGATCGAGACCAAGAAATTCGGGGCAAGAGCCTGCATGACAAGCCGCCAACTCGACACCCCCAAGTCACCACACCTGTGACCGGGGATCGACCCAGCCGCGACCATGTCACCACAACCAGGCAGGTACAGAAACAACGGGACCACGAGGTCAAAGGTAGTGGAAGTGGTGCAGCTCTGGCATACGATCCAAGCCGCATAATCGACTCACG